TTTAAATATCATCAAATGTCATTAATTAAATTATTGAATCATAAAATATTATATTTTAAATCATATATTTTAAATAAATTAAATATTTATAAGTATATAATCTTATAACTGACATTTGTTTATATTTTAAAAAGTTATTCAATTAAGTGAAAAATAATTTCTAAATTTTGATAGGCTTTATCTACTTGGTATTTTTTTAATCAGTAATTAAATTAATAAAAAATATTTGTGAAAAGTTATTTAGTAAAATAGGTTAATCAATAAAAGGAAATTTGATTAGTGTTTCATTAACATGTATTTTACCTAACAAAAATCGCATTATTATAATAAATGTTAAGAGTATATATTAGCAATTAATTAATACATGGAAATTTCTGATGATCTCAACAAAATTATTTGTCAATATGAAATATGAACTCGTATATATGGTATTAATTAATAATCTAATTTGTATTTAAACAAAGCATATATCCATGTAGAGAAACTTAATAGTGTCACTCACTTGATAATATTAATTAGTGTGTTTTAATTTTCAAAGTTCATAACTCCAAGCACTCACTTGCATTCAACTTAATTTTGTCTTGAAAATCATATTCATAGAATGGACATTGACAAAAAAATATTTGTCCTGAATGAGATTTTTACCCATTAATAGGTTCTAGATCTACACAGAAATAATTATTCGTGATATTTTGTTTACTAACAGTTGTAATATAACTATTGCATTTATTAGTCTTTTATAACTAAATTTAAATATTAAAATAATGTTTTGTTTACTGATAAAAATTCGTAAAAAATACTTTTATTCAATTAAATAGGAATATGTGCACTGTATTCTCAAAACTGCACAAAATTTATTTATCTTAATGGTGCTTCAAAATAATTGGCAGATTTTAATCATGTTAAAATAAAAAGCAATTTCTAATATAAAACCGCTCATTATGATAATTAAGATATAAAACCGTTCAAAACAATTGCTAGATTTTAATTAAGACTCGCTTTTACCTCACACTTATTTTCATATAATCTTACGTGTGTTGTAAAGTGATCGGGAATGTTAATTAGTTTGTATCAATTCAATGAATTAAAAAACAAATCAAACTAAGTTCGTTCAGCTTTTACTAAATTAATAAAATCAAACCTTTTTTTTTTATCAGTTTTCTAACTTAATCGGGTTGATTTAACATACATAATAATTGCCAAATGAAATATACGAAATTAAACTAGTCATTCAGTCTTTTCCGTAAAATTGGATTAAATTGACCTATCGGTACTGTAAGTAAAATAATAATAATTTTCTCAAATTATTATCACGTGTATTCTCTCAGACATAAACAAGGCATGTAATTATGCATCCTAAATTATGTAAATAACAAAAGTTAAATTCTCAAGTTAATCTAACAAAACTTACGACAAATAATAAAGAGTAATTATTTTTTTAAAATACACAATATTTCAATAAATAAACACTATGGAACATATATAACATGCATATATCTGCTCACAAAACATATATAATGAAAAAACTTATTACTCTCTTTAGCAAAAATTGCTCTTTTTTTTAACCTTCATCTTGATCTATCCTACTAGGCTAAGGCACTGCAAATTAACATGTTCAAAAAAACAAGTGAAAAACTTATTCTTTGATCAACTTGTTGAAATTAAAATGTTGGCTATCAAGCAAATATTATTCCCCTTCTTCTTCTTGCTGCCTTCTTACTTTTCTATAGATCTATTGGCATCAAAACCACAAGGGGTGATTTCAATCGTAACATATAATGCTCTATCAATTGGCCTGAAGAAGGATATTGAGAAATAATTAAAAATAACAAGGGATGAATGAGGAACGATAGAGAGAGAGGAAGAGAAAGATGAGATGGCAGCTAGAAAAGGAGGGGTGTGAAAGACGAGACAAAAGAAAATGAAAATAAAAAACTACTGTATGTAACTATGTATGAGCAGAATGCCCTATAAAAGGAGTGACCCTCTTAGGAAGTTGAGGAAAAAGTAGGATGGAAAGAAGAATCAGCACTAATATATCTTTAAAAGTAGAAGAAAAAAAGATGACGTATCATGAGCACTAAGTGCATGACTTTAGATTTAGCTCAAAATTTATAATTTATTGATTTAGAAAAATATTTATTTACTTTTTTAAATTTTTTATAAGATTAATGTAAAATAATTATTTTTAAAAAAATGAACTAAATATTAACTTAATTAATTTTAAGATCTACACTTGTAAAAATATTATTAAGATGAATATCTATTTAAATAAACATAACTTTATTCATCCTTAATTAAATTCAAGCATTTTATAAATATAATTCATTTTAAATTAAAAATAAATAATTTTTTATTTTATGAAATTATATAATTCAAGTATGTCCACATTAAATATCAAAGACACTTATCTCACTTAATAATTATATATAAAATATGATATTAATTTGATATGAAATTTTTTATTAAGTAAATAAATTTTATTAATTTTTTAAAATTTAATTAATATTATTTTATTTTATTTTATTTTACTAAGTGGTATATTTTTAAAATATAAATAAACATTTAAATTTAAATAACATGTGTTATAAAAATTTAAATTATAAAATTTTTAATATATATTATTATAAAAATAATTTAACAATTAAATTAATTATTTTTATATTATATATAAATTATTAAATAGTATAAATCTTGAAGAAATATCAAATATGACACTTTTATTTTGCTGCATCCATTTGCTGTTAGATACACGTAAAAGTAGTAATTGAGAACTGATTAGCATGTTGTCCATAGGATAGGAACCTGATCAAAACGCAAGAATTAACGTAAACCTGAAATAATATATATAAAAACATAAAAAATTAAATATCATCAATGTTAAATAATGCTGAAATATTGTATATCAAGAAGAAAAGAAAAAGAATAATAATGTATGCCTGATTTATTGTTAATAAAAATTTTATTATTTAACATAAATAAAATTTTCTAAAGTCAACAAAAAATACATTGCAGCATTTTTATGTTTGTTAATTTAATATGATGTGTCAAATTTGAAATTATAAAAATATATTTTATTATTTTTTTAAAGTTATGTGTATTTTTTATTATATATAATTTTGTTTGAATCGAGTGAAACTATTATAAATTATACTCTTTTTTAATATTTAATATATGTTACAGTCAATAAAATTCATATTTAATATACCCCTGTTATTATTTACATGCTCAATAATAAATAATAATTAATATTTTAAATTTATAAAATACTAAAAATATTTAATACACACAAGAGAAGTTATATGATTTAGTTAAAAAAATAACAATTTCCGTAAAAGAAAGATATTTTCAAAAGTTTAGGTGTAATACACTAGTGTTTTATTTTAAAACATTTTATTTTGTTATAAAATAATAATATAAATGATTTTTTATTTAATTTTTTAATATTTTATATCTTATATACAATATATGCATTAAAGAATTTTTATTGTTGAATTTATTTGCACTACACAAATATTATTAATTTAAGATAATTTTTAGTAAAAACTAAAATTATACTATACAAATTTTTAAAATTTAATAAAATAAATATAATAATTAATATTTATTATATTAAATAAGTATAAATTATATAAATAATGTATTTAAAATTAATAAAAAATCATAAAATCTTTTAAATTAAAAATAATTATGTATTATATAGTTATTTCACTTTTTATTTAAAATGCAATATAAGTTTTATTATTATTACTCTAAATTTAGCAATATGCGCTTGAAATATTTCTAATCTTTGCAGTTAATAACTGTAATTAGTTTAACAAATTTTACACATGATAAATTTGAATATAGAATTTTTTCTTGCATAAATCAATTTTGCACCTGCAGCATTGTGTCAACTCTTTGTTTTTTTTTTATAAAATTTGTTTATAATAGATGAAAAAATTTAATGTAAAAAAAAATTATAAAACAATGAAATACATTGCATGTAACTGCCCCAAATTAACAAATAATGCGATTTACAAATTTGTTCCTGAATAATTTTAGAATTTACACCAAACTAGTAAAAGAAAAACTCATAATATAAGTGAGGAAAGGATATACTTTATCTAAAAATAATAATATAAAATTTACATTAAAAAATAATTTCACAAAATATCTTATTTTTAATAAATACCATTTCCATTTTTTTTTGGATGTTATTATTAAAATGTGAGTATTGAATTAAAAAAATGTTGATATTAATTTTTAACATTGTTTAAATATGTAAAAGTAATGTTTTTTATTAAAAAAATATTCATCATATTTTTATAAAATTAATGCAATAAGGTTATTTTTAATAAATAATTTTATTTTTAAATATTATGCTTAAATAAAATGAAAAAACCTGCTTACCGCTACAGGTAAATCAGCACAGAACAAGGATCAGACGTACACGAGTAGCATGCTCTCCGTTGGATTCAATTAGCGCCAAAATCCATCTCCGTCACTTTCCCAAAAAGTACCGGTACCTTTTTCCTAATCCAACGGGTACGGGACGCTTAATGCTCGTTCAGAAAATCTGGATCGTCAAATCAAACATTTCAACTTATTCAATTCAATTTTCAAAATCTCGAGAGGGAGAGAGAGGAGACACTCCCAGGCCAAGTCTTCCTCCCAGCCACCGTTCACCGGGGACACTGCTTCTGCTCGGTCAATGCATGCTTTCATTTCAGCAAAGAGTCAAAGACCAGAACTCTCTTTCCTAATCACCATTGATTCCTTCCTTTCTTCCGAGAATTGCAATCCGTAACGCACGGAAATTTATGGCACTAGTCTGAGGCTGACGCCACTCCGTTCCGTTACTATTAGCTTCGCTGAAGGTTTATCCGTATGTTTCGGGAACTCAGATCGAAACGGCTACTCGTTTAGAGTAACATTGCAATTTAGAAGAGAAATCGCTATTAAGTGAGATCGATTTCTGGTCAGCTTTTTAGAAGCTTTATTTTCTGGAAGAAAAGTAGATGGAGCAAAGCGAAAGGACGTTGGATTTAGCTCCGCGGAAATTGGCTAGGCAATTGGATTTCACGGCCGTTTGTGGAGCTCCCTCACACCTGAAACTGCAGCCAGCGACGCCTCAGTCACGGTCACAATCAATTCTGCAGCCGCCGTCTCAGCCGCTGCGTTCTCCGTCGCAATTACAATTGGACTTACAGTCATTCGGGCAACGAGCGTGGTTATCTTCACAGCCACATGTACAACAGCAGAGAACACCAGAGACTAAGGTAATGCCGCAATTGCAAGCGCCGCGGCCACAGCTAGTTTCACCGCTTCGTCGAATTCCTCATCCTGTGCAGAAACTTCCGGTGAAGATGATGCAAGTCGTGTAAGTATTCATAAATCTCGATAAAATAAAATAAACAAATAAAAGAAAAGAAAAAGGTAGCGTTCTGCTTTGCCTTATGCTTACTGCATGATAAGGAATTCTTGGATCATGTTAAAGTGTACCTAAATGAGTTAAGAATGTTGAATTGGATTGTGTACATGCTCTGAATTTTAGTGCGGTTAAGATAGTGTAAGAACAGGTGACATTTGCCCGAAGTTAGCTTCTGTTGAAGACCAGGGTTCTTGGCTAAAATAATTTGATTAGATACGCTGAAAATAATGTTCTTAGAGATTTATAAGTGCTAGATTAGAGAGAATTTTGTTTATTTTGTCAAAAAATGAAAGTACTATATCAATAATTAGGGGCTGGAAGCAAGGAATTCCTTCTAAGTGTAGTTAATAAATCATCACAGTAATCATATATATTTGTTTACTTGTTTTTACATTTTTCTTTCACATTGAAAAAAGTAAATTGGTTTGCTTGTATCTGCATGCAGTGTGAGGCTTGTTATTATCATTCTGTCTTCTGAGGTTGCTTATAATCATCTGAATTGTGGGTGAAAAATGGAAATATTATTGCATGCGTTTAAGGAAAATAAGTATCATAAATTTGGTGCTAAACTTGGAAACTACTCAAATGACCTACATTTGTTGTTAATGGAAACATTCCAAGTACTTCATCAGTCCATTTAAAGGGTCATATGGGAAATACTGTTTTATCTTTCACTCTCTATTAAATTTGTCTCACAGTCTTATACTAATTTGAATTTCATCATGGTTGGACACGTGTTTTCCTTCAGGAAGCAAGAGTCTCCAAGATCACAACCTCGATATAATGTGGAATTCAAGGAGATCACTCCAAAGAAACAAAAACAATGTAACTGCAAAAATTCTAGATGCCTCAAATTGTAAGTACTTTCGCTTTTCTGTAGAAAACCTTTCATCAAGACTACTTTATCACATGACCACGCTATATCTAAATATCTGACATGCTATTTTCCTGCTTTCTCTCTCTCTCTCTAACTAGCTAAACCTAACTTCGCAAATGCTAGGTACTGTGAGTGCTTTGCAGCTGGGATCTATTGTGATGGCTGCAACTGTGTAAATTGTCATAATAATGTGGATAATGAGGTTGCCAGACAGGAGGCAGTTGGAATAACATTGGAACGCAATCCAAATGCTTTCAGACCAAAAATTGCTAGCAGTCCGCAGGAACCAAGAGATTCCAAGGTTTGTAACTCAATTCAACTCCCTCAAGCATGTATAATTGGTTTTTGACACGAGCCTTTTTAGTCAAACTTTTGTGATGGTACTTACTGTTCTCAGTTTAGCTGACTTGGCGTGTTTAAATGTCCTGAACAAACTCAGGAAGATGTGTCTGAAATTCAAGTAGTAGGAAAGCACAATAAAGGATGTCACTGCAAGAAATCAGGTTGCCTTAAGAAGTATTGTGAGTGCTTCCAAGCCAATATCCTCTGCTCTGAAAATTGTAAATGCATGGACTGCAAGAATTTTGAGGGAAGTGAAGAAAGAAAGGCAATCTTTCATGAAGAGTATAATATAGTTAACATCAAACAGGCAGCAAAAGCATCCAGTAGTGGAATTTTTGGATCATCTGGCTATGGAATCCACATAACACCCAAGAGAAAAATTCAGGAAATATTTTCTGGAAAATCAGCCATGGATCAAACTGTTAACATGACTGCTCAATACCAACAGGTGCTCTCTTCTTTGCATTCTGGACAGGATTTATTTAGATTTATATAAGTAATCATTTACTTATTCTTTATGTGGTTGATTCATGTACCGGAAATCATATGAATTCAATAAGGCAATAACTTTGACATATAATTATAGCAGATCACGTGTATCAACATTTCAGTTATTGTTTTTAACCTTGGAACCTTTATTTCCTTGTTCTTTCCCTATTAGTTTAGTAAATAATTTCCTCCACCCTCTGCAAGACATCCAAACTTCATATAATGCCTTTTACATTATTCTGAATTTTTAATCAGGAAATTGATCCTATGGCTTCATCACTTTTATCTCTGTCAGCTTCCTTTGTTTCTGACAATGCAAGAATTTCAGGGTCTTCAAGATCTACATACCGGTATATGTTTTTTTTTTTCTTATCGTGGAATTTATCTAATGTTTTAAATATAAATATAATAGAGATTATAGCTAACAGTTAACTCATGCTGAAGGTCTGTAATGGCTGATGTCCTCCAGCTACAGAATGTGAAGAATCTCTGTTCACTCTTTGTTGTTCTCTCAGGAGTAGCTGCAAAGACAAATACAGGTTTTGACCAATGCATGGATTTATACTACAATTATCTTGTCTTTGTTTATGATAATTTGATTTATTGACTGTACGGTGAATGGTTTTTAATATTTTAGTTTTCATTTGCAAACTTTCCAAATTTCATGCTGGCAGGACATTTATTTAATGTAAGCATCAGTTTTTATTTTATTTTTCTACCTATTTTGTCTTCTTTGAATATATTGTCATATATGTGCTTGTAATTAGGAGATAAATTAGGGTAGGAAGTGGTGTTTTATGATATAACTTCATGGGGGCCACAAGGAAGTACCGAGGAATTAGGAATTGGTGTTATAATTTCTTGGGGACCATAAGGAAGTGCTAAGGAATTTATGAAAGTATTTTGGTTCTTGGGCAAAGGTTAACTAATGCATATCCAAAGTAAAGATTTTATTATTTTAAAGTATGGCTTTTTTTTGCATAAAACCTGAAGTATTGAATCTTTGGTATTGAAAGGATTGAGTTTGTAATGTTTGAAGGGTATTGAAATTTAACAAAATTAATGAAGGTTATTTTCAATGAAACTGGGGTCATTTAATAATAATTTAAATAAGAAGGGGTTTTGGTGAAAACCTTTAAGTTTTGTTTGGAAGTATTTAAGTTTTGTTTGGAAGTTCAGAGAGAAAAGGAAGGAAAATGTTTGAAGAGTAAAGGAGGGAGAAAAAGGTTTAAACCCCTCCCTTGTTTGGATGTTTAAAATTTGTAAAAAATCCTCCCAGTTTGGAGGAACTCCAAAAATTGAATTCAAGTGGACTTTGGAGAGTTTAAAAAATATTCCTAACCCTTTCTGTCATTTTTTCCTTAACTCCCAAACAAGGGTTAATTATAAATAAACCTTCCCTTCCTCTTCACTCTTCTCCTTAAAAAGGCATCCAAACAAATCCTTAGAGGTTTAGAGCTCTTCACTCTCCTCGTTAAAAAGACATCCAAACAAATCCTTAGAGACCTCCCATACACTAAATATTTTTCAGCCGCTTTTCACTTTTATAATTGGTTCAGTATTCATAAACACTTGTAAAACGTGGCTGAAATCTTTCATTTTTTGCCCTAAATATAATCTGGCCATGAGCGTCATTGAGCAGTTGCTTATCAATGTAAATATAGGTTTCAGAGTCTATATTTATGTTCACTTTTCACATACCTATCAATATTTTTGTCTTTCCTTCACTGTCTTCTAGATTTTCTCTCTTTCCATTTTTTCTTTACTTATTTCATTTGAACATAGTTGGCATTGCCATTGTTTTCAACTTTTCAGAAATGAGTGGCAAAGTAGACTGGCAAACAAAAACTGGGAATTTTGAGGCTTCAATGGTTTCATGTGCTCAATCACTGCAAAGCACTAGAGATGTCTACAAGCCTGTTTGTGATAATCATGTGAAAAAAGATGAAGCAGACACAGTTGATATTGCCAATTATAGTAAGCCATTGTCACCAGAAACACTAGCATTGATGTGTGATGAACAGGATGATATGATTTTTGGAAATAGTTCTGTAAATGGAGTTTCATGCAACAGCACTGATCAAAACATGATTCGAAAGTCATCTAATTCTAATGGATGCAGTGATGTTTATGGAGAGCAGGAAAGGCTTGTACTGACCAAGTTCTTGGATGTTCTTCGCAGACTTAGTACTCTTGGTAGTATTAAAGGTCAGGCTATAGTGTTATGATGTTAAAGTCTTCACACTCGCACAGCCTTGTTTGGGCAAAATTAATCTGGATTTTCCTGTCAATCAACTGCAATATTCTATGAATAGCCAACTAGGAAAACCTGAGTTGGCGTGGCTGACAAATATTTATTTTAACTATATTTTATAATGAAGGGGACAGGTAACCAATATGCTCACTTGCTTTATAGCAAAAGAGACCATCTGTTTGGGAACTCATACCATGTGACAGGAATATTTGACCTCTTCATGATGTTGCTTTTCTAGTTTCTGGCAATTTGTCTTACTCAGCTTACCTTTGTAGACAACTTGCTTCGTATAAGTAAAATTAAGAATGTCAGGCTGGAAAAGAAAAATGACAAAGCCATATATTCACCCATAGTGGGGTCACCTTGTTGTTGTGCTTACACTTGTATATCTGAATCAGGAAACAATTCTGGTCACCTTGGAAGGAAGTGGTGATAAATCTGGTTTTGTCAATGGTATGCTTATAGAAATTGGCAGAGGCGGAATATAAGTTTCCTTGATTTTAAAAATCAGGATGAAAGAACAAGGAATAGAATGCAAAATGTATAATGTAGAGAGTCCTAGGCCCATAGCAAGTCACAGAGAGCTGATAATGACATGTCGTATAGGTCAGACTTAATGGAAAGAAAAGAAATAATCAAATATTGTCATTTCCTCAGTTCATCTTTAGCTATATGTTTCTGATTGGATGTCAGAATTAGAGTAACCTAAACATAACATAGATAGTTTGTTTAATATTGGTAAGTGGTAACTTAAGCAATGGAAAGAATAAGAATCTGGAATGCCTGATCCATTCATTTCTTCAGCTTCTGTGACGTTTTATTAAGAATTTCACTGATGTTAAATTAATTAATATTAGTTATCTTTAACGTTGTAGAATCGGTATGCTCTTCGTTGGCCAACAAAGAGGTGGGAAACAAGAAAGAACCTGAAGGCAACAGTAATAATATTGATGCTGAAACCGATACTGGGAGTGAGAAGGGAATTCCCAACAACTGCATTGGAAATTATCCCATTCCATTGGTTTCTGGAATATATCAGACAGATTATGCAATAACTGATGGACATGGTAATAATGATCTTTCATCGACCTGAATAGTAATGAAAAATGTTCCCAGTGTCATGGTGCATCCGGGAATTTTTGCGCTGATGTGCATAGTTATTATACCCAAGTCTTGTTCCCTGCTGTTAAATTGGAGCTTGTCTAGAATTACAACTTGGAACCTCTTCTTTCCTAGCAGTGATATTTCAACTGAATTAAGTAATGATCTGAACACTGGCCAAATTTTGATCTTTACTGTATACAAAAGTGTGGATATGTTCGTAGGAATATTGACATAAGTTATGTCAATTGACATAATATACACCGGAGAAACTTATTGAATGCTTCCGCTTAACTGTACAAAGGAAGATCCATGTTCGGTCTCTGAAAAATACATCGATTTTCAATTTGGTCTTTATTCTTTCTTCTGGTTTTGCTTTAAAAGGAAATAAAGGTGCTTGGTAACAGAATAATGAGTATAGGAAAAGAAGTAACAGTAGCCACCTAGCAGCAGTTTTAATTGGTTCTTATCCGCGTTGAAGCCAAGGATTTGAAACGTAGAAACACATTGATCATTAAAGCTTCTTTGGCAAAGGAAACCGAGACTTTCCACCAGTTTCCAGATATTTTTGCACAGTTCGTATTTTAAATGGTTCAAACACCGATTTAAGACACGAAGTCATACAGCGGATGATGCGATTGTTTGAGTGATTTAACCACATCTCATTATAAAATGAGAGGAATTTGATCCCGCTGTATCCGGTCTATAGCCTGCTACCAATCTCCTTGTGACCAAAAAATATAGGAAGATATATTCAACAGTACGATTTATATCGTATGAAGAGAAGGTGCATTTTGAAGGGTAAAGTATGAAGTTAATAATCATTTGTTAGAAAATTAAAAAAAAATTAGTTTGACATTTTCATATTTTGGCATACATGTAAGCATTTTTCATTATATGTATACACTCTTATTCTCGATCGGCCGGAAGACTATTTGTTATCCAGAAGTGTAAACATCGGTAACTCTTCATTATGAAATAAAATCAACGAGCTTTAGCCCGTTTGCAATTGTATTTTCACGCCAATCATTTTGTAACCTTGTGAATGTTTCGAGGCATTTTCCTCTGGATCCGATTGTTCTTGAGTGTAAACAACACCCACTCAATTTCATTGTCGTAATGTTGTTAAACAATGTGTAGAATAATAATCGAGGAACTCACTGAGATCTGTATTTATTAAGTACACTGATAAAGTCAGGAACTGAAGCTTCCTTGCAACTCATTACTTTGGTCGTCCTTTCTCTATTTCCCCATCCATCCTGTCATATATTTAACAAACTACAAGATTTTATTTTGGCAACCTGTAACAAATTAACCTCTAAAGAGGATAAAATAATAAATAATATATCTTTCACGATCACAATGAATTTTATTCATAATTAGCTTAGATAATAACATTGAACAGAATCAACAAGATGATTATAAAGTCCTTTCAAAAGGTAAAACCCCAAATGAACCTAGACAAAACGCAAAACCATTCAATTAAATGAAGTGTTATTTATAACATATATAACATTCTTCTTCTTTTTTATAAGCATTCATTTAATTTTTATTTTTTTAAAATTTAGCAACAACAAAAGGATAAGGCAATCAATCAAGGCCACCAGTAAGTACCACCATAGCGGCTGGAAAGCAAGAGGGGTAAATGATGAAAGTTGCACCTGCGATCTCTTCTAAGCCACACGTGCGTTGAGCATCGTACAAATACCACCCACCCGCCAAAGTTACTTAATTATAAACGCAGAGCGCACAACACACAGGGAAGCAGAGCCATCGCTCAAGCTCGCACTCACAGTCAAACCCAAACCGAAATGGCAGAAAAAGAAGCCATCGAAGCAGCTCAGAGGAAGCTCCGATCAGAGTTCCTGAAAGTCCTGTGTAGTAGGCGACCCGCTCAAGGTATAACAATAATTCTACGATCTTGATATATATTCTGCAACGATTCTTATTCTTCTAGAATTGAAATTCGTTCGTCATATATGTTTCAGTTCCGCTAACTTTCAAAATCGCCGAGCCAGTGGAGAATCCTTTGCATCAGAACTCTGTTCCATCTGTCGAAGAGGTTTCACTTCAACATTCATAGCATCTTTTTTTTTTCGTTTTTTTGTTCAATATTTACTTCATTTGCTAGTTTCACTTGCCTGAGAACCTTATAGAAGGAGATTATGGAGTCTTGTCCAAAGGCGGACATTGATAACCTTGAAGATTCGCTCGTGGAGGAGAATCTCTACTTGACTATAGAGGTAGATAATTAATCAATTCGATTTTTCATGAGCTGAATTTTGAATCGATTTTTTTGTTATTTGGATTTGATTTTGAGCTCGAGAAAAAAAAATCGTGGAAACAATCGTTGTTTTTGGATTGTAGGAAGGAGAGCAAGGACGGTTGCCTCTGTTGATTTTGAAGTTGAAGGAAAGCGATAAGAATACAAAAAGGCCTGCAGTTGTTTTTCTTCACAGTACAAACAAATATAAAGAATTCGTGCGTCCGTTGCTTGAGGTTGCTGCTGCATCTTCTCTGCTTCACTCATCTGTCATTGCTCGTTTGCAAATTGCAATCGTTTTTTATTCCGCTTATCATATCCATAGAGGATAAAAGAACTAAACATAGAAAGATTATCGAAAAGAGAAAATGTTGTAATATCGATAATAGAAAATCTATTTATTATATTGAAACCTTCTTTTTTTACTCTCTATGTAATAGAAAAATCCATACTCATGAATTGTCTTTCTGTCTTTGTTTCTATTTTTCTTCTTTGTGTTTCAGGCATATGCTTCGCGAGGATACATAGCAATTTCCGTTGATTCTCGTTACCATGGTGAACGGGCCACCAGCACGACCACCTATAGCAATGTACGTGATTGCTTTGCTTTACTTAGGAAGTGCTGATCAATGAATTGCACAATGTTATTTCCGGAAATGTTTTAGTCTAAATTCATACTTAAATTTCTTTAATTGAAACGTCAAAATTTAGGAATGGATTTGATTTTGAATCATTTTGATTTGAGTTGTGTAACTGAAATTTGATTGGATTTGATAGCAATGTAGTTTATTTATTTAACTATTTTTCCCTGATTAATTTACTAATTTACATATTCAAAGTTATGGGAATCAAGTAAATTACTTTAATAAAATGAGTTGTAAGTTCCCACATAGAATTTGATTAGTAAATTAATTCCAATTCATTTTTTACAATGAGCTCCATAAATAATAATATGATTGCTAAATCAAATTAAATTCATATTTTGGTGATTCTGAACAGTGTATGTAACTTTCCCTGTAGAATATAAGCTTGTCTTAAAAATATATTGTTTTCTTGTTCACTTTGTCTTTATATAAAGAAGAAATGGACTCTCTTTTGCTTACATATTTACGCAAGATCCTTCGGAATGTGAAAAATAAGTCATATTTATAAAATTCTAAAACTGATCAAGATTTCTTTTACATTTGTTTTGGCTACAACCTTGCCCCCAAAAAATACACAGGCTCTTATTTCTGCATGGGAAACCGGCAAGACGATGCCATTCATATATGACACGGTACCTTCTTATTTATCATGCTACTTTATCATACAGTGATGGAGCCACTTTCTGCTCCCAATGATTTGTTTGAATCATAATTCATGGCATTGGGGCAGTTTAAACTTATGATTATATTGGCTCGGCAATGGTGTATTCTTTCTCGACATGGCAGGTGTGGGACTTGATTAAATTGGCAGATTATCTAACAACACAGAGAAAGGATATAGACCCTTCTAGGATAGGAATCACCGGAATATCACTCGGAGGTAGGTTGATGGAAGTTGAAAGGAATATCTCAGATGGTATATACATATGTGACTGGTTATTTATATAATTCCATAATGCAGGAATGCATGCGTGGTTTGCCGCAGCTGTTGATCCTCGCTATACTGTGGTTGTTCTTCTGATTGGGGTTCAGGTGGCATTGAACGACTGAATGAAGCTTTTATTTAATAAGATGTGCTTCTGAAACGGCAATTTGAAAACTTCTTGCAGGGGTTTCGATGGGCCATAGACAATGATAAGTGGCAGGGTCGAGTTGACAGTATAAAGCGCCTTTTCGAGAGTAAGATAATGAAAAAACAAATGAGTTTTTAAAATTTTTTTCATGTTTTACGTTTTCTTGTCTTTGCTCTAGTTACTTCTCCTCCTACTTCATTTTGGTTTATATATTATTAAGTTATTACAAATTCAGTAATCTTGTATGTAGCAGTTTATATATGCTCCACGTGGTTTATGATCTCAGAAGTAACGTCAAATAAATTCTTAAAATTGATGATGTCTTTTACAATTGGTCATTTATGATAGAATGCCATTGGATTAAATGACATGGTGAAATTGGATGGTGTTTGAGTCAGACTCAGACCTAGAAGGGAAAATATGATATGAATATTGGTCCTATTGGGTACTTATTGAAGCATGTTAACAGTTTACAACTGAACATATATTCCAGAGGTGCTTTGGTATATGCATCCCTTACGCTCTTAGGTTTATGGATGCAGAGGCTCGTGTTGACTTGGGTAAAGTTGCTATTGACAAAGAAATGGTGGAGAAGGTCGGCCTAGTTTTTATTAATCCAGCTATAATTCTTCTCCAAATGAATTGCTTTAGGCTTTGATATGTTTATTGCTTTAATAAAACATGATTGACATTGCTTGGTACAATAATGCGTATCTCATAATTGCGGAGTTATTCACCCATTGGTCAGAATTTTCTATAGAGCTTTGTTCGTTATTCTGAAGTGTTTGCAGTTGATACAAAATACTGATTTTAGTTTTATATTTCTGATCAGGTGTGGGACAGGATTGCTCCTGGTTTAGCCTCCCAGTTTGATTCACCCTACTCAATTCCAATTATTGCACCACGTCCTTTGCTTATTCTTAATGGTAAGACCTTGAATGTATTTTACATTTGACATTTTCAAATTGTATATGGCTCCCCTATACATTATCCAACTATATTTCCTGACAATAATTATGGTCACACTGCTGCAAACAGTGTTTTTGCTTCTTTAGGATATATTAGTAACATCGTAGACTTCTTCATCTAGGTGCGGAAGATCCTCGGTGCCCCCTTGCAGGCTTGGAAAATCCAGTGTCAAAGGCAATCCAGGCATATGGAAAGCTTCACTGTTTAGATAATTTCAAGGTATGAACTTGTATTGTTTGGTCAGTTTGGTGAGTAATCTTAAACATGCCAATGTGGTTTTCCGTTATCAGTTTAATAAGAATGGATTCAACAGTTGACTGCAACATGGAATTCTCCGATTTAAAAGAATACCATTTCGTTATGAACCTCTCATAATAAAAGTGAAAAGGAAGTCCCGAGTTTTGTGTGTGCTTTTCAAAGTATGGCAAACACATGTGAGTGCGTGTATGCTATTATTGGCTTTATTTGGTCAACCTGACTTCTAAGATTTGATGAAGTTAACATTTCAGGCAAAGCGCTGGTAAGCCTGTTAAGCTAGATATGATTATGAGAACCCTTGTGTGCCATATTATTTGGGAGGGGAGATTTGAAGAGGAAGGAGGAGTAGGGAATTTTTTTTAAGCGCTGGTTGTACTTCTCATTTTAGTTTTATCTTTTTTTACTTCATAGTTTGTCCTGAGCTATATTTTAACATAATCTTATATGAAAAAATATATATACTTTTTAAGCAGAACAGTTTAACTCTGTTTAAGTATATGTGAGCATATTTTTTTTTAGTTTTTTTGTCTAGATAAAAAATATTTATTTATCTGTTCATTAAAAAATTTCAGATAACGTTAATTATTATTTTTTCAATTCTACCCTTATTTCTACCTATTTTTAAACACTATACATCCATCATAAATGAGAGAAAAGTACAAATGGAGGTTATACTAGGAACTTTTGAAAAATTAATATAAACGAATATATTTACTAAGTTTCCTAATCTATGTTATCCTCTTAAATGGACAGACAATAAAATAGACTATACAGCTCAATTGATTAGTTCTCACAGTATACAACATTAATAAAAATAAAATGGGATTAACTAAGAGCACCTAACGGTATAGGATAAAAAATAGTAATTATTAAAAAAAAAAAAACTAAAGCATTCATATATTAAAATGTCAAGGTTTTATTTTTTATTCTTTTAACAAATGCGACACTTGTTCATAAAATCTTAATAAAATTATAAATTAATAAAATGAGTATGTTTTGACAAAGAAATGAAGGTGTGGTTGTAGCAACTTTATTTTAAAATTAAAGTACCGTCAACCTCAGGTAATGACTGTTCATTTATGATTGGTTATTTTGACATTGCAGTTTGTTGCTGAACCTGGAATTGGACACCAAATAACGAGGCTTCAGGTGAAAGAATCATCTGATTGGTTTGACAGGTTTTTAAAGCCTTAGGCCGTGTGCCTTCAGGTGTATTACTTAAAGCCCTGTGGGGTTGAAATAATTAAGCTTGCTCTGGCTCGTTTCACTTGTCTGTTTGATTGTGTGCATCATCATACAAATGATGCAAAATGCTTTACGGGTTGAACACAAACTCTAATCCAAGATATCGCTCTAAAATGTCCTACGCTAAGGGTGGTCGATTAGGAAATAAATAACTAAGTTATTCAGAAAAATGTTATACTATGTCATTATATATGTAAGCTTCGCTAAATGTGAGGCATTAGGAATGAATAAACGAACGGACAGTTTTTATATTCTTTCTGGAGTTTATGCAGGTAAAGTTGCACTCTTCCCATAAGAGAGTCATTATGTGGCGTTTTCCTTGAGTCATGATGGATCCTTTTATGGTTGCACTCTCCACTTAAAGGAACATATAACTAATTAGGATCACTAAACATTACTTATTTAATCATTAATCAATAATGCATCAATAATTGACGTAGTGCATCTTACGCAAGAATTTTTCCAATGTGTATATCGCGTACACGTATGTTATAATCAACGTGTCTTCCAATGTGCGAGTGTTTTAAATTAGTGTATGGTATCTCCCATCCTCTTAGATTGGGGAAAATTTCAGTGAGTGCTGATATACGCAGTGCCCTCCAAAAAGTTTCTTCCTCCGAGGAGATCACGACCATCATACATGGGAACCCCAGTCCCATTAATAATCAGATGGTTAGTCCTCATGGAAGAAGTAAAAAGCTTCCTCCAAAAGGAGCCAAGAATTAGACCGTGCATAAATTATGCATGAAGAATCAAACCATGAAAAGTAATTGGACTGCACAATATGCTGCTCCTGACTCAAATTATGGAATGCAAGCTCAAAACCTGACTTTCATACAAATAAAGCACAAGGATTATTTGAATATGTTGAGCTCAATTCTGGCATGAATCAAGATATGCGAAGTCACACCTACACTCTGTACAAGTCACTACTTCAATACATTTCAAATACATCAAACAATTATCATGTCTTAATGTGTATACATTTCAAGCAAATTAAGATTAGAAGAAAGACCTGTATCTACCGCTTCTTGTCACCTAAACAAACATAGGAAACAAGTTATCTGAAATCATTCAGCCTTTCTTTGGCATTGCTGCAAGCCTGGTGTACATTCTTGCCATGGACTGGTACCCTCTAACATCACCTGAACGCAGAAGATTGCCTGTACAACAAATCAAAATAAGTGGCAGAAAATGGGTCTCCTTACATAATTGGTCAGCAACATTACAAGTTTTCCAGCTGACCTTTGTTTATATTAAATAAATAAAGGAATGAAGACATAGATTTGGAATGAGTTGAGGGCTTAAGGATTTGAAGTTCTTCATTTTCCCAATAACACTGAATGTCATTCTAGATAGTTCTATAATCAACATAAAACATTTAGAAATGTACATGTAAATTCAAACATCACACACACTTAAGACGACCAAAAGGACAAGTATTTAAGTGAAACAACAGATTCTAGTCCACCAACTCCTCATCCATTCTCTCAAGCACAATCAATGAGCATGTGGATGTTTATAAATAGTTAACTGGGATAACTTTTGCATTTTCTCAATCCTTAAATCCAACGTCAATCTGGTCATCCACAATCAAGTATATTACAACATAATATTGTATGAATTCGAGTCTCCCTTTCCAGCAGTTCTTTCTTTTCCTTTAGGAATGGGAGGGAGGAGAATGAAGTGGAGAATTGAAAAATTGATATAAAATGGAGAAAGTTTGTTAACCTGAATCACAATTCAGTGGGCTGTCAGGTTCTGGATGAGCCATCAAAGCAATTATAGCCCTACAGACAGATTGAAGTGTCCAAGCTGGGCTCCAAGCATTTTTCAAGATATCTAGGCAAATCTCCCCGGTCTGGAAAATTACTAGTTGGTTAAATAAGAGTCTTGAAGAAATGTCAAGAACACCAAGTCCAATAGAAAAAAGTTATCCATCAACTTACAAAGAACAGAAGGAAAGCAAAATTAATATAACAGGTGATCAAATTCAATCAGAGGCCTTCAGTTTCCATTGAGTTCTTTATGAAACTGGCAGCGGTTAATAGTGCATAGAGCTTAGCCTTCTTTAACTTATCAGCCTCCCATAATTTGTTAAAAATATCAGTCTTTCCCACCAGAGAGAAGGTAATCAAGACAACCAAGACCAAGCACAAACACTCATCTTTATAAATATCATGCATTAGTGCCAAAGTATGTCTACGGTAAAAGTTGCAGAACTTTTACATTTATGGTTCATAGCAGGGCTACAAGGATAACCAATCCTATTCATTCTCCGTGCAAACAACTATCAGAGATTCTTTCAACTATACATTATTTGGAAAATTTCAGAAACCATTCATCAATGAAAATTGTGAAATAAATTAGGACAACCCAATTTTCCTTAGAAACCTCATAGTCACCTTATATGCTTGAAAAATGTACGAACAAGACAAAGTGATAATTAGTTATAGAGGGATCCATCTCACCTTAAAATGCACATTCGGGTGAAATATTTTAGTCAAAAACCGGACTTGAGGCGGTTGCAGAGGATACTGTTCCGGAACAGAAAAAGCAAGTTGGAATACACCCCCCTCAAAAGGAGTCTCAGAGGGTCCCTAATTGTAAACAAAACAAACCAGAGCACAGGTCAGAATCCTCACAGACATGTTAAAATTGAATATCTCATACAATCCTCTACAAGAGACTCAGTAAGCATACCTTAATGAGAGCCGTCCATTTAAAAATATTAGAATCATCACACACCAGTTGAATATCAGGATCAACCGCCTTCTCTCGCTGCACCTCTTTGTACTCCTTGAACAGCCTAGCCCGCGAAGCCTGTGTGAAAAACACAATTCAAAGACAAAAGGATTTTATTGAAGAATCAAGCTTATTACAAATTGCAAGAGAGAACAACAAATTCAGGTACAGAGGCACACAAATACAATTGTTTGAATTGCAACACATCCACCATCCTGCAAAGTTGATTCAAAACACCTAGTCCTAAACACAACCCACACCAAAACGATTACATCCATGCAGATTCATTATCCACAACAATTGCATCCATTAAATCAACTGTATCCAGGAAAATATAAAAAAGAAAATTAGTTAACGAACCTGCATGCTGGATAAGTACAAAGGAACGAATTCCTCGGAATGAATTTAACTGCAAGATTATTCACCAAAAAGAAAGAATCAATATGCGAGCCTATGAACAAAATTGAGAGATCGTGAATAAATATTAAGCAACAAAAATGGTACCAGGTGGCACGAAGTTATTGAATGATATCTTTGAATGTGGCGAATTGCAAAGAGGAAAGAACGGAAGAAATGATTTAATGTATTTGGATCAATTGTGGATCGGAAATGAAAAGTAAAATGGAAACTCTGCAAACCCTAAAACAGTGGACCCACCGCGTAGACGATTGATACCCACCCCGTTTACACTGTAGTCGCGATTCTTTGGCTTAATAAAGTTTCTTTTTTCTTTTCCGTTGAGATTAGTAAAGTTTTAACGAAAGCCGATTGGAACTGGTTAGTAATTATCATGAGTAAATTAATTTGGATTTGTCTAATAGATATTTCTCGTTAAAAAAATGAACATTTTAATATGTTAAAAATTTAATAGTTTATAGATTTTTTGATTCAATAGTTTTTTATTTTTATTCGTTAGCATCTTTTAAGACATTTATTAATAAAAACAACAGTAATATATCTACTCCAAATAAATTATAAAGCCTAAAATGTTTTACAAAATTTATTAATAATTGAATAAAATATTTATTTTTTTCAAAAACATTAATGAAATTTCTATTTTTTGTAGAGTTGTGCCAGACCATGGCACGTAATATTGAATTGAAGATAAATAAAAAGAAAGAGAGGATATGAAGCAAAATTTATAAAAATAATTTGCTAATTTAAAAGAGAAAATAGTTAAGAAAGTAAAATCTCTATTTTACAGTATTGCAAAATAAATTTAAAAAAAAGTCTAAGAACTTGTTGGATAACTAGTTTTAAATACAAGTTTTATGCTTTGTTTAGATAAATTTTGAATTTAAATAAATAGTTTAATTAAATGCATATTTTTACAAGTTATATCAATAATTTTATTAAAATAATTCAAAAGAATTCATGAAAATCATAAGTTGTTTTTATAAGTAGTATATTTCTGCTTTATTTTTATTTTTATTTATTTCTTTTACGTTTTATTTCATGCGAAATAAACATAAAGTTGAATTTTAATAAATGGAAAATTAAAAAAAAATGTTTAACAACGCAATTACTCTAAAAAGTAGAAAATATAAAGTATTTTTAAATTTTATAAACCATACTAATTAGACTTGTTTTTTTATTCATATATTCACTGTTAATAGCTTTTTGGTTTTTATTTGGTTATCAAAATGAAATAATAATACAATTTTAATTTTTTTTTAAAAACTAAATAAAGAGTTTATCTCTTTCTTTCTTTTTTCCTCTTCTCTCCATTTAACCAAAGACCGGTATTTTTAATTTTATTTTTCTTAATAAAATAAATAATCATCTCTATTATTATTAAAAAAATAATTTTAATAATTTTGCTTAGACAGACAGTACCAGGTAAGGTTAATTTTTCTTCTTCTTTTGCAGAAAGAAAATAATAAGTGTAAAGTTCGTCATTATTTTTTTTTCTTTATATACATTTTATTATTTTATAAAAGAAACAGAACAAAATTATTTTTATTAAGCTAACAAATAAGTTTAAAAGAGAAGGAAATTTTTCTTATCTCAGTTGGATAAACCACCAAAATTCGATAATATTCTATTTAGTAAATATAAAAACTCAAGTAGATAAACTGAGCAACTATTTATTAACAGTATGGAATTTTCAATTAGTTACACTTATTCTTACAATTTTACCCTACTTCTAACAAAAAGATAAGATCATTTGCTTATTATACATTACGATAATATACATAAGAGATCTAATAAATTTTAAGGAATGTATTTGATGATTAGATGGGTTGAAATAAAAAAAAAACATATATAAAAAATTTAACGTAAAATTTAATTTTTTTATTATAATAATTTAAAATATATATTTTATAATTCATTATATTATATTAATATTCATAAAAAAAAACTATTTAAAAAAGGAGCATCTCCCTGCCCCTCTCCCACTTTCTTCCAAAATGACTAGTTTTTTTTTCGACTAAAAAAGAAAAAAAATTCTCCTCTTCCCTCCTTTAAAGAACAACTTTACCTCTACTTCCTTTTCTTTTCTGTAATTTTTCAGCATCCAAACACAGTATTAATGAAAAATTGCATGAAATATATTTCATTAAATTTTACCCATTTAACGGAGTACCAAATTGACTTCAAAACATAAAAATTCCTATAATGAGTACAAATAGTATCTTTTTGGATGGATATAAATAAGAGACCAGGAAAAATAAAATAAAATCATCCACTTATTTGAGTGAAAAAAATAGAATAAAAAAATAAAATTATATATCATAAATCATTTTTAAAATATCTATAACAAAAAGAGTAAAGAATGTAGTTAATAGTTATATAATAATCATAAAAAGATTAAATTAGCCTAAAAAATTAAATTTTTATCATAATACATGTTTATGAATAAAAAATTAAGTTTTTATATTATATACAAATATTTTTAAAAAAACAGTTCAGTGTTTCCTCTAGAAAAATGTACATAATCTAGTGCCAATTGCAAGACAAGCAACACTATATGGGACAATAATAAAAAATATTTTTTTAATATACATATATTTAATTTGTATGGAAGTAGAATGAAAGAATGAAGAAAAAAAGAGAACAAGATTTAGCAAACAGGTGAAAAATGCAAACCCAATCACAGTTCTACATAGCTCGGTCTGGTGTAGATTTTGGATTTACTTTTGCCATATTAACAAGGTCCCCAAATAACTTATTCTCTGGCTTGTAAGGCTTCCCAGATGGCACATAAGATGAAGGAGAAACCTGGTAAGAATCTCTCAAAGCGCCATCATCTCTCACAGATAAACCATACATTTGCTGCTCAACATGTTGAACCCCTTGTTGCTGACCATAGCCATATCCTACGAATTGGTTGCCATACATCTGTTGAGGATACATGGAAGCCACGGAACCATTATGCATTTGATGGGAAACCATACCCATATAGGGACCAGCACCGCCCTGAATATGCTGAGGATGCAAGCCCAACTGATTGTTTTGAACATGGTTATTGATCATTGACATATGGCCAACATTCGGCTGCATATACATTCCAACAACCTGGTCATGCCCCATTGCTTGAGGTCCCTGACGATGTGCAGCACTTTGTATCTGTGTCACAACCATTTGAGTGACTTGCAGTGGTTGTGGATATTGACTGCCTGCTACTGGGCTCTCAATGTCTGTAGGTTGAGCTTCCCAGGGAGGTGGTGGAAATGATCCACCACTCTGCATACCTGTAAACCAAAAGAAAAGGTGAATTATGCAAAAATGAGAGCACAAATCCCGTCTCTCTCTAATCCATCCCAACAAATTACTGCCAGTAAGTTGGGAAAGAAAACATTAAAGAGCTTTGAGTTTGCCATGAACCAGTATAAAAGCAACGCAAAAGGAATCAGAAATCAAATTTTGCCACAGCAAAGAAAAGCATGCAATTGTGAAGGATTTGAGCCAAACAGGAATTAAATATAATAAAGAAGCATTAGTGCACCATAAACTGGTGAAGGTGGCTGTTGCTGCTGCCCAACCTGACCGTTCCAGGAAGGACCTGTACTTTGTATATATGGTGATTGCTCATAACGAGGTGAACCCACATTTGGCACACTTCCGTTGGGGTAAAATACACCTTGAGATATTAAAGTCTGCTGTTGGTGAAATTGGGGAGATAACGGACTGGTTTGGCCAGCAACATTAATTGGCGGGGTGTTAACAGAAGTAGGTGAATTGCTTCCATTAGTAAACATATCAAAAAGAACAAGGGCATTCTGCTGAGGAACAGGGATGGTTGGCTGCTGTTCTCCCAGAGGAACGAGAGCAAGTGAAGTCTCCGCTTTTGGTGAGTTATAGTCGTCACCACTGAGCAGGTCCACTTTGGGATCAACCATCGCAAGGGGAACTGATCCGTTTGATGTGGAGGGTGCAGGAAGCAATAACTGATTCAATGTTTCAGATCCTCCTTCGCCACTAGGAGACGATCTGAAAAGATATATTAAAATGAAAAACCACATAACTAGAAGACACCAGACAGGTTAAGTCAAAATTTCACACAATCTATTTCTGCATGTTAATACATGAACCAACTACATATGTAAATCTGCAGCCAAATCTCAGCTAACCTAATTCATCAAAGAAGAGATCGAGATTCAACAGTTACTCATGTATGAAGTAAAACACATAATGGAGAGTTCTGATAGAGGCATATAAAACTCCCAGGTGCAAATATGAAGAATGACAAACTAAAGTAGTAAAGTACCCAAAATAAAGTATCACAAAAATTCCGAAATCACAAAAATTCCGAAATCCTTAACTTTAAAGCCAACAGTAATAAACAAGTTTCTAGGATTCTGTTGACACATACAGTTTGAAATTTATTCAGAATTATAAAATTTAATGGGTCAAGAGAATAGCAAACAGTATTGAATTACATGGATTCCAATAAGGTAAAATAATGTATTATCTGAATTCTCATTGGTAAGACTGATAGGATCATATGTCAATGAATGCAGAGCAATAAAGGAGAGCAACAATAGCCACTGGACTACCTCCCATCAGTTTGTTTACTAGTATCTCCAATATCAATCAAAGGAACATCAACAGCTACAACTGCTTCAGTAGGTTCAGGCTTCGGTTTCTCAGTATGATTTTCAGCAGAAGTTTCCGAAGCAATGGATTCATGCTTAGCCAGTAAACACTGCAGATCGTCATTCAGAGCTAAGCCTTGGCATAGCAGGGACTCATCCCTGTAAAAGCAGTCAAAAGCAACCATAATTAATACTTGTTTTTTTTTTAATTTTGGATTTAAAGAAGAAAACTTACTAAGAATGGAGTTAACATGTAAAGAATATCATGAACCCCATCAGGCCTTACGAGGTTGAATTAACAAGGTGCACCACTCTCTGCTTGTATGTTCTACATTGCTCCACCAAATCCACAATAACTTCCTGCTGAAGCCCCTGAAAATAACTCATACATGAAATGCCATGTATTCAATAGAATCAGTAGCTTTATTCATAAAAGCCTTACGCTTCACAAAATTTTTGTCATTCATTTACATCATAATTTATAGCTTGCATTCAATAACTTACTTCTTTGTTACCAGGGTCTAATGCATTGAGCATTTCTGCAAGAACATCCATAATACCACGTGCATTCTGAATTTCAGTCAAACTGGCAATAGAAAATTCAAGTAAAACATATCAATGCATGATTATTGATGGTAGTTTGTACTTTGTACCATGTAGCATAAATTTTGTCATCATCATTGTAATAATTAAAGAAATGTTAACAACATACTCTTTATTATGAGTATATTTTGAGTCTCATGAAAAAACTAGGCCCCCTTCTCTAGTTTTTGTTTAGTGAGACCCATGTGAAATTCTCTAGTAATAAATAGTAGACTAAAACTTCAAATTAATTCTTGAAACTTGAGAGATAAGAAAACTTCAATTTAGCCTCTGGAAAAGAGGAATAATAAAAGCAGTCCCTAAATATGGGGTGTTCCTCTGTAAGAATCCGTTAGTTAACTATCATACAAATAGTGATATTTCTTGTTAAATACAATGTGACATATTAATGTATTTCTAATCACACCAATTGAGAATGTTATAACATAAGTTGACTAAAATACACTTCATTTTTTTGCGCATTCTTAATGATTATATGAAGGACAAATATGAAGTGTTCTTTTAGTTAGCTTGTGCTGTAATTTTCTAAATTGACATAATAATAATAATAAACTAAATCTTGCTTACTTACCAGGTTCCCCCCAAAAAACACCTTATTTTGCTTCATTCATTAGAAAAAAGATGATGTTGAGAAAATTCTAAAATTATCACACTGAGTTTATTTAGTAAATTCTGAGTCAAGGCTCATCTAAAATGTATTGCAAGAGACTTTTTGCTCTAAACTTCAGAATATTACACATTATAACTTCTAACCTCCTTCCTAACTTCTAAATTGTATAATACACCCTAAAAGTGGCATATTCCTTAACAATACTTGCCAACAATAACTGCCTTATAGCAGTTAGTGCACTCTACATTCTAAAAATTATTGTCAAAATAATTGTCATACTCCTAATGACTGCCTCATGGCAGTTGCAGCATTCTACATTCTAAAAGCACTATCATAAATTCATAATAACTACAATACTTCTAACAATCACTACATTATGGCAGTTATTGCACCCTATGCCCACGCCAAGAGTAAACTCTCCAAGTGGATGGTCTATAAGAAGTTGCACTCTCTCCTATTGAGCCCCAGTATCCATCAAATGCAACAACCATCTTAATTGGCAAGACCATTCCCATTATAAAAGAAAGCGTATATGGATCCAAAATGAGACATCTGAGCTGCAAAGAAAATCTAGACTGTTGAAGGATATGGTTATGATACTGAACTACGCTGGATTTATACATAATTAACGCATTCCATCAAAGGAAAATCTGAAGATAGCGAGTTGGACAACAAGAGATCAATATCCAAATTATCAACAATTAATTCAACTTTATACACCATAACAAGAAAAGAGATAGAAATGTACCTTAGGGTTGGAAACTCAGTCTCTGCTGAGGACTCAGCTGTGTCTTGTCGACCAACAGAATCTCGTATATTTTGCGGGTATGATGTCAAAGGTAATGTTTGTGGTGGTGTGAATACAGGTGCAGATTGGTCAGACCTCTGAGGGAATGTTACACCAGCATGCTGAAACAAACAAATCTTTTATAGAACAAAATAAACAGATAATGTTTATGAAAATATTCTGATTGTAAACCTTCACACTGAAAGTAAAAACCCATAAAAGCAATCAGATGAGAGCATTATGTCCAAAAGAAAAGTGGCAAATGCTTCCATTATGAACTGTGTCTCTTCCTGTTTTTAATGATAAGTGGAGATGTAGTACTTGGTAAGCAAATCTCAATACAATAACTTGATAAACATACCAGCAGTTCCTGGTATGCAGCATAATACTGTGGATATCTTGGCCTTGGCCCGTCTAAAGCTTCTTGCCAAGTATCTATAAGGATCAGTATCTTCTCTCTGACATGATAATCAGGCTACAATTGGCATGATAAATATCATAAACGTATTTTACATAGTGAAATCAGGTATAAAATAGGAAGGCTATAAAAACATCTAAGAGACACAGATACCTTCTTCTTTACTATTTTCACCATCTCATGAACAATATCTCTCTCGGCAATATGCATGTGGACAATGTCCCCACAATTCTTTACCATCGTCTCCAGCAGCTAAAATATAGCATACCAATGGAAAAACAAATGAGATTTTCTAGTTATTAAAGATTATAATGCAGACATTTTCATTATATACTGATTAGATGCAATCCTCCCTATCTGAACAAACCTAATTTATACAGCTCTAAGGGATTCTTAGAAACAACTAACATTAAGGCAATCTGAACAATGAAGAATCAAATTAAATCAACATCCTAACAACTTTCTATAAAATATTAAAGACCTAAAGCCGTGCTATTCCTGTCCAGTTATTTTTTATTTTTATGTATATTCATTATATTTAATTATTTTTAGGTTTAATTTAATTAAGAGTTTCCTTCAATCCAAATTTAGTTTCACCCAACTAGTTTTAATGCTTTAAATTAGTTATTGATAACTTTAATCCCTCTAGAAATGATACTCACATTTCCTCTTTATTACTACTTGCCTGATTTGGTAAACAAGCCAAAGTCAAAATCACTTTTCTTTCCCTATTTCCCAACTCAAGTCCTACAAATTTACCCCTACAAGCATATCCTACATCATTCATTCACATTAGAAAAATGATGACAACGAGGACATTGGAGTTTGTGAGTGAAGGAGATTGTATGACCAAGAGAAGTCACCAATTGAGAGGATGACTTTAACATGCTAAAGAAAAAACAGTCCTTTTCAACTGTTACTATAACTGAATAAACATCAAAAGCGTGACCTATGATAAATTTTCATTGTATTATTCTCACCAGATAATAGTCAACGGATAACAAAAGTTTTCCAGTTTCCACCAGTTATTTATCAATTAAAATGGAAATAATAAATCCAAGGAATCAAACTATTTGAAGGTTTTCTTCTCTTATAATATTTATTTTTCCTTTAATTTATAGGCATATGTGATCATCAGACGTGGTTTCATTGCAGGCTCTCACTTTGCTTATAGTTGTTTAAGGGTATGTCTATTTCAGACAAGCAGAGAGAAACATTAAATGCAACAAGTATGAGGTCAAAAAGGTAATCTGAAGCATTCTTTATGCCTATAAAATATATGAGCTTACAGTTAGTGCAAGAAGTTGAACTCTAGGAACTTTATTTCCAATCCGCTTCTTTATGCCTTTAACAACATCCTTTGTTTGCCTGATAAATCATAACCAAACTGAGTTATCAAACGCTGGAAGCACAAATCCGGAACCTAAACTATAATAATTTTAGACATAAAATTTTAGTTAAACATTTGTACCCATTAAAAAAAGCAAAATCCAGTTCCAAACTGCATAAAATCAGAAGAGTATATAAACAAAATACAAATTGAGATGTGCCACACGGCCACCCATTTCTCCCATTAGCAAAAGATAAAAATAACTCATAATCAGTGTAAAAACATGAGAAATGCTATATTCAGATATGGTATTTCCAAAGTTTTGAAACATAATCGAACGGGCACTAACACAAAAAAATTATCTCCTAGAAAGCTTATAATGTCCTGTAGAAGGGAATCGGCAACTTGTAGTGACCAGATGCAAAATAGACGTCACACAGCATATGCACGAAACAAGTGGATCATGTACAAATCAGCAGAATCCATAATAGCCACCTAGTATCCTTATTCCCTAATGATCAATGGAACAACAGCACTCAATCCCCAATCACCAATTCAAAAAGCGAAAACTCAAGCCAAACCTCTGGCTCGAATTTGAAAGTTCTCATTCCAAATTTTCGCTGTTCCATTGGTGTTACTGTTAAAACAATGCAAAAGTGTAATCACAACCATCATCGTCATGCAATAAATAAGAACAGAAGAAACATGGAAGAAAACACCAATCTCCATTCATCGACACAAATGCCACTCTATAACACATCCATCATTGTCATAATTCATTCATAACAGAAAACCAAAGAAATCTCGTCGTGCATTTTTGTACGTAATTCTGCCATGAGCCACAGCACAAAAACAGAGAACTATTTGATTAAAACAACGACGAGGAGAATGAAGAAGAAGAAGAAACTGCGCATAAGAACATATGTTTCCTGAATTACGTAGGAAAAGAAAAAAAAAACAAAAATCCAAAACTATGCGCACCCAGGTTCACGATTGAGTATGTCACAGATCTCCATGTTCAAAGCCCAATCAGGGCCCACGAGCATGCTGCTCGTGGCACGTTCAACCAAGGAATTTACCATGGCTTCTCGCCGGCGACGAGACGGACGATACTTTTCCGGTGCGAGAAAAGCGCAAATCCACTGACAGCACAGAGATATAAGTAACGGCCTCTCTCTCTCTCTGACTTTCTCCAACTAAGATTGCTATGCAGCTGAATTCCGTTAAGGAAAGCTAGGGGTAGACTTGGAAGTGAGAAAATCACGGACCAATAATAACAGTTAAGGCGTGCTTCGCCATGCCGACCGAGCTTAACCGAAGTAGTGCATAGAATATCGCAACTGATCCAAAAACAAGATTTGCATCACCTAGTCAGCCAAGATTTGAATATAAAGGCAAACGCTGTTTTCGCAAAACCGTAAAATACAGAAACTGAATCAAAACCAAAACATATTTTTACGATTATCAACTAAATATTCCTTTAACAATAGAATAATATCCTATTTTCAATTATATATTGATTGTCAATTATTAAAAGTTCTATCAAGTGAAATTTAAAATGTAACAAGTTATGTTACTAAATCTAAATGGAAATTGGCTGAATTACATTTTACCCCCTCTTAAATTAAGAGTTTGTGTAATTTTGATTCATCAAGTTTCTCTCATATTAAACAAGTCTCATTTTGTTTTCAAAATGTTTACAAATTAGATTATTCGGATATTTTTTATTTAAAATTAACTAATTAAAATATAAAATTTAATCAAAACTTAAAATTTCTTCAAACCTAAATCTTAAACTTTTTCCTAATGATATTAAAGACCTAATTTTAGCTAAAGATATTAAAGACACATTTAATTTAATTTAATCTTAAATTAAAAGTGAGAAGAAAATATATTTAAAATATTTTTTTTTGTGTTCAATGACTTGTTGTAAAAATTTGTTTATAATAATTTCATTAATAAATAATAAAATGTCATATAATTCAATGTATTAATAATATTGAATATTAAATTTTTAATGAAATATTCTTTATTTTTTTGTTATGTATGTTTAAATACACTTTAAAAATAATAAAAAATAAATATTATTATCTTTTTCAAAGTAAAACGACAAAAACCATATTGTATATGAAAATTTATGGTTGCGCATTATTAATTTTTAAGCGTAAAAAATAGAAGAAAATGAAAATATAAATAAATATTTTGATATGTAGTAATAGAATAAATAAATAAATAAAATATTATATACATATATTTTAAGGGTGTATTCTCTCATCATCAGAGAAACTTCCGTAGTAAATAAATTATTTTTATTGTTTAAATAAGATTACCATCCTTTAAAAATTTATAATTTTTTAATATAATCTCTTTTTTTTTAAATTAGTTTTTATTAATAATTTATTAATTTATTTTTATCTAATTACATAACATTCAAGTTGAATAATATAGTTAATCTGACACATGACCTGAACAAGATGTGTTACTAATAATATCATATTTTTGAATGATTAAATTTTAAAAATTTATAACAAATATTTAAAAGTATTAAAAAATAAAAATAATAAGAAATTATAAATATTTTTTAAATAAAAAATAAAATTTCTAACAAATATAATTTTTATTTTTATTTTTTTAAAATTAATTTTTAATTATTAAAAAATATAAATTTAAAAAATTAAAAATCAAAATAGAAACAAACAAGTCCTAAATCATTTAGACATAAGGTTCATATCGTGTTATATAAATTAAGTTAAATGTTACATAAATAGTTACTAAAAAATAAATTATTTTTAAAGCTACTGTATGAAAAATTTTAAATTAAACATTATGAATAAATATTTTTATGTCACTGCAAACAAATACACTAGTTAAATAAAATTTAGTTAAAATGTGATGTTATAAATATTTTATATTATCAAACAATTCTAAATTATTATATTATTAAAAATTGTAAATTTATATAATAATTATTTTAAAAGATAAATTTAAGATTTTTTAACTAATCAATAGCATAAACATTTTATGTTAATAATATACACTAAATTCTTCGCCAGAGAGGATAGTGGAGTGTGCATGAAATATAGACAAAATATAATATATTAAATTCAATAAATACTAGATATGTAAATAAACATATTGTATAAAATAAACAACTCTTCTACAAATATTGCTATAATATTTTTTAAACGATAAAGTATGCTTAGGAATTTCACAGAATTTTACCAAATTTTCAGATTATGTTGCATCGGAGGCTCCATCATGTCGCTATTGCCATCGTCATTTTGGTGACACGCAGCAAGGTAACCGACCGACTAAAGGAAAGGACGCCGCCACTTTAATTTTACGGTTTTTTTATTGTTTAATAAAGTGCTGGCTTCATCGGAAGCAATATTTTTATAAAAGTAAATTGTAGTTTATTAACTTATTTATAGACATTAAATAAAAATAATTTATAGTTTTTTAAAGTTAACTTTTAAAAATTATTTAAAATAAATTTTAATTTTTAAAGACTAACTATTAAAGTTTTTATGATATATATATATAGATAGATAATTTACTTGTTACATGATTAAAACTTTATATTAATTTTTGTTATTTATTATTCTGTTCACTTTTACAATAATTTTATCTTTTTTTATTTCTTATATATTTATATGCCTATTTTGTTTAAATATATTTTATATTAAAAATATATATTTTATAATATTTTATATTCAAATATATATATATATATATGTAATATTTTTTAAATAATTATGTAATTAATTGATATGCATAAATGAAATAAATAATAACTAATTTTAATATTATGTTAATATAATATTATTTGTCATTTAATATAAATTATCTAATTACATAATTAGTTTATCGAACAAGTTTAATTATGTAAATTATTTATTATGTTATAAACTTTTATTTATAAGTTTATAGTTTTTAATTAATTTTATAGCTAAATACTATAAACTTGCAATTTTTAACTTATTTATCAAAATATATAATAAATTTAGGAGTTAGTGCTGATTTTTTACTAAAAATATATTATTTAATGTTATTTGTATTTTTTTGGGCATTTTTAATAGTTGACAGAACTGTATATGATCTTATTATTTTTTTACTATTCAGGTCACATTAATGAACCCTCACATTTTGACTTTTTGTCCATTAATTTTATAATATGTTTAATAATATTTAATATATTTTTTAAATGTATCTCTAATGATATACATGACATGTTTATACATTTGTGTTTAACAAGTTTAAATAGTATTTTTGTTTTTATATTTGACTTATAAGTTAGTCTTAAAAAATTTGTAAAATAATTTATATATATATTAATTTGTGTCATACTTGTTATCTTATTACGCAATATATGTGTACTCTTTGAATTATAAAGGTTGTTGTTTAAAGTGTCAAAATTACAATAAATTATTTCATAAACATTAAAAGAGTGTATGTTAGACAATGAAGATGAAAGTTACTCAGTAATTGGTCTTTTGCAAGGCAATTCATAATAACTCATTTTTTTAGCTCTTTTTTAATGAGATGGCGTCATAAGCATATTTGGCTAATTAGTTAGCATATTTTATTTGAGATTGGATTTCATATTTTATAGACTTAAAATTGTTAGAATTTTTTTTAATTCTTTATGTAATTTCTATTATATAATAACTATTATGAAATTACATTTTTTTTTTGAGATATTGAATTACGTTACTCTCACAATATAGTTCTCACACAATTAAGAGTTTAGAGAGCACTAACCTGAATCCATTTTTTTTGTCGTTGATTCCTTGGTATTTTCCCCAACTCTTCCTTCCTCTTTCAGCTCCTCTCGGATGGTTGATAAAATAGGGAATACCGTAATCCTCATTTGGTAACCACTCATTAATTTATATGAAGGGAGAGAGGAGAATATCCTTATAATTGTATTTACAATTATACCTTCAATGACTCTATATTTTATATTTAACCATCGTCATATTAAATTATTAATTAGAGTCATGCTATAAGTTACATAAGTCACTATAACAAGATTATTAAAATAATCTAAAAAATATTACTTATTTAGATTGATTCAGTGAAAGTATTGTATTTGAGATTATAATTTTTTTTTTATTTCTTTGTTTTCTTCTATCAATAAATTTTTGAAATACGACTTAAAATGATAGTTTAAAATTTAATACTTTATTTTTTTAATGTTTTTAATTAACTTAAAAACTTATATTTTTGTCAAAGACACCATACCTCTTGTCATGTGCTTATCCTTGGGAATAAGTATATCAAATGAAGGACATGAATCTTCTGCAGTTTTGATGAAAAATTATTGCATGCAGTCTAAATTTATTTAAGTAAATTTGGTAAAATTTAATTATTGTTTAAATAAAAAATTAATTTAACTAAAAATACAGAAAAATTTAAAATTTTATCTTCTTAATTTACAAAATGAAAAACTTTTATACAAAATCATGTAGTTACACTTTATTATTAGTCATAAATGTACATATGATTTAATTTTCAAAAGCTCTCTCTAAAAAAAAAACAACAGAAACCATAAATATGTCAACTAGAAATTTCTCAATATTTTTAATTCTATTATATCTTTTAAAAAAAGATTATATTAGAGAAATTAAAGATGCAATACTACAATTGTTTATTAACTAATTTTTTTAAATCATTATTTTTATAATTTTTATTATTATTCTTAACAATATAACTCATTTCATAATTATTACATTCACCAATGTTTAGGACAAGCAATATACTAGATAATATATTTAAAATATTTTAAAAGATGATATATGTAAAAAGTTTTAATAACTAAATAGTCATCAAAGAAAAATAAAAATTCTTCAAATTTTTTTATAATTTTAATTTAAATAATTTTTTTAACGAAAATCACTTTTTTATCAAATTTATTTAAGTAAATTTTTTTCACTTAGATAAATTTAAACTACATTCTACATTTTTGTAACAAAACTGCAGATGACGTAAATACATTGTACGAGTCTGTTGTTATCCCACCAAAAATGCTAGAATACATGACACAGAATTGTTGCTTGCCCTTCAGCTTTTCTCATAAATATTTTAGTTTTCCAATGGCCTTGTGATTTCATAAATGCCATAAATAGAAAGAAACCATTAGCAACCTTGGACCACATATGTTCCTTCTTGAGAAACGACTGTCTTCAACCTTCGCTCTGGTGTCCTTCTGACAATTGCTGATGTAGGAAGGTACCTGCAAAAGGCACTCCGATGTTGAAGTTAGGATTCGGCTCAGAGCAATAAATGATATTAAATGATAAAGAGTCAACCCTTTACCTGCTCTTTCTACCTTTCTTTTATAGACACTGTAATGGGCTAATGGGCCTGAGTCAACTCTGACTTTTGGCCCTTTTCATGGTTTAGATAAAATTCTAATTATCATTTATCTTTGAATCTTAGAGGTACTGATTTAGACTAGCCGAATAGGTATTCAGTTTCCTTTCTTCTATATGTAGGGTCCATCAATTTCCCTATCCCGTACACTAGTCCCCCAAGCCCGAAGAGGTACGATTTGAGGGCTTTAAATTAGAGGTACGGTCGAACGAGGAGGGATTTCCGCATAGTGGACAACGCTGAGGATGGTATTCGGTTTAATGAACGGAAGGGAATACCGAAGGAGGTATTCGGTCCGATCAGTGATCAAGAATACCTGGGGGGTGTTCGGTTCGATCAGTGATTAAGAATACCTGGGGGGTATTCGATTCGATCAGTGATCAAGAATACCTAGGAGGTATTTGGTTCGATCAGTGATCAAGAGTACCTAGGGGGTATTCGGTTCGATCAGTGATCAGTCAGTGATCAAGAATACCTAGGGGGTATTCGGTTCAGTCAGTGATCAAGAATACCTAGGGGGTATTCGGTTCAATCAATGATCAAGAATACCTAAGGAGGGTATTCGGTTTTTTAATAAAGTCAATGTAATCCAAGGAATTTAATAAATGAATAATAATAAATGTTCATATAATACAAAATGGAAACGAATTCTTCTAGAATGTCAAGTACTTTTTAGGGTTTCCTCGATATGTGTGCGTGAAACGAAAGGGTAGTCGATCCTCACCGCTCGATCTGGGACAAATCTGTCGGTTGGAGAGGGATGTGACCTTTCGTATATCCGAGGGCCCTCTATAAATATGCGGTGGTCCAGGTGTTTTGTTCTCTACTTTGTCTCTATACCGAGAAGTATATGCTATTGCTCCAAACCGAAGGGTATTCAATCTTTCTTTTTCAAACCGACTTCTGTGAGGTACGCTTCATTCTTTCCCTTTTTTATCATGGCCAGATCCTTAGAATGGGAAGACTCGTTGTCCGAGTCGTCCACGCCGAGTAGTGTTGATAGTCAACATGCTGGGAAAACCGGAGGGGGGGTAGCACTTGGTTCAGGACCTAGTAAGGATGATGAAGGCGTGGAAATTTGCATTAGGGAGTGCAATGACGAAGCCGAATCGTCAGAGTCCACCAATTCTGATTCTTCTGAACCCCTACCGAGCATGAGCCCCCCTAGGGAGAGACCAGTACTTCCTCCTTGTATTATTCCTGGATACGAGTGGGTGCATGGTGAGGTAGCTGCCTACTTTTCTCGGTATAGGAGAAATAAAGATCTCCAATCTTTTGTTGACCATGTGGACATTTCATTGTGGGAGCCGTCCGATCCCTACCCTATATTCATTAATCCTTGTCGCGGGGACGAAACCGAAGACCCTGAGTTTGTTTTTCGAGGGAGTGCCGATATGGCCGACACCTTCTTCATGTACGAGTATATGTTTAGGGAGCTGAGTATAAAATTGCCTTTTAATGATTTTCAACTGGGGGTGTTGCGAGTTTTAAATGTAGCGCCGACACAACTCCACCCGAATGGATGGGCGGCTATCTAAGCTTTTAGAGTACTTTGTAAATTTCATTATATTGAACCTAGCGTAGGATTGTTTCTTCATTTTTTTGTACTCGTCCATCGGACCTTGCCAGATGGGTATCGTTAATAAGGCAACCAGATTTGCCTTTGTTCAAGCCTTATGCCTCGTCTTTTAAGGGTTTTAAAACCGGTTTCTTCAAAGTAACCGTCCATCCTGTAGGTAAAAAATTTTTCTTTGATAGTGAAAATAATCCTCTTTTTCCTTTCCATTGGACCCCGGGTGCCTCGCCGGTATGACTGGATTCCCGAGGATATGTTGTCGGCTAGGGAGTTAGCGGCATTGGAATATTTAAAGTCTCTTCCCCGAGACCTTCCTGCCTGACATATACTTTTAGTATTAAAATCTCCTCAACCTCGCCTGGACATGGATGGTATGTTACGTGATTGTGGTTTTTATTTTTGGGTTAAACGATATTAATTTGACTGGCTGCTTTTTATTGTAGGTTTAATGGCTCAACGGGGGGTTCATGTGGCGACATATCGGAAAACTTTGAAAGCTAGGGCCCCTGAGAACACGCCCACCGAAGAGTACCGACATCTTCCACTGGACCAGATTCCTGTTGCGACCGAGCTGCAACCTCCTCCCCGAGACCTTGTTATTGCCGAAAACCAACCGAAAAAACGAAAAGACAAGGGGAAGGAGAAAGAGAAGGGCAAAGAGGCGGACAGAGAGAAGAAAAGAAAGCACTCTCATTCAGGAAGGCCGAGTGGCTCGGATGGTAGCCGTCATCAGGGCCGGGGTGAGCTGGCCTCCGGCGCTGCCAGTTCCTCTAATAGCGTCTTCCCTTCTTTCTTTCTGACCGACGCCTTCTTCAACAATGGTGTTCATGCTGGCCGAGCAGTTGCGCCTGACCTGCTGTCGGATGCAGGAAAGGAGGCGGTTAACAATCTTGAGATTGAGTCCGTGTGGAAATACTTCTCGGAGTTTCAAATCCGAGCTATGATGATGCTCCGACGATTGGCTCTGGAGCCCACACGGGAGCTGAGAAAGGTTCAAAACGAGTATGCTGCCGCCCAACAAACCCTTGCAGAAAATGAGGAGATTCGGCAAAATCTGGCCGAAACCAATAAAGCTTTGGAAGCTGAGGTTATTCAATATAAAGAACATTATCATATAGTGAAAAACCGGCTCTAAGCTACTGAACAAGCATTGAAGGCGAGGGAAGAGGAGATGGAGGCTTGGAGGGTAAAGTCTGTAGGATTGGAGGAGTCCTTGAGGGCTAAATCTGCTGAAATGGAGGAGGCCGTGGCTGCTGAGAGGCACAGGGCGGATGATGAAATGAAAGCTTTTGCCGACAAGTGTTCAGCTCAAGTGGCTATTGAACACGAGTCGGGTTTTAATCATGCCGTTCGCCAGTGTTATGGTTTTTGCCAAGTGCCTCCTGACTTCCAGTTCGATCTTACTAGAGATTTTTTCGGCGGTCGGTTCCTAGCATATAATGACGTGGATGAAGATTTAGAGCCTGATGCCGAAGCCCCTCCACGAAGAAATATAAGCGACGATGCTACAGCCCCTGATGTAGAGGCGGCCGGTCCTGATACCTCTCGCCCAGAGAATTAGTTTAATTTATGTTCTATTCATGGGCCGAAGTGCCCCATTTTTTGTAATCTTTTTAACAGAAATAGAAATTCTCACTGGTGTTCACTTTTTGCTAGAGAAGTTAACCATTTTTCCTTCTACATAACGATATTTATTCTAAATAGCTTCTTCGTTAAATCGAGCAGGGGTAGATAAATAATTTTAATCGACTAGGTGCCATTTAAAATATCATTAAAGTTCCATTCTTATTCGAGTAAGGGTAATTGGTCCAGGAAAGTTCAACCTTGAATGGAAATATAATTGATTCACCCTAACCGAGTGGAGGTAGTTGGGAGGAAAAAATTCATTTTTTAACCGAGTGCGGTATTCGGGACGTAGAATAGTTAATTCATCCTTAACCGAGTGAGGTACTCGAGAGGTAAATAGCTGATTCGTCCTTAACCGAGTGGGGGTACTCGGGAGGGAATTAATTCATCATTAGCCAAGTCATACTTGGGAGGGAAATAGTTGATTCGTCCTTAACCGAATGGGGGTACTCGGGAGGGAATTAATTCATCCTCAGCCAAGTCATACTTGGGAGGGAAATAGTTGATTTGTCCTTAACCGAGTGGGGGTACTCGGGAGGGAATTAATTCATCCTCAGCCAAGTCATACTTGGGAGGGAAATAGTTGATTCGTCCTTAACCGAGTGAGGGTACTCGGGAGGGAATTAATTCATCCTCAGCCAAGTCATACTTGGGAGGGAAATAGTTGATTCGTCCTTAACCGAGTGGGGGGTACTCGGGAGGGAATTAATTCATCCTTAGCCAAGTCATACTTGGGAGGGAAATAGTTGATTCGTCCTTAACCGAGTGGGGGTACTCGGGAGGGAATTAATTCATCCTCAGCCAAGTCATACTTGGGAGGGAAACAATTCAACCTTGGCCAAGTGAAACTTGGGAGGGAATGGTGCTTGAAAGGTATGTAATGCGTAAAAAACCGTATAGGTGAAGAAAGAGAAATTTTATTGATTAGGTGCCTCGTTAAAAACCTTCTCAGGAAAACTCCTTTTCACTTTCTTTTAAGAGGATAAAACCTGGGATAGGAAAAGAGTGCACCTGTGCACGTATTACAAGGTTTTAGCTATAAAAATGCTTTAAATGAGTGACATTCCAGGTTCTTGGTATTAATTTTCCTGCCAGGGTTTCCAATTTGTATGCTCCATTATTTAATCTTGCTGCTACCCGAAAGGGGCCTTCCCAGTTGGCTGCCAACTTTCCTTCTTGTCGATCCTTGCGCGCGTCCCCGGTTACTCGCCATACCAGGTCGTTTTTGTAGAATTGTCGTGGACTTATTTTGGAGTTGAATTTTCTAGCCATCATTCTTTTACTAGCCTCAGTCATGATGGCAGCGTGGTCACGGATCTCATCTATCAAGTCCAGGTTGACGGCCAGAGCCTCTTCATTGGCCGATTCCTTGAAATTCTCTCTCCTGAATGACGGCTCTCCAATTTCTACCGGTACCATGGCATCAGTACCATAGGTAAGCCGAAAGGGGGTTTCTTTTGTTGTGGTCTGCGGCATGCACCGATAGGCCTATAAAATCTCAGGCAGCTTCTCTGCCCATTCTCCCTTTGCCGAACCCAACCTCATTTTTAATTCATGCAAGATCACTTTGTTGGCAGCCTCGGCTTGGCCATTCGTCTGCGGATGTTCAACAGATGTAACCCTATGTTTGATATGCAGGCCTGCCAAGAACTCGTTGAATCGCCGATTTGCAAACTGAAGCCCATTATCTATAATTAGTGCATGAGGGAGACCGAACCGTGTTATGATGTTTTTCCAAGTGAATTTTTGTACATTATGGGCCGTGATTGATGCTAGGGGTTCGGCCTCAATCCATTTGGTAAAGTAGTCCACGGCGACGAGGAGGAATTTACATTGCCCTTTTGCCAAGGGAAATGGACCGAGGAGGTCCATTCCCCAAATAGCGAAGGGCCAAGGAGCGCTAATGTGCCGAAGGGTATCGACGTGTTGGCGCAGGTGAGGGCCATGTTGTTGACAGGGAATGCATCTTTTTACAAACAACTGACAGTCTTGAGTTATTGTTGGCCAGTAGTATCCGGCCCTGAGCACTTTGGCTGCCATAGTTCGTCTGCCCGAATGGGTTCCACAGATACCTTCATGGATTTCTCTCATCACGTACTTAGCTTGGTCGTCTTCTAGGCATTTAAGCATGGGGGTGGAAATTCCTCTTCGATACAATTCTTTGCCGAGAAGAAGGTATTTGGCTGCATGTGCTTTAATTTTCCTAGCTGCTGCTGCGTCCTGCGGGAGACTGCCATCAGTGAGGTATTGGGCCAGGGGGGTCATCCAATTATGAGATGAATTTTCTATGTCCATGCATTCTTGCTTGGTGATACTAGGTTGGAGGATTTGTTGGTGAACCATGCTCTGCAGCTGCCCTGGTTTCCGTTGGCTAGCCAGCCTAGCTAGCCTGTCGGCTCGTGCGTTCATGTTTCGGGGTGTGTACCGAATGCATACCTCCTCAAACTCGGTTTTTATTCTCTTAACCTCCTGGTAATATTTAAGCATGACCGAGTCCCTGATCTGATAGGTATCATTCACTTGTTCGGTTACAACTTTTGAATCACTCCAAGCAGTAATGCGTTTAACCCCCATTTCCCTGGCTAGTCTGAGACCGGCGAGTAAAGCTTCATATTCGGCTTGATTGTTGGATGCCTTAAATCCGAACCGGATAGACTGTTCAATGGCGAACGCATTCGGTCCTTCAAGAATTACCCTCGCTCCACTGTCTAATTGATTTGATGATCCATCAACATGCATATTCCACATGTCCGAAATGGTATCATGTTGTATAGTGAACTCATTGATGAAGTCGGCTAACACTTGGGCTTTAAGGGGGCGTCGGTTCTCGAAATGGATATCAAACTGAGATAATTCAATTGTCCATGCCACCAACCGACCAGCCAATTCTGGTTTCCTCAATATTTTGGCCATCGGACAATCTGTACGTACCACCATCCGATGGCTCTGAAAGTAGTGTCTTAACCGACGAGCTATATGGACTAGGGCAAGTACCACTTTCTCCATTAACTGGTACCGAGATTCAGGACCTTGGAGTGTCCTGCTAACAAAATATACGGGGTTCGGTTCAGGTGTTTCTTGAAGTAGAACTGAACTGACGGTGTGATCGGATACAGCCAAATAAACAATCATTTCCTGATTTGGTGTCGGTTTAATCAACACAGGTGGTGCCGCCAGCACATGCTTGTATTGTACAAAGGCGTCCTCACACTCCTTGGACCAAGCAAATTTTTGAGATTTTTTCAACAATTCGATGAAAGGCCGAGACCTTTCTGCCATTACTGGTAAGAATCTAGCAAGGGCTGCGATCCGCCCGGTGAGTCGTTGCACGTCCCTGACATTGCAAGGACTGGCCATGTCAAAGATGGCTCTACATTTGTCGGGGTTTGCCTCAATCCCCCTTTCTGACAACATGAAGCCCAAAAATTTACCGCCAGCTACACCAAACGTACATTTTTCAGGATTAAATCTCATACCATGTTTTCTGGCTTCTCCGAATACCTCATCTAAGTGGTCAAGATGTTGCTTCAATGCGAGGGATTTAATTACCATGTCGTCTACATACACCTCCATGCATTTACCCACTTGTTTTTCAAAAATTTTGTTCATGAGTCGCTGGTATGTTGCTCCTGCATTCTTCAGACCGAACGGCATCACTCGATAACAAAAATTTGCAGAATTTGTGATGAACGTTGTTTTTTCCTCATCCGGGGGGTACATTCGTATTTGATTATACCCAGAATAAGCATCCAAAAAGCTCAGTATTTTGTGACCGGCTGCACCATCGACCAAGATATCAATGTTTGGTAGTGGGTATGCGTCATTTGGGCATGCTTTATTGAGGTCCGTGAAGTCCGTGCACATTCGCCATTTGCCGCTGGCTTTTTTAACCATGACAATGTTGGCTAACCATGTTGAATACCTGACCTCTCGGATAAAGCCAGCTTGTATCAGTTTGCTGGTTTCTTCTTTTACTGCCTTTGCTCTACCACCACCAATTTTTCTCCTCTTTTGAGCTACCGGCTTGGCTCCTTTATAGACCGATAAGTGGTGACAAAGAAATGCTGGATCAATGCCAGGCATATCCGAGGCTGTCCAAGCAAACAAATTGGCGTTATTTACTAGCATCTTTTGGAGGACGGCTTTTTCTTGTTCGTTCAAACCGATCCCTAAATACGCAACTTGTTCTGGCTTTGCTCCTAGTTGGAAGGATTGTTTGTTTTCATTGGGCTCGACACGATATTCCGCATCCATTCTAGGATCAAGTTCAACATCCAACTCTTCTTCCAACCGAGGGAATACAATGTTGACATCCCGGTTATTCCCATGAAATGGTTTAAGGCGTAAACTTGCAAAGTAACATTCCCTGGCTGTTTTTTGATCAGCATGGACGGTAACAATTCGGCCTCTTTCAGACGGAAATTTCATGGCCAAGTGCGGAGTGGACACTATGGCCTTCAATTTGTTCAGGGATGGTCTGCCGAGTAGTATATTATAAGATGTGTTTGCGTGTACTAGAAGATAAGTGACTCTTATGCGTTTGCTCTCATGTTCTGATCCAAACGTGGTATACAAGTCAATACATTCCTTGGTCTCTACTCGTTTCCCGGAAAACCCAACCAATGGTTCATGGTATTCTTTGAGCTCTTGTTCTGCGATGCCTAATTGCTTGAATGTATTCCAGTATAGGATATCGGCCGAGCTCCCCTGGTGTTTTTCGAACAGTGCAGTTAAGAATGTCTACACTAATTACCATGGGATCATCCTGCACCGGATCGACTCCCTGAAAGTCGTCGTCAGTGAACGTAATAGGCGGGATCCGAATTCTGCTGCCTAATGAAACATTATTGACCGAACAGACATGCCGAAGATGCCTTTTTCTAGCCGAATGGGTAGGTCCTCCACCAGCGAACCCTCCGGCTATGGTGTTAATGACCCTTTTTGGGTACTTTTCTTCAAATCTTCTAGCTGGGGGCTCTTTGGACCTGCTCCTGTGTCGTTCAATTTTTTTGTGGTCGAATATCTTTGGTGAATCAGGGTGACGATCTCTTCCTCTATTAGATTGCTTTGTGGGATCTGTCTGTACAAAATCTTTTAGGTATCCACCTTTAATCAATTCTTCAATTTTATCTCTTAGTGCCGTACACTCTTCAGTAGTGTGACCCCTGTTCTGATGGTATCGGCAAGACTTGCTTTTATCTGCCCGAGGTGGAGTGTTAGCGCGTCTAGGCATTCTCAATATTTCTGTGGCCAATGCTTGATCAAGTATTCTGGCCTGATTAGTGTTGAGCGTCGTGTAGGACGGATACTTCGGTCGCCGAGGTGGTCGCTCAAGTTCATTTCCTCTGTCGTTCCCCCACCTTGCTTTAAAGGCCTCCTTTCCTTCTATATCTTTTGAGTTAGATCCTTGGTCCATCCATACCTGGCTCCGATATTCGGATAATTCTTCCATTTGCATGTACTTCGCAGCCCGACTCCTTAACTCATCTAGGTCGATCGGGGGCTTTTTGCAGAGGCTATTAACAAAGGGTCCCGGCTTTAATGCTGTTGTGAGGTGGTGCATAACTACTGCTGGTTCCAAGTTATGAATTGAGAGAGTCACTTTGCCAAAGCGTTTCATGAACGCTCTAAGTGATTCTCCTTTCTCTTGGCGAATATTGACTAGGGCCAAGGATGTTAGGGGATGGGGCCGGCTTGTGGCGAACTGCAAGTTGAAACGCCTTGTGAGAGTTGTAAACGAGTCGATGGAGAGAGGGGGGAGTCAGGTGAACCAACTGAGCGCAGGTCCTCGGAGTGAAGTAGGAAAAATTTTGCACCATAAGGCATCGCTTTCTGTGTACAGACCGACCTGCGTTGTAAAGATATCCACGTGTTCTCCGGGGTCGGATGTGCCATCGTATTTGTCTATTGCCAACCCTCTCCAATTATCGGGCAGCTTGGCTTCCAGAATGCGGTGAATGAACGGGCTCCGGTTCACAAGGTCGTCCCGGTCATCTCTGGTTGCCGATTGATAGACTTGCCTTGATTTGTCTTGCAGTGCTGAGGATTCCCCTTGATCTTGGATGAAAGGCGTCGTTTGGGAAGGGATGTGTGTCCTTATTTCTTCCCTTAAGCCAGCATTTTCCCTCCTTAGGGCCGAGAGCTCTAGTGCATCTCTTTCGCGTTCCTTCTTCATCTCCATCATTTCTGCCTTAAGCTGCCTCAGTGCAGCTAGAATGCTTTCCTCCGTTCCTCCCTGCATCACCACTTCAGGTACTGGTTCCTCTGGCGTGATGTCCTCCATTTGTTGCCGAGAGGTTCCTTCTTGCTGGCTTCTCGTCATTACCATGCTTAATCCTGAAGAATGAAGTCAATTCTGCCCCACGGTGGGCGCCAAAATGTTCCTTCTTGAGAAACGACTGTCTTCAACCTTCGCTCTGGTGTCCTTCTGACAATTGCTGATGTAGGAGGGTACCTGCAAAAGGCACTCCGATGTTGAAGTTAGGATTCGGCTCAGAGCAATAAATGATATTCAATGATAAAGAGTCAACCCTTTACCTGCTCTTTCTACCTTTCTTTTATAGACACTGTAATGGGCTAATGGGCCTGAGTCAACTCTGACTTTTGGCCCTTTTCATGGTTTAGATAAAATTCTAATTATCATTTATCTTTGAATCTTAGAGGTACTGATTTAGACTAGCCGAATAGGTATTCAGTTTCCTTTCTTCTATATGTAGGGTCCATCAATTTCCCTATCTCGTACAACATATGTGGCTAATTTTGTAAGGTAGACCTTGGAGCAAGACCACAATGGAACATGAGATATTTCAGTTTTAGAATCTGAAACATCAAACACAATTTGTTACGGAAACCAATATTTAAACCAATAAAGTTTGTCAGTGGAGTATTGTTGTATATATAATGGTACGTAATTAAGCTAGCAGCTTATTCATAAGAAAACTTAGAAGCCAAGCTTCCAAGATTGATTACAATTTGTCGCGGCCTTCATTTTTATAAAAAACACGAAGAGATTCTGCATACTTGTATTTGAAGATTTTTATCACTGGACGCTGGCTTTGTTTTATAGTAAAATATTAGAAGTATAAATATTGTCAAAGCTAGTATTTAATCATATAAAGGTACAGTTTCCTTTCTGTGCGAGATAAAAGCCGATTAAAACGACCAATTATTGTTTGTGGATTTGGGGAGCAGTATGTTGACTTCAGTTCTGATACTATACTTCCTAGTAAAGTATACTGTTTTTATATTATTTTCCATCCCTTTTCTTATGCCTCATTCAATCATTATTATTATGTATTAAAAAAAATCACGTATTAATTACGAATTTTTTTTAAAAAAATAAAAAATTATACTAATAAACTCAGTTCCCCTTTATTTATCAAGATAGACCTATTTCCTATAGCAATAAATACTTACTCAGAATTCGGTTTACCGGAACCGAATTCTTAGTAAGTTTTTTTTTTTGTTTTCAATTTATTTTTATGTTTTTATGTAATATATTATTATTTAAATTATATTTATATATTTATATTTTGTTAAAATAAATATTTATAATATATTTTTCAAATAAATATTTTGTTAATTATATATAATAAAATAATTTTTATTATTTAAATTATATTTATATTTTATATTATGTGAAAATGAATAAAAATAATAAATAATATTTATTTTACATGTTTATTAAAATATATTTTACATATTTATGATAGTAAATAATAATTTTGTTTTTTTATTATATTATTTCATATAATTTTGATTTTTTTAAAATGATGTTAATATTATATTTTAAAAAATTACAATAATATTATGTTGTGGGATACATATTAATGTTTGATCACATTCAAGCTAATCAGGTAAATCTTCATAACAAAAATTTGAATTCATATTTATTTTTTTATCTTTTACACATCATCTTAAGTAACAAAGTTAAATTTATTTATAGTTTTTATGGGTGTCATATCAAGACTTGCAAACATCAATACCCATTGAAACGTGTAGAAATGTCTAACTGTAGACTTTATGTACCGTCATCCTTTATTTTACAATTGTTGAATAATATCAAACAGATAGAGTCAAGTTACAGTTTCGTCTCTTCTACGAAATTCCTTATCCACCGAATAATTTGAATGACCTTCACAAATTTGACATAAGAGAAAGATAGGATGAAAATTGGGTTACAATACATGCTTAATGGATCAACATATGTAACGGGTTACACAGAGTAATACATGGAATGATACATTGTCAATTTCATTTATTTCCTATCAATGGCACCACTATTATAAGATCAAAGGAGGAGCCACCAATAACTAAGAACTACTAACACATTTAAAATCAGTACGACTTCCACACCGTCGTACCATGAAACTGCATCATTTCTTTCGAACATTACACCATATGCAAACATAATTAACACAAGACATTTGTTTGCAACAACATCAAAGTATTTTTTTACAAACTTATTTGGAGTTGATTTTACAACTCTATCTTTAGCAAAAAATTACATGCTGACTCTTTACCAACCATATTTTGCTAATGAACCTGGTAATTTATCAATTGTATTCTAACAACTAGACATTCATGATGATCCAAATCTTCTATAAGTTCATCTTGAAATCCCAAAGCAATAGTCACAACGATGAAATTCAACACATCACAGATGTCGCCTTTGTTGTGGAACTGGCCACCATTTTAAAAATTTAATTATTATTCTTTAAGTATAAATAATTTAAGCATTAATATTATTATCTAAAATAATATACTTATTATTTAACTATTTTAATTAGTTTTTAAAAATATAATTATTATTGTTATCTAAAAAAATTATTTATTATCATAAAATTGTAAAATAAATTTTAACAAATATGTAAAATAAATATTATTTATTATTTTTATTTATTTTCACGTAATATAAAAATATAAATATAATTCAAATAATAAAATTTATTTTATTTTATATAATTAACAAAATATTTATTAGAAAAATATATTATAAATATTCATTTAAACAAAATATAAATATATAAATATAATTTAAATAATAATATTTATTTTACTACATACAAACATAAAAAAAAATTGAAAACAAGAAAAAAAATAACTCAGAATTCGGTTCCCGAAAAACCAAATTCTGAGTGAGTATTTGTCGCTACTGAAAATAGGTCTATCTTAATAAATAAATGGGAGCTGGGTCTATTTGTGTATTTTTTTAATTTTTTAATATTTTTTTTTGTAAAAAACTATTAATTGCAGCATGCAAGTGTATAAAAATTAAGAGTATGTTTGTCTGCATTTTAATTTTTTTTTAAATACAAACAAAATATCCTAATTGTTTATATTTATGTTTTTTCAAAAAACAAATAAGCATTGCTTAGAACATCTTTATTTATTTATTTTTAAATTAAAACAAAAAAATGATTTTATTATTAACAAATATCGGTATTTATTCATTTTATTCTATAACTAAAATTTAATACAATTTTTAGAGTTAAATAGCTTTATTTACTTTGCAATTATACTCTGAATTATAGTATAATGTATCGTTGAATAACATAAAAACATGCAAAAGTTAAAATTGAAACATGTTATGTTTTTTCATGTTATGAACTAAACCGCCTCAATTACTTACGATATACATGGAACTAAAAATTCTACGAGTGTACTTAATGTCACAATCTACAGTGTCCTTAACATATCTCAGATTATTTAACAACTTGTAAATGGGCTTCATTTACTTATTACATGAATTTTGAAAGCATAACCACCACTAACATAATATCAAATTTAATTGCATCAAGACACACTGTGTATCTAATTAAAGTTTTATTATAATGTTTATCAACTTTATTTTTCTTAAATTCTCCTTTTATTCATTAGAGCAGTAATGTTTTTTCATTTTTCTATTTAATTTTTCTTTTATTTTATTTTTTACTTCTTTGGCATACAAAAACTCTATATTGTGATTACACTTTACCTCAATTATCGTAAAAAGGAACAGTAAATCAATACTCGTCATTTCAAATGTTTGAATGTTTCAACTTTAAACTCTTTTACTATCTTCTCATTGTTTTGTGTAATCAACAAATCATATATACAAAAATTATAATTAAATATACATTTATATTTTACACATGTAACCTACCTCCACTTGAATTTTTGACAAATCCAATATTTTTTTTTAACACAATCACATTTTATTATACCAAGCCATACAATTTTATTTAAGATCGTACAAAGTCTTATTTAGCTAACATACTTTCTCATTTTATCTATTGAGTTGATACTTTTTAGGTTGTTCTACAAATATTTCCTCTTACAATTTGATTTTTAAACTATATATAAATGATAAATCTTTTGTCTTTTATATGTAATTAAGACAAATATCATTCTCTTTGTATCAACCTAGTGACTCCTATAAGTTGATTACACTGAGGTTTGTCCATCAACTTTCAAGTGACAATTTTTTATTATCTTTAACTATTTCTTCGTAATTTATTAACCTTTTTAAATTTCACAAGCTTTTAAATAACTACACTACATCTTTCACAACAAATTATAATGTATCGTATTTTCACCAAAATATCATTTATATCGCATTTTTTTTTCTTTGCTATTTGAATTCCATTATTTATTTTTCATGAATTTCACATTTTTTATAAGATATTTTCTTCCATTTTGTGGTTCCAAAATTCCACAAACTTTAAAAATACCACTATACTTAATAAAAATTAAGAGATTTCACCTCCTTGTCAAGTTTGTCTCTTTTAACTTGTACTACAAAAGAAAAACAAACTTAATAAAAACTTTATATTATGTAAATTTGTAAGCAAACCAAGCTTCAAATTATTATTATTATTATTAAATGTTGAAGTGATTTTTTTTTTGTATATTTATAATTTAATAATATCAGAATCCCATAAACTATTTTGTACTTTTTTAATCGAAGTTGCAACGAGTACTCTTGTTTTGGGTTGCACCTCCATCCATATACGAGAAAAAAAACGTGTTAACTCCTCGCAGCTGGTGTACCAAATTCTGAAAGCAACTGGGCGTCGTCGCCTTAAAGAAAAGCGTATTTCAAGAAATTAAAGAATTTTGGAGAGCACCGAATCTATAATCATTACCATCTCCTTCACGTTTAGTTTCCACTTTCAACCTGTTAATTCACGATTCAAACCCTAACATCGCAATTACAAATCTCAATCGCAGTTACTATTCACAAGTTTCTATACCATCTTCGAAATTTCACTTCCTGGAAGCCCTATATTTCAGTAAATTGATTATCCGGAGCAGCATGTTAGGGTTTCGAAAAACCGATTTTGGAAGAAACTTGAAACCCTAAACTTAGATTCCACAAATCCATGTCTGCTTGATTTTTTGATGTTTTGAGCCCCTGGTGTTGTCGGGTTTGGGGCTACTTGCTGCTTCCGTCAATGGCGATCATTGGCGACGCGCTTCGCCAAGCGTTCATGCCGAAGCGCGAGTACGAGAGCCTCAGGGAAGAAGATAAAGCATGGGGCAAACTTCAGAGACCTGTGACTGTGGCTTTTGTGTCTGTCATCTGGCTCACAATCATCGTGTGCACGGTTATCAGTTTGAAAATTGTGTTTCCGGGTAGGGATGGGAAGAGACCGTTCTGCGTCGATCGCAGGCTTCAATCTATTCAGATAGGCATAAAAGGTGGCTCCGATTCGGATCTTTTTCCTGGCGCTTTTTATCTTACGGACCAAGAGATTGCTGATTATTACTGGATGGTTGTGTTCATTCCCTCGATGATCGTTTTCTTGATCTCGGTTGCGTATCTCATCGCTGGTAAGAAGTTTAATTTCGTTGTTGCTCTTGCTTAGGTCTTTTAATCTGATTATTGTCAAGAGATGGGATGCACAAAATTCTCTGTTTTTTCTTTAATTTTGCGTTGTTTGCTTAGAGAAAGATGCCTAAATATAGTTACCTAGATTATACGTATTATGTATTGTAATGTCACTTCGATGACCTCTTATCTCGATTCTATGTTTAATTTTATAATAGCTATAATTTAAGGATTGATAGAATATTATCAGAGTAACCCATTTGAGGAACAAAGGTTTTTAGCATTGAAGAAATTGAGGAATGGGGGCTGCTGGAAATCTTTTCCAGACCAACATTGTGGGAAGAGTTGCACTGTAGATATCCCTTTTATGATGGAAGTAGAATTCACGTTTCCCACCAAATCTGAAATCTCTGCGGGACGATGAGAAATAAATTTCTTACATTATAGCTCAAGAAGAAGTAATTTTATATTAAAAATTTAGAAAACAGAGCCAAGATGGTTGATGTCAATAAAAGATCAAAAGAGGTTTTTGAAACTGGATTGTCGTGCAAACTGAATCAATAACTAAAATGCTTTGAGTGCTCTTGGATTGTGTTCCTATTCTGATATTTAGAAGGCAAATTATTTTGATTTCTCCATGAACTTGTCTGGTTTATGATTGCTGAAATTTGAGGACTATCTATAGTTATAGATGTAGCATTTGGGTTGTTTTCAATATGTTTGATATCAGCAATGGGAGTGTAGAACTATCCTCCTAGATAACATGGTTCTAGAGGAGCATTGGAGAATTCAATCACTTGGTGTTTTTCCAAAGTGCTTTCTGGCATCTTGTTAATTTGCTAATTTGCATCACTTAATTTCTTTTCTAAGATGAGTCAAGATGTGACAATGTCTCTGCTATCTGAGTAGAGTGATTCTACATCCTCAAATATTGGATTCACAATCCTGCAAAATCTTACTGTTTGCATCATCTAACTCAGATGTTTCCCTGTTAAACTTAAGAAAAGCCTTCCTATGCAGCTGCACAAACTATTAAATCCTAGAGTTGGACACATGGCCATTACTCTACTCTGGTAGAGTATTTGTCATTTGTATTTTCAATCCAAGCCCCTGGCCTTTTTATTGTAATTATAGATCACACCACAGATCCAACCGTGGGGTTTCTTTTCTTTGATCTGCTAAATAATGTGAACCTAGGATTGTCAGCCACTTATTCTGAAATATTTTTAATTATATAGCTCAAGCTTTTGCAGAACATGTTATCCTTTGTTCCTGAATTCATGATGTTGAAGTTATGTAGGTCAATGGATTATGGTGTCAACTACTAACTGAGTGGCTCTAATCTCTATATCTTACATCATCCCTCTTAATCCAAAACTTTTTTTTAATTGTACTATTTGTTGTAACAATGGTAAGAAATACAGGGGGAGGGGATGAATGTATTTCTTAAACTTTCTTTTAAAACTTTTTTTCTAATATAATCAGCAACAAATATGTTCACAAGAATTTCATTCTTTAACCAAGAGTTGTTTTCCTTCTTTTAATTCAAGATAGATGTAAAACGAGAAACACAAAGGATTTATACTGATTAAACTAATCTTGGCTTACATCCAGTGTTAGTTTGACAACCCTAATCAAACTCTTTCCACTAAGAACAATTTTATTTTACAAACACTATACACATACAATTTTCTTAATTTTTTCTTGAACTCTACATGAAAATCATGACAAAAACCAAAATACTATGATTCTCTGATCTATGGAAAAACTATTTCCACACCAAACTAGAACAGAAGATAAATAAAGGATAAGGATTGATTACACCTTATTTGTGTATAAATCTTTCAACTTTGCTTTATAAATCCATTTGAATGATCAACGAATCTTGCTTGAGAAAATTCGCGTTTTCTTGAAGAGCAATAACCCTTTGATTCTCTCTTAAAGAGTATTTTAAAAACTTGGAGTGAAAATGAAAATTGGTATCCTTTAAGTTAGAAGGGGTAAGCTTTTCATAAACTTGATATCAATTATCTAATTCTGGTAATCAATTAAAGTGTTTAATAGCCTTTATGTTGCTCAGAATAACAATTTAATCGATTATATATTGTTGTAATCGATTAACCGGTGATTTTACTTTAACTTATTCAGTTTTGGTACTTTTGTAATCGATTAAATTTCTTGGTAACCGATTATTCCAGAGACCATGAATTTTGTTCAAATGAATTTTTAATGTGTAATTGATTACGAAAACCTGATAATTGATTAAATTAGAGATGTATAATTTTGCTAAAATGGCGCTGTAATCAATTACAAAACATTTGTAATCGATTAACTCGATATTTTCACGCAACTTTATTTGAAAAAAATCTATTAGTCTAAACTCTGTAGTAGATTCCAAATACATTGTAATCGATTATGAGTTAGATTTGCACTTGTACTTGTTTAAACCAAACTAGTTAAGTTGATTAAGATTTTATTGTTCATTTTTTTTTATTTAAGCTGCCTTACCACATACAGGCTTAATCTATAACAAACAATACAAAGCCACACCTATAAAAACATGTTTGGCTTAAAAACATTGTAAAAAACAAAACAAGAGATTTCCAAGGTTGTTTTTCATCAAACACCAACAAAATCTCCAACCCAAAAAAATTCAGCCTTTTTACTAATTCATCTATTGTGTAGTAATATTTAATTGTTATATAATCTCATATGTTGCATAAATACTCATTTGATTGTTCCTGGTTTACTATCTTGTCACATTGGAATCTCTGTTTTTTGGGTTAAAATAACGTTGTCCATTCATTCTAAAAGCTTTATACCATAATTATGGAGAATATATTTTTGCTTATGCTTGATGTTTTTGTTTTATATGATAACTATTTTGCAGGCATCATTGTAGCATATTCTGCTCCAACAAGGCATGGATGCTTGAAGGTGGTTGAAAATAATTATTGTGCTTCAAGACGGGGTACAATTTCTTCTCTATCAATGATTTTCCCCCTTTTGTGCTTTTTCTACACTTTCAAATTATGGCATCACTATTCTTCTGATACTTGAGCATTTTATGAGCACAAAATTGATTTAAGTTTTTGTTTTCTTTGGATAACCTACAGGTGGTGTTCGCTGTCTATCCATCTTAAATCTTATCTTTGCTATTATCTTTGGTCTTCTTGCCTTGTTTCTTGGTTCAAGCCTCTTGACATTAGTAAGCAACTGCTCTACACCTCTGTTTTGGTGCTATGAAGTTGCATCGTGGGGGCTGGTTATTCTCTATGGTGGCACTGCCTTCTTTCTGAGGAGAAAAGCAGCCACGATTCTCGATGAGGGAAATTTCAGTGGTCGAAATCTAGGGCTTGAAATGCTGGAAGCGAATCCCCTGGAAGTCACACCAGAGGTGGAAAGGAGGGTTAATGAAGGGTTTAAAGCATGGATGGGTTCATCCCTTCTTTCTTCTGATGAAGAAGATGAACCTGACAGTTATGATGAGGCACCTCATTTCACACACACTAACACAAACAAGCAAAGGCTCTGAACTGGATAAATTCAGTGTCAAGAGCTTCACTTCATCCTTTCCAGCCTTTTCATGCCTTAAAGAATGCTGTGATGGTATGGAAATCAGTTTTGGACGAAAAAGAGATTTGAAATGTATCATATAACAAATACAAATGTTGGTTAAAAGGAGTATGGATTTGATGGTTCATTGAACTGTGTTTCATCTGCTCCATTAAGTAATCTCTGTAGTCATGTTTGTGAATAATAATTAAATTGTGAATGACCAAGCTTTGACTTCCTAAGGTGACGGGAAAGCGTTCGCTGAACCGTTCTCGCCGTTCTTCTCCATCTAGTCTTGTTTTTATTTGTATTTTGGACATGGTTTGTGCACTTCATTTCAAAGTGCTTTCGACTAAAAAACTCGAGCTGCTTAATAGATAATGCCATTTTTGACTTGCTTCCTTGTCGACGTGAGAAGTTGATCATAGACGGGTTTTGAAACTTAAAAGGGGTCGTGATAGTTAAGTTTGAAAGCATGCTGCTGATCTCCTGGAAGGCAAGTAACCAAGCAGCAAGCATTCAAAAAGCTTCTTTCTTTTAATTTAAAAAACCCCAGGATACAGTAATACATTGTTTAATGTTGCCAGAGGAGATGGGAGAAAAAAAAAAAAACGAGGGAATGATTTTAAAAATCTGAGCAACTAAGTTTTATTATTATTATTTGGGCCTATTATAATACTGTTGTTTTCATAGTTCTTTTAACATAAATTTACTTAAATGTTGAAGTCCATTAACTTATTTATATGACTCCTTAGATTATTTAGAAGTAGGTAATTTTAACCTATTTAAAAGGTTAAATTATAAAATAGACTTCTAAAGTTATGCTAGACTTTTTGAAAAAGGATCGCCAAACAGTGTTTTTTAAAAGGTATTCCGGGTTTTTGAAAAAAGGCTTGTCAAATAGTTAAAAAATGACAGTAAATAAATACGTTTGGATCTCAAATTCGGGAATTAGATCAGGTTTAAACACTGATGTCATTGTAATTCATTTATCCACTAGCGAACTTAACTGTTTAAATTTAATTTTTTATACTTTTTAATTTAATATAATAAAATAATTATTATTAATAGTGGAGAGAAGCTTACTGATTTTTAAAAAATGTTCAACAAATTAAAATTTTCAAATTGATGCTGGGATAAACGAAAGCCCAATACTCTGTGGCGGGCCTAAACAGCGTTATACCTAGGTGCGGCACACTGTTCTCTCCTTCGGGTAAAGAGCGGTAACACATTCAGTTTCACTCGGACTAAAGAGTACCCAAAACCCTAATCTGGTTCTAGCTCTTCCCGTTCATCTCACTGAATCTCGAACCCCGTCACACCATGGCGAACCAGGATTACGAAGAGCGCCAGCAACCTCAGGAGCTAGGGTACGACCCTAACTTCGTACCAGACTCGGTGAAATCGTTCGTGGTGCACCTGTACCGTCACATCCGTGAGAAGAACGTGTACGAGATCCACCAGATGTACGAGAGTTCGTTCCAAACCCTATCGGAGCGTCTCTTCAAGGACACTCCCTGGCCCTCCGTCGACGCCGTGGCTCACTACGTCGACAACGACCACGTGTTCTGTCTCCTCTACCGCGAGATGTGGTTCCGCCACCTCTACGCGCGCCTCACCCCCACGCTCCGCCAGAGGATCGATTCATGGGACAACTATTGCAGCCTCTTCCAAGTCGTTTTACACGGCGTCGTCAACATGCAGCTTCCGAACCAGTGGCTCTGGGATATGGTCGACGAGTTCGTTTATCAGTTTCAGAGCTTCTGTCAATACCGTGCGAAGATGAAGAACAAGACCGAACAAGAGATTGCTCTACTGAGACAGTTCGACCAGGCTTGGAACGTTTATGGCGTTCTCAATTTCTTGCAAGCGCTTGTTGAGAAGTCCGCTATCATTCAGATTCTCGAGCAGGAGAAGGAGGGGCTTGAACAGTTCACGACTACTGATGGATATGATTATGATGGAGGGAGTAATGTGTTGAAGGTTTTGGGGTATTTCAGCATGGTTGGCTTGCTTAGGGTTCATTGCCTTTTGGGGGATTATCACACTGGTCTCAAGTGCTTGCTTCCTATTGATATTAGTCAACAGGGTGTTTACACCAGCGTTATTGGTAGCCACATTACCACCATTTATCACTATGGCTTTGCCAATCTTATGCTCCGCAGGTAATGATTTAATTGCTTCATATTTTATATGTGTATTTATATAACCACTTTGAATTCTTGAACTGAATCAATTTATAACTTTATATTGTTGTTAATGGTTCCTGTTTCCTCTGGAGGTAAGTTTTGTTTAGGTCCACGAAACAATGCTGGTTTGCCGTCTACTCCATAGTCCATGTGTTCCCCTTCCCCTTTGCCATTCATAATTAACGATTGTGATTATCTCTTGCCTTTGCTTATGAAAAGAAAACTGTTAGAAAATATTGGATTCTTAAATGGAAGTGTAAGGAAGGTGCGGGATCTTTAGGGGCAAGAAGATGAGAGGAAATTCTGTAGTATTTTTTTTATGTCACCCTTAGCAGCTCATATGTCATGTCATAGCGCCTTATTAATAGGAACTGGTACTCTGTTATAAATATTCACTTTGGCTCTAGAAATTTCATAATTAATTTCTAACAAAAACAACTAGTTAAACCATTTATTAATTTGAGGCAGGTTTGCCCTGTATGCATCACTTAATCTGGTTAAATGGTCTCCTTTTACTACTAATAATATAGATAGATTGATAGTGTTTATGCACCCAAAAGAAAGAGATTGGTAGCATTTGCTGTGGGTTGTTATAAAACCTGGTGTTGGACTTGATTAATTGCCCTTTTTCACTCAGAACTCGGTTTTGTTTTTGCAATTTTGTAATTGTCCAAATGCTTGTATGAATTGAAATAAATTCAATTTTTCTTGTTCTATCATAGAATAGCCTTTAACCTGAAACTGATTCGACTTTTATAAGCAGGCCTGGGGTTTTTACAGCTTTTAGTGGCTTTTCCCATAGTTCTGATTTTGGATAGTTCTCAAAATTCTTTGCTTTCCATTGTCACTTATTGAACTTTGATTCTTGTTCCACTTATTTCTAAATGTCTATGATCTGTTCATAAAACATGCAAAGTGGTATGTAATTTCTGTCTTTTGTCATTTTTTTTAGTTTATGAAGCACAGACGAGTCTAAAATTTAAATAAAAATAAGAATGGGCAAATAGAGTGCTATGCATTTTCAAGATTTTATCTGATCAGAAGAGCAGACCAATAATCCCATATTTCCTTGCCTTTATTATTTTGGATGATGTTCATTATGTATAGAATGTCATGTGTTGTTGGCTAGTATAATGTTCCAGTTTAAAAAGTATGTTTGATGGTTTAGTGTTTCAATTGAAAAATTCTATCCAAGATGGTGTTTTGTATTATATTTTTTCCTTATTTTTTCATTACAAGACCTAATCTGTGGCCCTCTCTACAGATATGTGGAAGCAATTCGTGAATTTAATAAAATTCTCTTGTACATCTATAAGACGAAGCAGTATCATCAGAAATCTCCACAATATGAACAAATACTGAAAAAGAATGAACAGATGTATGCCTTGCTGGCAATTTGTCTTTCACTCTGCCCCCAAAGCAGACTTGTTGATGAAACTGTGAACTCTCAGTTGCGAGAGAAGTATGGTGAGAAGATGGTTAGAATGCAGAGATATGATGATGAGGCATTCGCTATCTATGATGAGCTCTTCTCATACGCATGCCCCAAGTTCATTACTCCTTCAGCACCTAGTTTTGAGGAGCCTCTAGTAAATTACAACCAGGTATACCTCAGATTCAATCTGGATCAACAGAAAAGCATCTGGAGTGAGTGCATAGCCCCCCAAAAAACTTAAAATTTGAAGCCATCTCCACTTAACTCCAAATTTGAAGTTTTTCTGTTTCCCTTTATTGAACTTGTGAATAATTTTCTCTCCTTCCACAATCAATCTTGAAGGGTAAAATGTAATTTGGTTTGGAAAACCTAATCCCATCCCCAAATGCTTCATAAGGAGAAAGAGAAAATAATCTAATGAACTATAGTCAGTTGAGAAGTTAGTTAACTATGTTAAAGTGAATTTTGGCATTTTCTCATGAATTTCTTTAAAGGCTCATGATAGTCACCTTAATCTGTAGTGTGCATTTCCTGTAATTTTTATTTTTACAATGAATAGTTGGTATCTTTGTTGAAACTTTGTATTCATTTTCGTAATGTTGTTTTTAGACCTCTATTTACACCTCGAGCCTTCTATTTTTATGGATTGATTGAAGGCTTTTACTGATATTCTAGAGAATTGCTTGACTTGTTAGAAATGATTATTTGGACCCTCACATCTCCCCTTTTTTCCATGTCAATAACAAAATGCTATTTGTTCTGTCAGGATGCCTATAGACTTCAATTGAAATTGTTCCTTTATGAAGCAAAGCAACAACAGTTGTTATCTGGTGTGCGAACCTTCTTGAAAGTGTATTCAACAATCTCCCTTGCAAAACTTGCAAGTTACATGGAAGTGGATGAACCTACCTTAAGGTTGCAACCCAACCAATTACTTTAGCATTTCCCTTAGTCAAGATTTTTTGTTAATGGAATATAAATTTTAGGCATAAGCTTATTCTTGCATTTCCATTTTGATGCTTGGTAGGACTATCTTGATGACTTACAAGCATAAAACACATGCTGTTGATAGTGATGGAAAAATTATATCCAATGCTGATGTGGATTTCTATATTGATGATGTAAGTTTGCTCACTATTTTCTCTTCAATAATCCTTTTCTCACTAAGGATACTCTTATTTCAAATACTGTTTAGGAATGTTAAAAGATTTTCTGGGCCATATTGGTACCAGTGTCCTTTTCAGTTGAAATTGTTTCTTTGATAATAATAGCATTTTCTTACTCTCATAATCTTTGTTCAATTAATGATCAAGTCTCTTGGGATGGCAGTTTGTATCTTAAATGTTGCCTGCAAATTTTGAATTTCTTTTTCATTTGATGCAGGACATAATTCATGTCGTGGAGTCTAAGCCTGCGAAACGCTATGGGGATTACTTCTTGCGTCAGATTGTCAAGGTATGCTAACATCCGCGCTGTGCATGTTTTTCTTTTTACTAAGAAACTTTCGTCGTATTATTTGTAGGACCAATTTATTCTGCCTTGTTTTCAGCTTGAAGGGGTGATCAATGAGATGGACGGTATAAAGCTGGAGTGAGTTGTTACATGTCGGCGGCTAAATGGACGTCGTAATATATAGCGTTGTCGGTTTCACTCTCTACGGGGCTTGCCGGGCTAGGTAGTGTTTAACCTGAGGAGTATTCAATGTGTTGTTTTGAGGTGGAGGATATAGATAGATTTCTAGATTTATTTATTTCTCTCAACTTGATTTTATTTAATGAAATTACTTGTCCATTTATTGTTTCAAAAGAGGGCTTAAAGAATTTTACAATTCTTCCGGTGGGTTGCTCCTTTTATTCATGATTTATAGCTGAACACTTCGTCTTCTGCCCCCTGCAACAAAGTTATTTTGTATAGATCATGGAATGCTTTAGCGGCTGAATTAATTGACCGGTCAGCAAGATAATAACCCGCTTCGTTGCTATATCAAATTCATAACTTCTACAAACCAATTATCCTTGTGGTTTACTTGTTCACGCGAAATGAGGTTATTCAGAAAAAACGATGGTATACGACAAAAAGGAACGAACGATGGTAATATTCTCGTCATTGGTAACATATTGGGATGAATAAAACCAAAAGTTTCTACATCGAAGGATATTCTTGCAGTTTATCCGCCTTGGAATCATTCAAGGCAGAGACGCGGGGATGAGTCGTTTTGCGAAATTCAAATCCGTTAAGAGACTAACGCTACACAAATACGATGCATTACGTAATACAATCGGTTTGATGATTGGGACCCCTTTGACGTGAAGCTTGCTACGGTGACTTTCTCTCATTTTTATTTTTTGGGTCGTCCTGGGTGCCCATCTCTAACTCGCCAATCATCCAAAGGAAGCGTTGAGTGGTCTGTCCATCCTGTAGTTTGACATTTAATATTCGAGAAAGGATAAATGTTATGAATAGATTTTTCAAGAATTTAGCACAAAGTGACAAGGTTTTTTTTTTTCTTTGCGAAAACTAACATTTCTCTCTCAACTTGCCGATGTGTTATTAGCAGCTGATTAAGGTTTTTTGGTGCGATACAACATGCTTAATCTTTTGGTGACTTTTGCGTACTCTTTAGTAGAGCGGGTGTGTTGAGGAAAGGAGATATTTTAATGGCGGGGGGAGGGGTTTAGAGACAGCTTGATTTGGTTACAAAAGAGAGCGAAAGAAATATAAAGTAGTTTATTATTACACCTTTATAATAGTAAAAAAAATTAAAAAAATTAAAATTCAAGTGTTTTAAAAGAAATTAGTCATCATAGTTTAAAATTTTTAGACACATTCAAATTTTCTTGAAATTGGAGAAGTGGAAAAAATGGAAACGGAAAGATTTTGATCTTCTTTTCTTACCTCCCTTTTAAGTAGTAGAATTAAACAAGCTGTTTTTTTTTTTTTTTTTTTTATCATTTTCCTCTCTTCTGACCAAATTTTATGTTGTCATACACGATGCATATACATAAATACGAAATGATAAGATAAAAAAGAATGTTGTCTCACTTTACGTCAGGATAGGATGAAGAACAGTAAGATTTGAGCTCAATCTAGCTTTTTTCATCGGCGTGCTTAGATTCTAACAGTTGAATCAATTTTTGCCGGGCTACATACAAATTTCTTCATTACTATATATACTACTGTGAAATAAGATAAAACAATTAGTATTACAAAATTTATAAAATACAAAGCTATAGTAAAACACATCTAGATATGAATGATTGTGGTTTACCTAACTTATTCTAATGTATCACAATTTTTTAAATTACCTCTTTAACGGTTAAAGATGAATTATCAAATTTCTGGATTCAAATTAGTTTTTTGAACCAGGATTTTCATTTTTTTTATGCATTACATAATACGTTTAATATTGATATAAAATATGTTTGAGTATTTAACATTGATATAAAACTGGTTTTCAAAAAATTAAAATAAATAAATTTAAAATTCAATTCATATAATTAGATTTGAAATGTAATTGGATTGGTTTTGAACCAATCCAATCCATACACAAACCCAATTCGACGATATAAAATCCATTCACTTATAAGCTGTGTCATTAGTGAGAATTATTAACTTTTATAATAATTATTTTTAAAAGTTTAATTTTAATACCGTTAGTATACTGTTTTTTTCAGTGTTAATTAATTATAAAATAGTATAGACATATGATACTAATTATTTAGGCGTATTTTAATTAAATTATTAATTTTATATTATATCGATCATGTATTATGATTAATTAATAATGCAAAAAGTTTTACACTGACAATATATCACACATAAATTCAAACTAAACGAATAACTTTTTGATAATTTTTATAGAGTTTTTAAATAAAATAATATTCTTTCTAATTTTTAGAAAAATATTAAAATAATATTCTAGGTTTACGTCGTTATAGATTATTAAGCTAATTTGCTCCCAATGTGATAGTTATCGACAAACTTGATTAATGCTAAAAATAACTTGATTAAAATATTGGATCGTGAAGGTCAGTCCAGTCAAGTGATCACTGATACTATCATTCTTTTATGCTTTGTTTTGTTAAATGACGTGACAGAAATCTTATGTAACACTTACCCGCATTATTACGATGTACTTCTGTTTTGAGAGAAAATAAAATAAAATTTTATTTCTTTATTTAATATTAAAATTTAATTATAGTAAATAAAATATTAATATTTAATTGATTAATTTAAAGATTAAAATGATAAAAAATTATTTAAAAATAAAAATTATTAATTTGTATTTTTAAAGTTGAATTAAAAGTAATATATTTTATTAAAAATCATTTATTATATTAAAATTATAAATTTGTAATAATTTTTTAAAAGATAATAAATTAAATGAATTGTTTATATATATATATATATTTTTTTATTTTTTTTTCTTTACACAAATAAATAAGTACTAATAGAACGAAGAGTAAATAGTATAATACGTGTCGTCGTCTTGGTCGGTGTTAATTTCGGCAACTGCTTATAATAATGGTTTTTGGTAAGAAAGCTAGTATTTATCATGATTTTATTGCATCGAGAAAGTAGAAGCGAAGAACACGAATCAAGAAAGCGATAACGTGACCGTGAGCCAAAACTCCACGTTTCATGACATGACTTGTCCATCATCATCATCCACTCTACAGCATAGACAAATCAAAACCATATTCATTCTTCGTATAAAAGGGAGGAGAAATGTCAATGAAATAAACACGGATTCCAAGTTTGTTAGTAATTTGTGGAGGGAGCTACTTTAATACTTAATAGTGACCCACAAAACTAAAACCAAGAAAATACAATACATTATACAGCATGCGCCCACCGGTTAATCTCAAAACTACCACTCCCTCTGATTCTTATTATTCTTATTCTTCGTCTTCTTCTCCACCCAGCGATCGTAGACTCAACATTATCGCAAACCACTTTGTTCACGTTCGCGATCAAATGGATTCTCACGATAACATCTCTGTTTCGTCAACTGCAGCTTCTAATTCCATCTTCGCTCACCTTGTTCGTGCTCCTGAAGATCCTATCCTCGGGGTATTCCTTGCTTCTCTTCTCTCAACGCTATTTATTCGATTATCAGTATTATGATGCACGAGACGATATCGCGCTTTTGGCTTTTTTTTTTTTTTACGTTCTAGGAAATTGTAAGATCGCGCTCTCAACGATCTATTTGAGCGTTTTTTTTTTTTGGATAATTATTTGAGACTGATTTCATTTAATCTAGGTATATATTATGTAAATTTATTGTTTCATTGTGTGATCTTAGACTGTAATTATTACGTATGAATTCCGAAGCAGCACGGCACGTGATGCTGATGGCTTATTAGTTGTTGCGTTACGATTGAGAATTTGTTCACGCGAATTTGATACCGAGGCGTCTAATTCAAGCCGGTTTCATACGAAATTTTTGTTACTGATTGTTTTGTTTTATTACTTTTCTTTTGTGTGTGTTTGAAAAATAGGTGACTGTTGCTTATAACAAAGATCCAAGTCCAGTTAAGCTCAACTTGGGTGTTGGTGCTTACCGAACTGAGGTGAGTGTGGTTACACTTGTGGTTCTTAATTATTTGGGACAAGATTAAGGTTTCATTGCATGTGATTTGGCTACTGAAAATGCTTGTGGAAGAATGACCTGTAACTAACAATTACTGAATAATTTATTCAATTGGCAATACAAACCTTCAATTCTGCTTATTCGTAGTGAGTTTTACTAATGCTCTAGTCTTTATCAGGAAGGAAAACCTCTCGTTTTGAACGTAGTGAGGCGAGTTGAACAACAGCTATTGAATGAAGTGTTAGTACTTGATTATCCTCTCTTTCTCCTTATTTCCGATGAAATTGTGTTGAAAATTTTTAATAGAGGTTTGTTCTGCATTATTTTCAGGTCACGCAACAAGGAATATCTTCCAATTGTTGGGCTCGCTGATTTTAATAAATTGAGTGCTAAGCTTATTTTTGGTGCTGACAGGTTAATAATATAATTAGTGATTTTTTGTTTTGAAAGGTTTTTCCTGTTCAGTACCTAATCGTTTATTTGCTTACATTTTTGGATATAGCCCTGCTATCCAAGAAAACAGGGTTACCACTGTTCAAGGCTTGTCTGGGACTGGTTCATTAAGAGTTGGGGGAGAATTTTTGGCTAAACACTATCACCAAGTAAAGTGCTTTGTCCTTAACTTTTCTCCTCTCTTTGTCCTTTTGAACTGATATTAATTGCGTGGTCCTACATTAACATCATCTATTGCTCGTCTGTTCAGCGGACTATATACCTGCCAACACCAACTTGGGGCAATCACCCTAAGGTTTTCAACTTGGCAGGTTTATCTGTCAAAACATATCGCTACTATGCTCCAGCAACACGAGGGCTCGACTTTCAAGGTTAGAAGTTATTGTATCAAGCTGTGATGTGTCTGTTACTTATTTTCTAAATTGTATTGAATTTCATATGCATCATGATTAATGTTAGATGACTTCATTACATTTTATTCAATGTTAATTTCCCCTTGTTCCTTACAGGACTTCTGGAAGATCTTGGTTCTGCCCCATCTGGATCTATTGTTTTGCTACATGCATGTGCGCATAACCCTACTGGGGTTGATCCAACCCTTGAGCAATGGGAGCAGATTAGGCAGTTAATAAGATCAAAAGCTTTGTTACCTTTCTTTGACAGTGCTTATCAGGCAAGTCTTTTTGCATCTGACAAACTTCTAGCTTCCTACTTCTTACCTTTGAGAAGTTTTTGTGTGGACTTATTCTAACCTACTTTTATGCTAAAACTACAAAGCCTGCCACTTGAAACCCATTGAATCCTGAAGTTTTGCATGGGTAGAAAATTTGAACTTGGAAATGTTTGGCTTCCCATTTGGCATAGCTTGGTGAATCATGTCCACACTAGAATATATCCTTACCAAGTCTCAATGCCTATTCTTTGATTAAAAACTATTTTTTTAAGCTATATCTTTATTTGTTAAATAGGGTTTTGCTAGCGGAAGTCTAGATGCTGATGCACAGCCTGTTCGTTTGTTTGCTGCTGATGGGAGTGAATTGCTGGTTGCACAAAGTTATGCAAAGAACATGGGTCTTTATGGAGAACGTGTTGGTGCCTTGAGCATTGTAAGAATTTAAAAGCGTTAAATGGAAACAATGAGGTTTTCTGTTAGAAATGATTAGTCAATTGCGCATGTTTCATGTCCCATTACTTTTTGAATCTTTGTATTCTTTTAGTGCAGATGATGTAATTTTTATGTTTATTTTTCTTGTATAAAAAAGATGACCAATAGTTTCTTGTGTGTTTTGCTAAGTTGCCTGATCTTTTCTTTTTTTAAAAACAACTAACCTAGGTCTGCAAGTCAACTGATGTTGCAAGCAACGTTGAGAGCCAGCTGAAACTTGTGATTAGGCCCATGTACTCAAATCCTCCCATTCATGGAGCATCCATTGTGGCTGCCATTCTCAAGGACCGGTATTGGTCCTAGATACTTCTGCTTTCCTTCAACGAATTAGGCAAAGAAGAATTTGTGGTTGACTATCATGTTACTCTTTCCCATTGTTTTTTTTTATATGCTAATCTTGAAACGGCATAGTCAAGTGGTGATGAATTTTGTGCTTTTAAATGCCTTTGGTATTTATGAAGGCCATGATTCAACTATTTGTTTGATACCTCTAGAAAGGAGATTCTAGTAAACATGTTTTTATCTAAGGTGATGGTTTCCTTCTTTGTTAAATTTTTTTTTACCTGTTTTTGCTTCTCTTTCAGGGATTTATTCAATGAGTGGACTATTGAGTTGAAGGCAATGGCTGATCGAATTATCAATATGCGCCAGCAACTTTTTGATGCTTTACGTGCCAGAGGTCAGCCTCTACACAGTTCCTTTTACTATTCCTTCAGTTTTTTTCTATTTTGGATGGTTCTGTATCATCATTGTTGCACCAGCACGCAAGAAGTTTGTTCTGTTCTTTTCCATCTTTCTCTGCCTTCGCCTGTTCTGTTCTTTCTAAGGTTTTTGTATCTGCAAAACATTTATCGCAATCATACTTATTTCTCTGTTACTGATGAGCAGGCACACCTGGTGATTGGAGTCACATTATCAAACAGATCGGAATGTTTACTTTCACAGGATTGAATTCCGAGCAAGTTTCCTTCATGACTAAAGAGTATCATATATACATGACATCCGATGGGTAAGATGCTCTATTTATGATCATTAAAATGAGTTCAAATGAATATGTTACGCACTATCTTTTCTTTATGTTCCAGTCACGTGTGAACAAGGCAGCAAGTCCGCCAATTATCTTGTTTATCATGCCAAATTATTTCACTGTAAAATAAACATGAAGTTGAATATGCACCATGTTGGGGGTTACATTTTATAACCCTTTTTCCTCTGAGTCATGTCATACATGTCTATGTTTCTTGGCATCATGCTCGTGATATTTTTGCTGAAGGTATGTGTATGCAGAATTTATTTTTTCATCACCAAGTACGGTTTTAGAACTCCACGATAAATTCTTTTAATTGCACTAGGACCATGGATATTCAGGAGTACATTTTGTTTGCCAAACCGGTATTAACACTTGCCAGTTCTTTTGCTATGTCAAAACATTCAAAGATTTGCTGGATTTAGTTAATTTTTTATTTGAATGATATTATTTTGCATTCACGTTGTGTTTGATGGTGCACATTTTCAAAGAATTATGTTAGAGGCGATGCAAACTTGGTAAGGATTTGCTTATGCTATCTATTGCTATTAATCTCTGCCGGCAGCATGGACTTGTTCATTCAAACAACTCGTGTGTGTATAGTTATGCATTTATGCCGGAATTCCGGATGACTCAACATGCACTGTTTATTGCAGGAGGATTAGCATGGCTGGTTTGAGTTCCAAAACAGTGCCACATCTCGCGGATGCAATACATGCAGCTGTTACCCGAGCTGCCTAAATCATGTCAGTGACTGCAATTTTCAGTTTGCCCCCAATTGGATTGTAATAATTATGTACTTCAATTATGAAACCTTTTATTATATAACTGTTTTGCTTACCGGGCTTCTTAGATGTGGCATGATCAAATGTTCTTTTGGAGTTTTGTTTTGTTTTGTTTTTTTTGGGAAGGGGGGGGGGGGGGGGGGGTTTAAAGGTTAAATTAATATGCTTCCCTGGATTATTGAAAAAATTTCAATAAATTTTTAAATCCCAAAAAATCGCAATTTAGGTTTTGAACTTATTTGTAACTGGGTCTCGAGAGTAAGGTTTGGTCAATAGATTGTGAAGGTAGACAATATTTTAAAAATATAGAAACTTATTTGAAAATTTTTAACACGTTCAATGACTTAATCAGAATTAATTTTAATTATCTGAAAATTTTTAAATTGGCTTTGTGTTTAAATTTGATAATTGAGATTAAGAACATATTCTTTAATTTCGATAGCATCTTATGTCCTATGTAAATAATTTTAAAATCCATTTAAAATTTGTAAATAATTTAGAAACTTTAATTTAAATTTTATTGTAATACTTGCTGAAGCAAAAAAATGTTTATAAGCTTGTTTTGTGTATAAAAAAATTGTATTTTCATTTACTATAAAAGATATAATTTTATTTTTCTGAAGTTTATATAAGAAATAGTAAAATAGGATATTGTTTTCTGTAATATTCATATAAGTTTTAAAGCAAAAAATGATATTTTAAAATTATGATTTATAAAAATAGGAAATAAAAACCATTTTCTCAAATTAAGCACAAAATATTTGCTGGATGTGTTTTGTCTTTTAAATGTGGCAGTAATAGCGGAGTTGTTTGAAATATGAAATGATTAGAAAGTATGTATTGTACTCTTGTTTTAAGACCTTTTTTTTTATTCTAAATTGTAGACCGAAATAAAATTTGGCTTCTCCTATAGGATAAGTTATAAAGAATTAAAAAGGGTGATATATGATCTAGTGTCAGGAGGATGAAGATTATTTTTTCCCTCACCTTGTAACATTTATACTATATGCCCCCCCTACTTTTCCGTAGGGAGAGGAAGCTTCCATCTAGGTAAAAAAATCGAAGAGGTTTTGATGCCAAGCAATGAGCTTTGGGTTGTTCGCTTCTTAGTGTTTTGGCTAAACAAGGCGTTTTGAAGTTTAAGGTGTCCGACATTCTTGGGTTTTGATTCAATCGGCGACGCGGCAGGGCTTACCTCCTAAAGATTATTCTTGTATGCTTGCTACTTTTGCTGGTGGGAGTATAGAAGACCTGTTATGAATTGCTTATTCAAGCATAAGAAAAACCTAAATCCTTTGTGAAATTTGCTTACTATATAGAGGTGACAGATTATGAATCAAGAATCATCAAGTGAAATGAATTTTTTTTGTTACAATTACAAATTTAAGTCTCATCACTATAAGCTTAAATAATAAAAATAACATATTGAATACAAAACTATATATATAACATACACTTATATCACGACGAGCAGACCAACCGGAGGCTTTAGCCATGATAGTGTACGAGAGGCTATCTACAACCCTTCAACAAATACGAAGAAGGGCTTGAGAAGCTCATAGATGAGGATTTGCTATTATCACCTTTGCCCGGGGTTTCACATTCGCTAAAATCCAGGATCCGTCGCTCCACCTGCAAAAAAATAAATACTTTTAAGCTACAAGCTGTTGATAAAAATTAGAGAATGCAAGAATTCACAGCCAAAAGCCCGAGAGAGTTGAGCTGTATATTTCGGGTACATCATTTTAACATGAATATGGAAGAGTTATGCGAAAGGATACAATGAATATGTCTATACATGGGGGTAAGGTAAATCCAGCTTTACCAAAGCATTTGAAGCCAATTGAGACAATGGGGAATGGTTCCCATGCTGCTTATTTGGATCATCATTTTCCTGGTCTTCATCCCTGTGGTTTCCAGATGCATCCACCAGTAATGCCTTAGGAGTTTCATTTCCCAGAATCTCATGAATATTGGCATATTGAGCAGCAGTTTGTTCGCTGATTTGTTTCATCAACCCGATTGCATCATAGCTTTTGTCACCTGGGCTCAATAAGTACCCAAAATCCTGTATACGTGCTCTCTGTTTTTAGTACGGTGAAACTAAAATCTACTTCAAACAGTAATCATCCAACAGAACGTACAATACCTCAATTGTAATTTCAGTATCAATCCTGGGGCTAGACAAAAATGTGTTGATGAACCAAGGAGATTTCCAAGCTGAAGGCGATTCAAGGCTTTTCTTAAACGGTGTTCCACCAAATCTGAAACACAAACAAGCAGTAGTCAGAATCATTGACTCTGCCTAATTTTAAAATGAAAGGAGAGCATTGTGTAACAATTGTCATCAGACTATCACGTTGCAAAGAACAAAAACTAGATAAACGATAACAAAATAGATTAAGAAATTACATGCTACATGTTTCAAAACCACCATCCTTTCCAGCATGATCACCCGAATTCTCCCCTGGGCCTGATGAACTGACAGATTGTACACAAGTAACAGCGATTGAAAGTCTTTCATTCTCCTTTACCCGAATAGTAGGAGAGTTAACCCTTGAGCATGGGTTTTTTTGAGTTCTAGCACTTGAACTTAGAACTCTCTCTGATTTTAAATTAATTTGATCAGTCCCATACAATAATAGGTCATTCATATCATGTTCAACCAAAACTCCAGAAGGTTGTTGCACCTGACAAATAAAAATAACGAGATAGGTAAAAATTTAAAACTCTGGATAACAGCTTATTAAAAGAAAATAATACTTACAACATCAGCAGCTGTACGAACACCATTCATCTTAGAATCAACATCAAGAGGTTGCTGCATAATCTTATCCGGGGAATTACTGTCACCTAAACCTTTTTCTGACTTTTTGTCATCCAAAATTGCAGATTTGTTCTTCTCTACTTCCACCCTAAAAGATTGTCCATGATTTTCTTTACCATCCTCAGCAGAGAAGGCTTTCATGTTTTGCATTGAAGATGGAGAAAGCAAATCTGCTCCCTGAGTCTCATTGTCATCAAACATGACATCCAATCGGGAAAAGTCTTTAATCAAAGTTGATGTCATGTCAATCTCAAGTTTCTTGTCGATTCTTTTATCTGATAGTGGAGATAAAAGGTCTCGGTGTCGTTTCTTAATTATGGATGGTGTAGCCGTGAAGGTTTTAGCAGCACTTTTCAACAAGGCATCTGGACTATTGTCGTGAGAAGGTGAGTCCCACAATCTAAAAGGAGTTAGACAGTTCATCGATGACATCATTAACTGGCGGATACCTAGGGGACTAAATTCTTGTTGCATATCACCCCCAGATTGAATAAGATCACAACTTAAGAAAGGAATATCCAAGCTTGGAAAACGGGGCGGTTCATAACATAGACCTCCTATGTCCTCTTGTTTTGTATGCACATTTGGCGTTTCATTTGTTGGATAGGAAGTTTGCATAGCATCTGATTTAGATCCCAAACTATTTACAGGGACCAATTTTGAATTATCCTTCACAACATCTGATGGTTCTTGCATTTCTGCAGCGTCTATTCTGTCTATACAAGGAGAAGTGGATAATTCATTGGCATAAATTAAGTTATCATGTGCTCTGGAGACAAAATGCTGATCCTCAGACCCAACCAACCGATTAGCTTCAGTAGTATGCATCAACGTATCACCAGTAGAAGAAACTACTGGTTGGACAGACGGTAATAATGACCGACAAAGAAATGAGGTGCATCCAGACAAGTCAACCATGTTTATAGCTGTATTATAATCTCCAGAAGAAAAACATTCATCACTCATTGCTTCTGAAAATAGGATTCTGCAACATTCATCATCAGTTATCAACATATTATCTTGTTTAACAGAGTCCATTGATGTAGGTCCCATGGATGTCACAACACCTAACCCCACTAAAGTCTGATACGGAACATTCACCACCTCATGGCTTTCGCCATGAGCTATGCAATCATTTTGCAACTGTGACGATTCCTGGCCCAAGTCCAGCGAGGAATAATTGGTTAAGGCAAGTAAATCAAGCTGGCAATCCCCGTTTGTTGAATTGCTTGGTTCATGTGAGTATTTCTGGTCAATGAAATGAGAAGTGCAAACTTCTTGGCCAGCTATGTCTGAGAGGGATGCTGTAACTTCATCCAGAGACACGAAGTATGGCTCTGAACAGGATGCTTGACCAGGACTATAATCCTTTCCAAGATTAGATTCTTCGTTTAGCCTGTATTCGTCCGTGTTTTGTAAAACAACACTACTCATCTCTCCGGCTGAAGGAAAATGACTAGCATTTGCTGACTCCTGGCTACACTGCGAAACTTCCTCTCCTTCGTTCCCCCTAGGACCGTTATCATCTCCACTGTACGGCATCCTTGAAGAGGTTGAAGCGATAGGTTGATTCGGATTTCCAACAAGCGGTACATTTTGTAACTGAGCAAGCAAGCCGGATGCCAAGTAAGAATCCAATTTTTTTTTCACAGAACTGTTCCAGTGGTTTTTTATAGCATTGTCTGTCCTGTAAAGCACAAGTACATCAATACGCTAAATGCATTTTGTAACAGACGCTTAGCAACAAGTAGAGTCTCGTTCCCACATCTACGTTTTAAAAAATTATCGATATTCATCCTCATGCTCGCTGGATTACAAGTTTGATATCTATTTCCATTCCCACTCAGTACCCAAATTCTCATATTAATACATTTTTTTTATGAACTAATAAAGTACAAATATTTTTATAAAATATAAAAACATTTTTAAAAATACTTAAATAAAATGTCAATTATCATAGATGTACAAAATTATAGAAAAATCATTTATCTAAAATTTAGTTTTAATATGAATTTGCTTATAACATATATGTTTATATATATTTCCAAGAAATAAGTATAGGTATTATAATATTTGTACTCATTTTCAGACCCAAACTCATTAAGTGGATATTTATATTACCCATTAAAGATTTTGTTTCTTGCGAGTACCTAATACGTATGATAAATGAAACCAAACTGAACATGGAAAGCCTAGAAAACTGATGATAAAATTGGTTCCCCTGCAATACCGCAGTGCTCCTCTATGAAAGAGGAAGACAATAATTTTATTGATAAATGCTGGTCTTTCGTTTTCTGACTTTTTCTCTCCTACCATACCCCATTATTTTAGGATATCCTGAAGCCTGATGATATCATCATGAAACAACAAATAAGAAACTGTGATTCCAAAATGAAGTGAATGGTTGCATGCCCCCACCAATTAAGGAACAAAGTAGAAAATTTTTATAAAAAATAATAATAAATACACATTATTCTATAATTTCTAAATGCAGTCCAACCCATTTTTTAATAAAACAATTTCTCTTTAACTGCTTAACTAGTGGACAACACTGTTTAAAAAAAGTAATTCAATATATATATTATTTTACCTTCCAGGCAAGAGCTTCGCTAATTCTGCCCATCTGTTCCCGTAAATCTGATGAGCACGTATGAGAGCCAACTCCTCTTCCTGCGTCCATGCTTCCTTGTTTATAGTAGGATTGAGATGATTATGCCACCTATAGATTTTTATAAATTAAATTAATGAGAATTAACTACTTCCCTCGAAATCCCCTATGTATTAAGCTATAAGGATAAAGATAGTGTCAACAAAAATTATACTACTATGCTCTAATTTATCGTTTTTGGACATTTAAAGATACAAAAATGAAATCCAATAGCCTTACCTTTCTCGACATTGCTTACCAATACGTCCAGGTAAATGTTGTGCGATAGTAGACCACTTTTTAGGCCCATATTTGTTCACCAATTCGATAATTATTTCATCTTCCTGTTTCCATTCCGATTCGGTTGGTAAATTAAGATTAGTTATGCATACGGAATGCAGTCCAATATTACAATTTACACCAGAATAAATATCAACATGTAGAGATGACATCAACACGGACAAGAAGTGGAAGTTAGAGACTACCTCTTTAGACCATGGACCTTTGACAAGTTCTGGATTCAAGACTTTCTGCCACCTATGCAGGCATTGCACATCAGTTCTATCCTTGAAACACTCGGCTACAAACAAATTTGGCCATCAGAACGAGTCACATAACAAACTATAGCATAATGAAGCTGCATAAATTAAAAAGTGCTTAATATAGTTCAAACAATTAGGTGTAAAGGTTATAAAAAAGAAATACAATACAAGAAATAGAGTAGAACTATAAAACTGGCCGAGGGGACTAAAAGATATATCCCCACAAAATGTTGTCTCTTTTTTACCCATTTAAATCTTCCCATTTAACCATATTAAGGTCCGCGCGTTCAAGCGTAAAAATTAATCAGAATTGGACATAGCCAACAATGCGCACCATATAGTGTGCTATCAAAATATTACCTATTTTTTTCCAGTTCTTTCCTTTAAAACGCTGAACAGCCTTCCGCAAAATCTCATCCTGCAAAAACAAAAAACACGAACATTTTATAATAAAATATATAATTATCAGTCAAACTTTATATCTTAGAAGGACAAACTATAATTACTAAAAATGCACTAAAGTATCAAAAAGATGAAAAGGCCTTGGTATTTATACGACCATATTTGTTGTAAAAAAAATTTAAATGCAAAATTCATCAAAATATGTCATAAACATGTTTAGGTTCACCAGTTACACAATTTTAGAGTGCAAATAAAACATTACCAATCTATCAAAAGATAAAACAAGTACAGAAATTTGGTAGCACATGCAAAACAACATTACCAAACTCTAAAAAGATAAAATCTGTTTCTAGCAGTTTAAAATCTCACCTCTTCAGGTGTCCATTGTCCTTTTGTAGAGCGCCTTGTAGGGCCAGTTGTCCTCCTGCAGAGATGTATTTTATCGTAAGAGAAAACTCACTTCACCACTTCATAGAAACAACATACTGATGTTACCTATGAACATTTTTTTTTCTTTATTGTTTAAGTGAACATCATTTGTCCAACAGAAAGGGAAGACGTGGATATAGCATGAAATTAAGTTGGAACATAAGAAACAATTAGGAAAGCAAGGATCCCCATCCTCATGCCAACTAATAAATCATTCCCAAAGGAAAGCTAATAACAGTAACAGCTCCAAAGATAATTATGTCGATTGTTGAAAGGCGAAAGGCACTGGGCATTAAACAAGAAATGCCCTATAAAGCTAAGAGAAACAGAAAGAGCTAGTATATTAGCCTCATTTATCACACTACCATTCAATGCTAAATGGATGTCTAGGATCAGAAGAACCGATACATATTAAGAATGTAGTAGAACATAGATAGTTTTGAGAATTACCCATGCAGTGCTCTAATTTTCTGAACACCGTCTGCGAACCCATCTGATGGAGCAGGAGTTGCTCTGTCACTGTCCATAGTTTGCTGGCAGATAAGTAAAATAGCATACCCCAATTCCTACTCGACTGCAATTTTCTCCCCAATTGGTTCTCCAAATCATTATAATTCCTCCCTCAGCGAAGAAATCTCAAAAATAAACTTCTGCAGACAAACAACCAGTTTCCTCAAGCAAACAATTTAACAAAAGGAAATTCAAATTAAAGTTGTTCAAAAACACAGAATCCAATAAAGATTCCTAAAATTCCATGGCAAGCAGGATTGAAGTCAAGAAAACATGATTAAGACTGGAGATGAACATGCAAATCAAATTGAATGAGACTGTTAAAGGCTCATTCACGGAACTAGGCTTCTGCAGACAAACACATACCAGGATAAATTAAGTTGCAAAAGAAATGAATCGGCCTCAACCAGACACTTTAACACAGGACATTTTCAAAACTACAGAATACATATTAAAATTAAGAGAAATGCTAGTAGCAACACACTATCTAATATTGACTGAAACTTATTAAGAATCACAAACTTAATGACCCTATTCATAATTTTGTAATTTCCCAGAAATTCCAACCAACAGTAGAGAGTGTGCTTCTAGCACTCCTCTAAAATTAAATTTAAAGAAGAAACATAAATTCAAATTAAAGTTATTCAGAAAGTGAGAATCCAATAAAGATCCCTCAAATTCCAGGCAAGCAGGTTCAAACTTAAGGAAACACCATTTTAATTGAAATGAACTTCTGCAGATAGATAAACACACAAATCAGATAAATTGAAGTTGCAAAAGAAATGAATCAGCCTCAACCAAACAATTAAACCAAAGGACATTCAAATCTTCAATAAACAGCAGTATGTCACCATTTCCTAAACTTCACCACTTAGATCACACAAACCAGCGTCCACCTTATCAACCAACAGTTCAATTACACAATTCCACACTTTTAAAATCACAGAATATATTTTAAAATAAAAATAAAAAGCACATCAATTCAAATTAAAGTTGTTTAAAAAGTGAGAATCCAATAAAGATCGCTCAAATTCCACAGCTAACAGGGTCGAAGTAAGGGAAATACGATTCTGAAACTAGAGAATGAGAAAAATGCGAATGAAATGGAAGGAGACCCGTTAGAGGCTTACTCACCGGACAGAGCTTCAGAGGGCAAGAACTAGAGATAGCAGATGATGCGATTGAAACGGTGCGCATTTGCAGATCCAGACAGAGATTTATGTTTAGCTAAGATCTGCAAATGCACTTTCAACCACCACAGTGCAAAATAGAGACGAAGAGAGAGAGAATTGGAAATAGTGAAATGGTGTTGTTCTCTATTCAAACATAAAGAGGCGGACTCTTAAGTTTCAAACCATTTGGTTAAGGGTCGAACATCATTGGGAAATGGATGGTGGGGATTACGACACATCAGAATGATGCACGTTATTGTGCTTCTTTTTCAAAAAGTACAACATGCAATTTTTTATTTTTAAAAGACAAATATCACATTTTTTTTATTTTTCTTTCTTCAAATTTCCACCATACATGTTTTTTCCTTTATGTTGGTTTGTTCAGACATCTCATACTCCCTCCAAAAATAATACATTAGGATAAAAAGTATATTTTACAGACAAATTTTAAATGAAAAAAATAAGTAAAAATATTTTATAATGAAATAATAGACAATTTTTTTAAAAAAGTGAAAAGTATATATTGTGTCAAGAAAATCCCAATGAATGTATAGTTGTGTGAAAATATTACGTCAAAAGAGATGGATGAATTAATTTTAAAAATTAATCAATTAATGAAATAAGAGTGTCAACTAATTGTTATTTAATGCATATAAAAGCAGTTGAATATGAAGTCTAACTCTTGAATGGAGTGTGATTTTTTATAAATTAGTGACAAAATTATATATTATTCAAATTTTAGGATGTCATTTTATATTTTTTTAAGAATGTTTGAGAACTAAATAATAAATTATTATAAATTGCACCTTTTAAAAGTGTAAAGACTAAATTGTACATTACACAAATCTAAGGATACTAATTTTGCATTTCTCCCATGAATGTATGATTGAAGAACATGGGATTGTCACAAGTAGGCCATCTAACAAAAGTAATCTTCAATTTAAAACAATTCATAAAACAAAATGCAAATAAAAAACAAGTTATCAATTTAGGATTGTTTTAAACACTAATGTTATACAACCATGATGGGAGTAACAATTGCTACCTAATAAACACTAATGTTATAAATGCACATGTCAAAACTTTAAAAGTCTCGTTGCAATAAAATGTATAGCAACCATAGGATAGTCATGACAAAAAATTACCAGTAACTCACATTGTTCCATAACTTTTTTCTTTACTCTGTCTCTTCACAAGTTAAGGAAGGTCGTACAGCCTTCTCGGTCACTTGATTGGTTCCTTTCCTTTGCCTATACCAGAATTCTTACCATTACAAGGACTGCAAAAATTATCAAATTGAAAGCTTGTTTCCATATTTTTCTTTCTGCGAAACGATTTTTCTAATCTGTACAATATTGTACAAGATAAGATGGTTATGATAAATTTTTATTAAAAATTACAAATTTAATATAATTTAATATATTAATAATATTAAATGCTATTTTTTTTTTTATGAAAACTTATCATTTATAATTTTTATTATGTGCAATGTTGTAGTATTAATTTCTTTCCAAAAATATCATTAGAGCTGCAAAGCACAGATGCTTCTTCTAAGCCATTACAGCTTGATGAATCTGACCCATGAATCACACTTGCCATGGGTGTGAAATCCTACAAAGTAATGAATATATCATCAAGTCTACCACTTCGGAACTTCCACATCCTTCAATATATCATTACATGTAGATTTCCCCCTCTCCACCTTCTGCTACATTTGCGTATTTCACTTTCTTGAAACATGTGAATTGCATCCATGAGAATGCTAACTCTGCAACTTCCAATTTTGCCCATCGTTTGAGGTGCTACTGCATTGTACAAGAAGACCATAACCACTATGTTATTTTATATTATATCCGACGGTTAGACATGAAAGGGACCATCGTGGACCAACTTTTTCCAAGTCTATCTTGGATGCCACCAATTTGATAACCCAAACCAATCCGTTCTTCAATGGGTTAATTCAGTTTGGATTTGTTATTTATTTTTTAAATATAAACCAAACAAATTAATCTAGATTCATTTGGAGTTTTTTCCCTTCAGAATTAAGCCATATACCCTCACTTTTATCCAATCATCTTACACTGATGTGAATCTCAAACCAGAGAGGGAAAGAGGACACGTATAAATTATATATTATACACTATAAAGAAAAAATGAAACGTAACGATAATGTAATGGGTTCATCGAACAATAAAAGCAAAACTTCAGTATATTAGCTGAGAATACATCAGGTGACCAAGCAGAGCCTGGTTCACCGAAATTCTAGAAACTAGAAACTAGAAACTGACGTGTATAACCCATTAAGCAGCACCAACTTTCTGAGCTTTATTGGGGCGATTCTCTCCACGTTCATTCTCTCTAGAGCGTGCATGTTTGCCACCTCTACCATGCCTTCCTCCCCTGGAAAGAGAGGATATAATTAATTTCAGTTTAACCTTTCCCAGCGGCCAATATAACAAAGGAAAATATGTGAAGAGAAAGGTAAAAAGAAAAGTTAAAGTCAAATTCAAGGCATTGCCGAATCCAACCACATACCTTCCCTGATTACTTTTATATTCTCGATGCTTGTCTTGATTACCACGAAGCCGGCACCAATATTCTTTTTCAGCCTCACCTGAGATCATGACAAACAAAAGTAGCTCAGTTAACCAATCCAATATCATTGTCAGTAGACACCACTTTGGTACTAATCTCAGCAACTAAGCTCTCCAAATCTTCTCCTAGGTAAGTGGTTTTGTTCATCTAGTACAATGTTTTTTCAATTTTAAATAGAGTAAAAGCCTATATCATTAGCAACTTAAGATGAGAAATAGTCTAAGCCCACACTGAAATACAAGCAAAACTTAGACAACTGTTCAACAAAAATACAAAACAATTTGAAGTGGAACTAACCAGTCACTGGATCTAGAGTAGCAACATAATTCTTTACAACCAAGCCACCCTTTACTGAAAGAACTGCAGCAGCACGAGCTTTCTGAACAGATTTAGTTTCTTCAAATCGGATGTATCCTGACTCAGCTCCAATCTTGAAATCAATGTACTAAAAAGAAAACAAGAATATTTAATCAGTTCAGAAAGCTTGAATATATACAATTTTTCAGTAGCAGGAATCTAGCCCACTGTCAGGGTGATCAAATAAAACTTCAAAAAAAAAAGGCATCCTCCTTAATAAAGAAAGCAGATTCTCAAACTTTATTAGAAGGAAGGGGAAAACCCAAGTACCTTCACTGTACCAAACTTCTCAAAGACATCCTTCAAATCCTCACGCAAGACAACATCCATGTTGTTCTTGTAAGCAGCGGCTGAAAACTTTTTATCAGCTTCTTGACTCTTTCCTTCACCTTCAGTTTTCTTTCCTTCTTTCATCACATTGTTTTCTTCATCATTGTCAACATTTTCTGATACCTTTTGGTCACTTTCCCCAGAAATAATTTCAGAGGGATTTTTCTCATCTGTTTTGGGGACAACACTATTGCCATTGGTTTGTTGATCAACCCCATTTCGTTCTGAAGGAACTTCATCAGAAATGCTCTTTAGTTTGAAGGCAATAATTAATCCTTTAGGATAGCTGTTATGAAAATGAATGAAAACTATCAGTTGACAGCAGATACATATACTCATTTTTTGAGGCGTATAAAAGGTTGACAGCTTCTCACTTTTCTTCTGCATTTAAGTAATTCTGTTGATTTGAACTGCCAGGTGGACGAGATTTTTCATAATCTTCTAATTCTTTTTCTCTCTCTGCATTGAAGTCCTTCCTGAAACATCAGAAAATATCCACATATATTATCAGACACCAAGCATTCATGCATTTCTGTCTGACTGTCTCAAATACCAACATTCTCAAATTCCTTATTTCAGTTATTTTAATTCTTCAAAATATGATGCCAGGAGAACTTGACAATAAAGAAACTCCTTATCACATTTTTTTTCCTCGACATAGATAATAAATGTTTGGTTCCTGCTTGCAATACTTTCTTTTACACAAAGGAACCCATCCTTGTAAATATTTCAGTCATTACTTTTAAGAAGCCAAAGTTTTTAACTTTTTGGTAGAGCAAATCATCCCAGGTAAAGATACTGAAAAGCTATCCGTATTCTTACTTTGGTGTTAATTCTAACGCAGCCCCAGCATAGACCAGTTTTTCCTTCATGACTTTTTCTACTTCTTCCTCTGATGAGAATTCAACAAGGGCTGTGCCGCAGAAAAACTTTTTGTCTCCAACATGACGAGGAAGCCGGACACTATTAACCTGAAACCAAAACATATATAAACAAATAAATAAAAGAGATCACACAAAATACTATCAGCCAAACAGCACAGTTTATCTTTCTCATAGTAATACATAATCTACAGCACTCAGATATTAACAAGAGGAATAGAAATGTCACGGTTTATCTTTAAATGATGAAGAATGTCTTTAAGTTTATCAGAAACATTTTGGCTATAATCTTAAAACCTGGTCAAGAGCATTACGAAATTTCTCTTAGGCAGCTTTCACTCCACTTGGCCAATACCATACATTGAAAACTCAGGATAAGTAGAAGAAACATAAAGCTTTTTAGCTAAAAAGTTAGCATGTAAATCATGGTACTGGTCTCAGGTGTTACTATTACCTTGGCATAGTGACCAAAGAACTTCTCCACATCTTCAAGTTTCAGGTCATATTCAAATGGTGATGCAGCTAGTGTTCTTATCTCTACCTGCTCAATTACCTGTTCTGGCTTTGGAAGTTCAGTTGTCCTGCCAACTTTTTCCCCTGAAACATACAATTAGAAGATAAGGGAAAATATAGGGTTATAACTTGTTATTCTTCATTCAACACATAATTAGCACCCAAAAATAAAAGGCAGAAGACTATTTAATCAATTCAACCATTGGTTTAACAATGACAAGTATGAGTAAACTTAAACTAAACTAGCCAGAACAACAAAATGTAAAAATACATTCACACAATTAAACTAAGCAAGCCAAAAAGCACAAGCCCATAATGTCGCAGGGTAAGTAAAACTACACATTCTTACCAAAAAAGAACAATTGAGCAGAGGAAACTAACCATCTTCGGAAACCTTGAGTGAAGCCGAATTTCTCAAAGCTTGAGCAACAGCATTAACAGTATCTCGGGCCACTTCATCGGCCTTAACATCACCCAAATTAAGGTGCTTTCTCATTCGATTAAAGGAACAAATCAACGCTAAACTAACCACTGTGCGACCAAAGTCAAGGCCCACCAGGAAAAATTCAAACTACTTTAACGAAGCACCACAACTACACGAGAAACGGTTAATACGAAAATGACGATAAAGATAAAGGATACTTCCATCTTTGCTTTCAGTGACAGTTTTCCTCATAAAACTATCCATGGGAAGGTTGCTATCACTGAAGTAGAACTCCACCTGACACAAAAAAATAAAAAATAAAAAAAATAAAAAAAATTTGAACGATGATAACAGAAAAAAGCAAGTTAAAATAGAAAACAAGGTTGAAATATGATTAGTACCTGTCTTATAACATTTTTAGCGGTTGCTTCGTCCAACAGTGTCGCCATTGATGAGTGCAGAGTCAATGAGAGAGAAAGAGTATAGGGTTTATGGCAAGTAACTTGAAGCTTAACGTGGGATTATCAGTTTTTAACTTTTCCCATTTTAAAGGACGTGTTCTGAAATTAAAACGAAACATGCCCGGGCTCTAATTCGCGGTCCAACCCCATCCGTTCCTCCTTTTTTCTTGGATAAATATACGATAGTAATAGTATGTATTGTATTTGTATGTATCCCACGTTACACATTTATGTTTGTTAAGTAAAAATATTTAAAATCAATAAAAGGAATAAAAAATAAATCATATATGTAAATAATTAATTTAAATGAAAAATTACAAGTACCTCAAATTTTAGAAGAAAAGGTTTTTGAAAGATATTAAAAGGCACTGATTTTAAAACATAAGCATTTGAGATTTGAAATAAAATAATAATAATAGTACAAAAAAATAATTTATTAAATTAATAAATCTGAGATTTAAAATAAATGTTAACTTACAAATTTATAATAATTTGAGTTTTTAAATATAAAAAATAGTAAATAGTGATGAACAGTTATCATTAGGAATTAATGAATAACTTTATTTTATTATATAAAGATAAATATTTTACTTTCAATTTTTATATTTTTACTTAAACGTTTCGTTACTGAGTTATTTGTTTTTTTATTTAAAAATATGTTCATTTACAATTATATTTCTTCATAAAATCATGGAATTTTTTTCCTAGAAACAAGCTAAATCTTGTTTAAGAAAGATCAAATCCAAATGCTTTGGGCAGAGTTTTGTATACAGGATGTTGCAATTTATTTAATTAATGTTACAGATGATATATTGAGCATACAATTTCGGAATAAAAATAAATGCAATAGTATAGACATTGATAGTATTGATTTCTAAAACAAATCAGTCAAATGTTATAATTTATTCTGGTAAATTACTGCCAACCTTCAATGCAATTAGTAATTCTAACTTTTGCTCATAGTTTAAATAAATATCATATATTAGCTATTACCGGAGAGAGAGCAAAATTGGAACAAACTTTATGCGTAAAATTAAAAGAAGAAAAGAACTAAAAGTCGACTCCGAAAACAAAGAAGAACCTAACACATTTGTATTCTGAAAATAGAACATACTTAACGTGAAGTATAATTTGAACAATTTCCATCCGTACTCACTAGATTTCATGTGAGGCATTGATTTAACTTAGCAAGAGATATAAGCCAAATTTTAACTTTAAAGTCCTAAATCAAGTTCTTGTTTGCGGGTCAATCAGCACACACTCTTTATACGTGGGGAAAGGGAGATTTCCCATTCCTTTTGAAGCCAAGGTCTGGTTCTGGTAACTAGTTTTAGTTCGAGTAAAATTACCATGGAGGGAAGTTATGACTTTGGAGTCTCTCAAGAATGAAGCTTCTTTTTTACCCCTTGCTCCACTCAGCTGAAGACCAGTGTAGACCCCCCAGAGTTCCGCAATGAAGGAAGTACTTTTCTTCTTTGAATAAACCCACACCATCTCAATATGGGTTCGCGGGGCCACTTTAGATTAAATTTGGTGTACGACTCTCGGCTTTCCTCGACGTTATGATGAGTGACTTTATAATACACTAGGGAGAGTTGAGTGTTCGAAAAATCATGCTTTCTTTTTCCCAATATAGGCATATCAACCAGGAGCTGATCATAAAGATGTGGCTCCACAGCAAGTAAGAGAAATGACCCATCTCATAGCTGAGGTTGCCACCAATTTTTTTTTCTTGGTCAACAGGCTGTCACCAAGATTGGAGAGTATAGTGAGAGGTTTGCAACCTTAAAAGTAGGGGGATTCCAATTTCAGATTTGATTCCGGGGACCATGACAATCTCTGACATGAGTCGCTAATATTATTAAGATTCTACTACCATGATACTAATCGTACATATCACAACCCAGTTTCTAATTCAGCAAAACGGGCTATGTAGCAAGAATTAAGACGCCTCAAATATTGTATTCGCCATGACTAATTTATAACCTCTTCATCAAAAACGATATTTCAACTTACACGTGCAATGTAAAACCCAACAAAACATCATTATCTTGTTACAATAAAATTATGTTTGGACCGAAAATTTTAAAATTCTAAGAAATATAAAAGCAATAATCAGATGTGTTTAGAGTAAAAGTAAAATATAAGAAAAGTTATAAATGATAAATATAAAAAAAAAAAAATAAGCATAATAAAAAAATTCAAATTCTTTTTAAAAATAAGTCATTTAATTCTTTTTATTTGACATAAAAATTATCTAGTTCAAATCATGTAATATTTTAAAATTATTTTTTTTACTGTCTAAAATACATAAATTGTAAAAGTTTTAAAATCCTCTATCCACACATAACCTAAAAGTTTATTGTTGCATGCATATAAATATAGCCAGTACTTGCAGTTTTTAACTCAATGTGAAACGTTAATTTAAAAACCATCGTCTCGAGTTATAGATCAGGTACAAAACCAATCATTACATTCCCTTCCCCCCCCCCCCCCCCCCAACCAAATTTTTCTTCTCTTCTCCTTTATCCTTCAATCCCAATTGCATAGACATTACTTGGTTTCCTTAGCCAAGACAATGCAGTTTCAAATTCCAGGAGTACGGTTATTTAATCAATATAAATCTGCCAGGTAGAAAGTTGACCGCCAGTCTTCTGCGTATAATCCAATAATCAATGATTACATGAAATCCTCCTCCAATTCCTGCAGTGATTTGCTTCCTGATGCAATTTCTTTGTTGGATGTCATATTTTCTGCAACCATCAAACCCTTGTAGCTTCTAAGCTCTGCTTGTCTATCCTTTTCAAGTCTTTCCAATTCCTCACGGCGTTTCTGCATGGCGAAACATGTGCATAAATAAACATAACAATTGTTCGATAAAAATGTTTCCATTTATTATTCTAGCATTTTCTGTCATATGCAATGTGAACTATAAACCAAGTAAGAAGACATCAAGACAAGTTATCAATTAGAGCACAGTAATTAAATTTCACATATGCTTTACCTCAAATCAGACATTTTAGAAACCTTGGGTTGGATCCTCAAATTCTTAACACAGTTCACAATAAAAATATCCCAAAAGCTGCAAAGTTACTTAAAGAACTCAAGCAATGCATGAGGCAAAGGAATAAATAGTTTAGAAAACTACGCATCTAAAAGGTGTGCAAAATGGTGGTTGAGCTTAATTTTGATGCTTCATCGGTGTAAAAAAGTTTTACACTTAAATCCATTGATACGATAACACATCTTCTAACAACTTTTAATATATGTTAACGATTGCACAAGATATCAGACTTACTAAATAATGAGGTTGGATGAAAGAGCAAAGAATTTTTTCACTGACAAAGCATGAAAATTAAAGTATACTATTGGATCCAAGTCTGTTCAGCATAATCTACTACGCATAGACACTGATGATGATGTGATGCATGAATCAAAGAAAGAAAAAGAACAATCCAGCAATACTCACTTTTTCTCTCAGTATTTGCTTTCTCTCAGCTCGTTCAGCTGCATTAACTGCTTCTCGCTCAGCTGCAGTACATGTATCCATATACATATCAAGATCAAAGTATCAAACAAGTCCAATCAAATTTGTAAGCATGTAATTCATCAAAATGGGAAAATGCCTAGCTATGATAGATGATAAACAAAAAATCAAAAAATAAAAGATTGTGCACCAGTTGCATCCTTGTCCAGAAAATAGCAGTTTTAACTTTTAAAACTTAATTATTTAAAGGGAAAGGAATGGGAACTTATAATTACCTTTCAAATCAGGTTTTCTTTCCACTTTTGTCTTGTTTAGCCTGTTAACAATCTCATTTATCCGCTTCTCCACTCTCACAGTCCGAACCTTAAATGCATGAAAACCAGATATTGATACTTTGAAAAGAGAAGCTGAAGCATCCACCCACCCACTGTGGAAAAAAAGGGCAAAAGACCAAAAACTGAAAAAACAGAAAGAATATGCAAAAGATCCAATTGTAAAAACATTCACCATCTTTGGGTTGTGAAAACCAACTTGACCAACATCCATTGAAGCAGATTTCTTTAAATTAGACCAGGGAGTGTAAACAACATCAATATTGTTCACTTTATTTCCTGCCATGAATAAAGAAAAAGGGTAATGACTAAAGGCACAGAATTAGTGATTGGAAGAGAATACATATGTAAGTGAAATAATAAATACATAAACACGTCTTGAGAACAAGAATTAGTCTTTCTGACTTCTAGTTGTAAATATAACAGAAGAAACTTCGATATGAGCAATGTAATGCGCTACTTACAAGCTTACAACAATATATAGAATTTCCATTTAAATCAATTAAACTAATAAACCAGAGGAATAATCAGTCACGCTTTTACCTTGGATTGAATTAGCTTTGACAAGCTGAGCACAGTCTTCCAGTAAACTTTCATTCATGTCATCAATAGTCTGACCTTTGTGCATCCTCACATAAACATGGGCCGAAGACATCTTATCAACATGGAACCTACAATAGACACATTTCATTAAAGAACTTAAGAGAAAACAATAATTAAAAAAAAAAATCCAAGCAAACATCAACCAAATCAAAATAAAACGCAGTCACAATTCCATGCAACGAACTTTACAAAACGTGTAACGGGACTTCTATCTCTCGGAAATATAACAGAATCAATAGCCAACCAACAATATCACATACCAAGAGATGATTGCTTCCTATGGAAACAACCCAACTTTTGTCACACACAACATACTTGATAAAATTCAATATTCCCATAAAAACAGAATTGATTGAATGATAATTCTGAAGAAACGTGAACGCGATAAATTCACCACCAAATTAATATTTTTTCACTTTCAAACTTTAACTGGGGCAAAAAAATGGAAGCGAAACATAAAAGGAACATTCGCTACATAAACACATAGAATTTGTGGAATCGAAGAAGAAAATCATAAAATTGAGGAATTAGGAAGCAGAAATCAAAAGGGTTAGGGTTACCAGATGTCTTCGGGAAAACCGTATTTGATGAGTTCCTCGTTCTCGTACTTGTCGAGGCCCATGAAAATTGTGTAATCGCCGGCTTCGGGGCGTGCTTTGAAGTAGAAGACCATCGTGTTGCTTTGCTTTCACGCACACGAGATGGAAGGGGGTACCTTAGGGTTCTGAGACCCGTCCTTTCCTTGGCTTCGCACAATTCAAATTTGGGGAATCGCTTTTGCTATCCAAATCGCTGCATAAATCATAATCACCGAATTTTCACTTTCGTCTTTTTCAAAAGGTGTACAAGCTTCGGGGGTCAACTTTCAAATACAAATTTTCGTTGGACCTTTTCTGGCCCTGGTATACATAACAAACACTTCATTTTTTGAATAAATTAAATTTTAGATTTATAATAAATTTAAATGTATTTTTTAATTTTAACATAATATACCAAAAAAATTAAAAGTAACATATCTTTATTTTAATAGTTCACTGTCCTAGTTTTTTATTTTAAAAAAATTATATCTTAGATTTAATTTATTTAATACGATAAAATAATTATTAATAAAAAAAATTTCAAATCATTCATTTATAAATTATTTAAAATTTAAAAATATTTACTCAACATTCATTTAATTTTATTTTTAAATATCCATATAATGCATAAATTTTTGCGAATTTTATTAGAAGCAACGAGATGAATTTTTATTAGTAATCTTTCTAATATTTTTATATAACTTTTATTGAAATAAATATTACCCTCAAAAACCATAAATCGTATATTTGTATTTTATGTAAAATGTGTCAATTTAAATGTTAATATATTTAATATTTTGAAAACGTATATAATATTTAGTATTTTTTTTATTATGTATACGATTAAAATATTACATTAATGATATAAAAATATTTAATATTATTTTTATAATTTTTAATACGTGTCCATAAATACAGAGTGAAAAACTGCATTAATATTTTAGTTCTATTAACATCAACCTTTATAATTACTTTTATACTTTTAAAAGTGGAAATTTCTATGAAATTTTTGTTTTATTATATTTAAAATAAAAACAATCATTTTTAAAAATAAAAAATTATCAACTTTATATACTCAAGATAATTTTAAATTCCATAGATAGGGTAAGATATAAAAGATAGAATATGATAGTTGAATAGTAAAAAAAAGAAAAAGATAAACTTTTATCCTCTCCTGCATTTCATGCACACTAAAGTAACAATTTAAATGGTGTTATCTTATTTTATCCAAACAATTTATAACTCAAACACCATTCTGCTACAAAATAATTTTTACACTGGAGAGGTGGAAAAGATAATCATATAATATAAATTCATATAGCTCTCACATACTTATATTTTCGAAGTTCCATTTTAAACAGCAAGTTGTTTGACTCAAAACACTTTCAACAGTGTTCCAATTTTGGAACATATTGCAGCATAGGATGAAGAATAATAAAGTATCACTTTAAAAAATCGGCAGGGAACAGACATTTGCTATACTTTTACATATATATGATGTTGCTATTTCTGTTGACTTTACTTGGAGTTTTAAATGAGGCAACGAGGAATGGATAGCCACGAGTAGAATCAATAATTGGGTTTGTTCGATAGGCTTAACTCTTAAGTCTATCGAATTATAGAGTTTAAATTTTAAAAGTTAATTACACTCAAGTTATCAAGTTAACTTCAAGCTAGCCTTTTTTGCTTAACTCATTTGAAACTATTTTGTATCAAGTTTAGATTAATCTAATTCACTTAGTTATAAAATATAAAGTATATGGCTATAGTTTAGGCATGTATTTTAAGGCTCAAATAATAAAGTATAATTTGTTGCTCAACATAATAACCAAGGTAAAAAGTCTGAATTGTTCTAATAATATATGAGTTAAGTAACTCATTTTATTAATCTTAGTAAAACTTTATTTGAGAGTTAATTTTTAGAGAAAAAAAAAAAAAGAGAGAAAGAGAAAATTTATGTGATATAATTATTTGTTTGAAATATTTTATATAAGAAGGGAGAGTTTATACACTTTTTTAATTGGACTTTTTTAATTATTTTAATTTGAGAAGTTTTATATTAACCCTACTTCTTTCTTCATTCCTCTTTTTTTCCTTACCTTTCAAACACTTTTCTTCTCTTTTTTTTCTGACTTCTAAGTAAAAGCTAAAAGTCTTATACATACTTAAAAAAGGAAAAATATAGGGAAGATAATGCATACTCTAAAAACATTTAAAAAAACTTAAACCTAGGATTATTTTCTTAGTTATTAAACAATTAATCCAAACTTAAAATATTAGCTCTTGGAACAGTACAACTCTCTTAACATGAGAGGTGAGCATGCGGTAGCTAGCAATGTTCTTACTTCCTATTTAAGAATAAACAATATATTGTTTGACCCCCAACAAAATAGGATTAAAATTTAGGATAAAAAACAAATAAAGTTAAGGATTAAATATATAGGATAAGTTTTTGTTTAAGTAAATGGTTAATGTTTAATTTTTAAATAAAAGTTTTAATGATATTCATAGTTAGAATATTTTGTTTTGAGTGATTGCTTAAAAATTGTGAAATTATTAAAATGAGAGATTTTTAATAATAAAGTCGTTAACAATGTGTTATTTCTTCTCAAATTTAGAACCATGTGAATAATCTCATTGTTGATTTTAATTTTGCAACAAGTTTCATTTAAGTGCTTTAAAAGAGAGGAAATTATTGCCCTAGAGACTCAAAGAAATTGACAAAAATCAAATGTGGATGTATCTACTAATCTGCGATTAAAGAACTGCTTGTAATGAATTGATATAGATTAACAAGGAAAGTTTTTGGTGGGTTTTAGTAATAAAATTAATCCTACTTTATCCATTTTAACTAAACTTTGGGTTTTGTTATTGGGTCTTCTACAAGTCTAAGCTTTTAATTATGATAAAGTATTGGTTGAGATGAATTCTAAATTAACCATGTATTGGATTTGTTCCAAGATTGACAAATGTCATGAATTTGCTCCCTTAATTCATGAGATTAAACCTTTACTCTAATTTGTAGAATTGCTAATTTTTATAATATTTGTAGGAAAACTATTAAGTATTCATATTTTCTTGTCAATATGACACATCATGAATCATTCAATTGTAAATTTTTTTTATCTCTCTCCCTCTAAGTTTACTGCTCTTTTATGTGGATATTTATGGGATAGTGTTTACTAAATTAAACAGTTAAGTTTATTATATATATATATATATATATATATATATATATATATATATATATAAGACAAAACAACTAAAAATATATAATATAAATATTTTTAGTGTCATTTTTTAAATTATGGTCAAATTTCTTTAATGTGTTAAAAATAGATTCAATAAAATTTTATGTATAATAAATTTGTATTAAACATTATACGAGATCGTTCTGAATTTTGATTTGAAAAAGTGAAACAAATAAATATACCCACCGTTCCTCGTACCTGAAAAAGTCATCTAATATGTAACCAATCGTTCTGCAAACCATGCAACGTTGGGTTAAATAAACACCCTAAATACGATAGATAAAAAAAATGTTATCATATATTATTATATTGTCATGCTTATCAAACAACTTAACTGAGAGTCAGCATTGATTTTTTTTTCTTAAATTTATTGCCTTAAACCAATCTAAAGCGGCCAAAAGTAAAAGAAAATATTGAAAAATAATAAATATTACTTTTGTATAACAATATTTTTAATAAAAACCTTTTAGTTTTAATTAATTATTGAAAACTAACTATAAAAACTTTTGATATAAACAAATTATTTTTATGAATAATTATGTTTTTTTATCTTTTATTCCTATAATTTTTTAATTATTAAATATATTTTATACTACTTTTAATCATATTTATAAAAAAATATTTATCAATTTGTTTTGTCGTTTTATATAGGTTACACTTTTTGACAACATATTTGTTCTAATAAAAAGAAACGCAACGTGAACATGAAAGGTTACTCATATGTGATAAGTACTGTAAAGGTATCAGCAGAGGTGTCAAGATAATAGGAAAAAGCAGTACGCATGACTTCGCCTTGATAACTTATCCTGTGAACTTCTTCAAGCCATACACGTATGCATACTCCGTGTGACAGAAGAATTTTCCGTGAAGATACAAAGCATCTTCAAAACAATAATCGATTACCACAACACGTCTGCTACAGAAGATGACCCCACACCTTGATTTCAACTTTATAAAGGATTGGATTGGATTCGAATGATTGATATTTGTAATATCGAAATTATTGCCAATTTGTCATTGAAATCCAAAAAATAAAGGATTTAGATCACATACTTGCCATTAAAAAATCTAGATGCTATTACAAAACAATGAATATTCGGAACATAATTCAGAATCTGAATTTCCTACGGAATCACTCCATTGACTTGGCAACAGTAAAAACATGAACCTTCGAACATGAGAGAAGCCTTAGAGGTCAATTTAGGTGAACTAGGCACCTGTCTTTGGGTACGGAACTTTGAATAATGTAAATACGACAAAATAATCTTCCAAAATGTGCTATGACCCGTACTTGCATATGTTCTCAAATCCCATATATTCATGACTCTGAATCTTCCCTACCATATTTGAAATGCCAACTCCACCTAACAAATGAATGAAAAACATTTCAGAATTGATAAGCATATTAATATTGTGCCGGCCTACGTAAGTTTCGTATTTATCCAAACCAAAAAAAAAGAAAGTTGAGATGCCCACCTAGAGAGATTGCACTAACAAATATTGTGAAGGCTAGAATAAAGATGATAAGGGATGCTCTCCCAAACAATATGATCAGCTTTCTAACAATATGCTGTCCAACCAAGGCTGCAATAGTAGCCACTAGAGTGAAGTAAACAGCTGTTTAACAAAACACAGAGGTTAGAGGCGATTAATAGCATGTGTGGAATTGCGTTCAAAAGTGTGTTCACTTCAACGTTACTAGTTGTAGTTTCTGAGTTGGATCCACAGTTATAGTATTTCTAACGTGTTTCCAAATATATCATTAAGTAATTACTTGAATAACTGCATCATATCAAAACACAAATAGCTATAAGTTCATGGGCACGAACCATAAGGAACTGGAAAACGTTTCAGCAGGTAGTATTCTATAACAGACATAGAAGAGGAGAAAGTCATGGCAAAGGTGGCTGTGGCGCTTGATACCTGCACATAACACATTGAATCATGTTAATAGCAGAAGTTCAACTTCTACGCCCTGCTTTCCCTTCAAAAACTGTTACAAAACAATTCTACATTCACAAGTATCTAATAATTTCACATAAAATACTCATAGGGAGCTGAAGGTGGGAGAGACTTGCGGTATGATCAATGGCATTTACTTCCACTCACGAGTTTAATAAATTGTGTACGCATACGTGTACACACATACATGCATGATTTTTTAAAAGGGACTATATTTAAAATCTAAAATAGCAATAATGCCCATTTTCCTCCCATTCATTTCTTGACATATATTTTGTAAAACTATAAATGAGTATATTAATGCCCCAATAATTGGTTTCTGTGGGCAGCTACATTTCCTGAATACTTTAGCACTAGTTTATAAATTGCAATTTGAAACTAACCTGAGGTGGGACTCCAAGCTCCAGAAAAAGTGGACCCATAACGAATCCTCCTCCCAGTCCTAACAAGCCACCAACTACACCAGCCAGTACGCCAAAGACACAATAAATAAATAGCTGGAGTACGGTAAATTCTTTCCCTTGATCCCCTGTGGAAGCAATTACTCTACGTCCACTGAACAAGGCAGTTGCCTCATATGCAGTTACTCCAACTGAGATTGGAACCTGCATGAAATGGAAAGCATGCTTCAAACAGTTTTCACTTTCCAGATATGGTTGTGACTTGTAAATTGTAACGGACATTTGGATCCATTTTCCGCAAAAGTTTAGTACTAATAGAATATCATGTGCAATCAAGAAATGCAGAAGGACGCGAAGAAAGGTAATGCCCTGGAGGCAACTCCTGAACAGAGGGAAATACCTGTAACAAGTTCAGTACCCAATATGCTGTTGAACAAGTAGTCGTATAGTTTTCCTGTCAATAGGAGATTATTGGTCTCAGTTAGATAAATTGCGTGTGGTATAAACTGTTGTTTTGTAGTAGATATGAAGCCAACCTTGATAATCTGTAGTGCAAGGAATGAAACCCAAACAAACGCAAGAAGTCCAAACTCCTTCCAATATACATTTTCAATAATAGTCACCTGCAAAATTCACATTATTAGATACGAAAATTAGCCAATCCATCAGAACTCACTAGAGTGGAGGTTAATGACCTCACGTTCCTTGGTGTCCTTTTCAGTGCCACCATTTGGTCCACTGGGAAGGGGTTTGTATTCTACTTCTGCCCCAGAACCTGCCAGAAGGAAAGTTGCATTAGAAAGAATTTGATCCATCTCAACTTTGTTATGTTTTGGTATGTGTTAATGTGGAGTCTCTGAACTCACCGTTTGGCTCTCGTCGCCTAGCAGCTTCCTAATTGAAACAAGACAGGTTCAGACAATTAGTCATAAAATTTTGAAGTACTATATGTCAAATTTTTTTTGACTCCATATTGAATACCAAAACACTCATCTATCATACAATTAATTATAAAAGCTTCATAATTGAGTCTATGAAGGTCAATCAATTCAAAGACAAAAAATTACCAACAAAACATTATTTTCTTCTCGTTAAATTTTATAAGTTCTTTTGTTTGCTATAGTAAAATTGTTAGTTCTAAATATGTAGTGATAAAAGTATACATGATGAATTAAATGAGACCTTTTTCATTATGGTTTCCTTTTTCCATGTTTCAACCCCCTTCAGGAATGCTTTTGTTGATGTGCCTGCAAGACAGTAAAATCAGTCAGAGGCGTAGGAAAAAGAAGAATCCCTACCAGAAACCACAGTTACAATAATCGTGTTACCTAAGAAGAGAATAATAAGCAATATAGTCACTATCCAATCAGGAAATACAACGTTGAAGACCACTCCAATGCTGATGCCAAGCATGAGCATTGGTTGAATGAGAAGAGCCAAATCATAGTCAATGATGGGCATATCCAACGTAGGATGCCTTAGCTTAAGGTTGTAGTAAACAGTTGACACAGCTGCCCCCATGATCATACCTGACATAACCAGAACAATTGATAACTAAAGGTAGTGGAACTCCACCAAGTTTCAAGTCTTTTCTCGTGTGTCCAAGTATAATTTGATTTGTCATTATCAGTATGAAGTATTGATTATTAATTAATTAAAAATGCAAAAATATAATAAATAGTTTTTTAATAGAAATTATTATTTTTAAATATTTAAAACTATTTCTAAAATTTGATGTTAATAAAAACCGTTAAAAATGTTAGTAGCACTTGAGCGTTTTGAAACAAATTGTGTCTTGTCAGCTGCATCGGCTAAACATTTTGCAGCACACAAACATGCTCAAAAGTATAACCAATTAATTGTGTTCATCAATCAAAATTACCGAAACTCACAATAATCACATTACCACATTTAATTCGCTTTAAATCTTACATTTTGAGATAGCTGTCGATGATTTTGGATCAAATCCAATGATAAGGCTAAGCATAGGAACAAATATTCCACCGCCACCAACGCCACCTACACTTCCAAACGCAGCTCCACAAAATCCCACAAAAGTACCCAAGACAATTTGCCACCCAAATTCCAAATCCTGCGCAAGTAACATATACTGTAACTTTTCCCTGACATGCTATCTATCCAGTGGGACTAATAATAATTTATTATTTATACAATAAATGTTTACAACATAACTTCATTTATTCTTTTTCATCACATCATTTATTTCATTTTGCATTTATGTACTTTGTCTTCATATTTCTATCTTGTTACAGAAAACTGTAAATTATCAATGTATAAGTATAATTTTTCATAATAACAACACAATCAAGATATATAACAACAATAATCCATCGGAAGGCAAAATTGTGTCATTGCAAAGCCATAAGAAGCACTTTTTCAACCGAAGTTACATCATTTATTTTGTGCTAGTTTAATTTGAAGTTGAATAAAAATTTTTAATAAAATTAATTTTGAGTCGTTAAATATAATTTTGACAAGTCATAAATTATATTATGCGTTTTGTATTAACAAAAATAAGAGAATTAATTTTTCAACAGAATCTTCCTTGATTTCCCAAAACTTATCAATCAATAAAAGTGTAAACAAAAACACGATAGAATCCAGAAAAGTCAAATGAAATTATCCCCTTGTCCATCTAAATCCAACGTCACCAATCACCACACGTAAAAGTAAACAAGAAATAAAGACAACCCAATTTTTATTCTTTCATTCGCCTTTGGCTTTAAGGAAAACAAAGAAAGGCAATAATTCAACAAGAAAGGGAACGCTTACCGGCCACACGTGTTGATAACCTGATTCCCCAGATTGCCATAAGAAATCCAAAGTTCTTGTGAGGAAATTGTGTCCATGCTCGTGGGTAACGTTAAATCTTGGCACTTCCATTTTCAGAACGCTTCTTTCTGCAGAAGCAATCCCAAAAGCTGACGCAAAGCCAAACAACACCATCCACGTAGATCCCATTCTCATTCCCCTCCACCGTCTCACTCCAAACTCACCCATAATCTTGGCACCTCTTTTTTATATTATTAGTATTATTTCTCTCTCAAAAAGAAAGCTTTTAGACTATGGCTAATCAAATTCTGTGCCGCAAAATCTGTCACCCACCGGTGATCAAATCGTTTCTCCAATCAAAAAATAAAAAACGTGGCGTGGTGTATTTGACAAACAAGAAAACACGGACCAGGGTAAGAAGAACTAAACAAAAATGTTGTGTTGATGTTTGGTTAAAGCTAATATGTAGGAACGTAATACAACTAAGATGATTTCCTGTGGAAATAATGAACAACCTCGGAAGAAATGAATCAACTGACAACAACAACAACAACCAACAAGAGAATAAAAAGAGAAAAGAGAATTGTCGCCAGAAAAGAAAAAACCACAAGGAGATGGGAGTGAAAAATAATGGGTCTGATCACAACAATTTGCAATGGGTTGGGTTTGTCAGAAGCGATGTGTGCGCCATCTGTCTCTCTCTCTCTCTCTCTCTCTCTCTCTCTCCCCCTCTTCTGCGAGTGATATTCCAAGTCACTTTTACTCTGCTTGCTGCACGGATTTATAAAGACCGAGAATAATTGAGATTCATGATTACCTTATTTAAAATGTTTTTATATTGACAAAAGAAATAGATAATTGCTAATGTTTTATTTAAAATGAAAATTATTGAATTTTTTATTCTTTAAATAGTTAAAATATAAAAGCATATTAAAATATTTCTGGCTTAGAACTCTGCTCCCAAGATTCTTTTTTTTCTCCTGTGCCAATTGCCGATTGGCATGGACTACCCAATTTGACGTGGCAAAAGTTGAAGCCATTATTGATCAAAATGCAATGTTTTTCCTCTCTCTTCGTTTGTTCAGTGTAAATGATAATAATGATAACCATTATTAATCCGAGGAAAGTCGAATATGGTGTCTTTTGAAAGTAGATAGGACGAAATATCATAAACACTCTTGGTACATGATTTTAGTTTTTAGTGTATTTTTAAATATTGATTAAAATTCTTAAACATTCTTATGTATGTTTTCAGTACATTCTTAAACATTGAGTAAAATTTATAAATATTATAAAAATAGAAAAAATAAAATAAATTTTATTGAATTAAAAAATTACATAATTTTTAATAAGTTTAATCAATAATTAAGAGTGTGTTGTTAATGTTTTAGTTAATTTAAAAACACTAAAACAATAAGTATTTTGCTTGAGATTAAAAAATTAATTTTAAAATTAAAATGATGCCATATTATTTTATAATTTGACTGCAAAAATGTTTCTTTATAGAAGTGAAACAAAATAATTATTTTAATAAAAAATTTATTAAATATAAATAACCTAAAACACAATTCAGACAATTAATTACTATATTAAATATTATTCAACCAATTGGTTGTTAAAAATTGTTTTTCAGGATTAATCGGAAGACGCGCTGGATCCACATCCCTCCCAAATGATGAGAATTATTACTGTTTGGACATTTCCTGACGCTAATGTATCATGAATTAAAGAGTAATTATTAAATAATTTTTAAAATTATTAATACATCAAATTGCTTTAAAATTTATATTTAATAAAAAAAATCTATTATACAGAAATTAATATCATGAGTAATACTGTACATATTAAAAAAATTATCCTTAAATATGCCCATTCCGTTTTTCTTCGTCATGATAACAAAATTCATAGATGGATCCACGTCCGAACGCGCATAATTGAATAAAAAACAAGGCATGACAGAGGTAAGACCCGCGCAGGTTGGGGGGAGGAAGGCATGCAATGGACCAACTATGCTGTTTGATTTAATTTGCTACTTTGAAAGCTATTTTTTTTCTCTAAATATAATATTTTATTAAAAATAAATTTAAAATATATGAAATACTCTAACTTGTTACAATATTTAATAAAATTTATTAAATATAATTAAAATACATGTTAAAATTTAATCTTAAATACATGTATATTCTATTAAAAGTATAAAAATATTTTGTAATAATGTGTCAGTTTGTTTTATAGTTAAATTTTTATTTTTGTAATTCTTAATAAAAATATATATGATTAATTTTCCATTGGAATTAATTTTACTCGGAAGACTCTGAATCTATAATCGCCCCTGCTCTCTATGATTCGGATCTGAGGAATATTCAATAATTCATTTCAAAAGAATATCTGATGAAGAAAAACAAACATACACGTGTTTTTTAGAAATTAAAAATACACGATAAAACAGTTGTCGTAAGAAACTTGTTTTTTATATAAAAATATTTGAGATTTCGATTGCCTTATTTTTTCACCCTTCCATATGAAAACAGATGCAACAAACCAACAAATAATTAATACATTTAAATAAAAAATTGTAAGTTTAATAAATCATATACATCGTACCTATGTTGAAGTTGAACGCCACTCTCTTTAGGAATGTAAAAAAAAATATTCATAATGTCAGATTAGTAAATTTGGTGTTTAAAAAAAAACTTGAATGGTTGAATTTTAAACTGTATTAGTGCAATTTCAATCTATACAACACATATTATATTATATTATAATAACTTACTTCCTTTTCTTACGTCTCTTCGGCATTTAATTTCATTCTTTCGAAATTCGTAATTCCTGTGCAAATGAATGGAGGGTAGGGCCGCGAGAACGATGATAGCCCCAAGTGCCTATCAAACGATATCTGCGTAACTGCGTATACAGAAAGACCCAGCACATTATGAAGCTTATAATATACATGTGTCATCACTGTTACACCTGACAGTGACAGCTCAACCTAGCCTTTTTTGTTGTTATTTTTTGTATGATAATATTCTCCTAAGTTTTCAATCCAATCATTGATGTTTAATAAATAGTATGTTTCTGAATTATTACAGAAAATTATTATATTTATTGAATCACTGAAAAATAAATAAATAAATAAATAACTAAATTGTTTTTTATTTATGTGACGTTATCTTAAAACAAAGACATGTCAATAACAATGACCGTGTCATTAGAGGCGGTTAGTCGGTGAGACAGTGAATTTTAAATATAATATGTTTTTACTTTTTCATCTAAACAATCAGTTAGTAATTGTTTATGTTATTGTAGCTGTCGTGTATCGACCATGATGTCATGATATTGTTTGTGTACATACTCTCTGGAACTCATTTAACGATGTAATGAATGATTTAATACGATAAAAAGTAAAAGATATGGAGATAATAAATGAATCTTATAAAATGTAAAAGACATGAAAAGTGGATTTGAAGTTTGTTAATTTGATTTTCTGGGCGTCCACGTTTGATTGTCCCTCTATACAACTCAAATAGAACGTTTGAATGACGTGGGTTTGGTGCCATTTTCATTTTGAACGTGAGGTTGGCATCACCCAAATAGAACGTTTCGTCACTTTGTTATTACTTAATCTTAATTTCCGTTTATTGGTGCAAAAATAATTTACAATTTCGTAATAAACTCATTTCTATATTGGTGCATCTTATGAATCATTCATATAATTGAGTTCTTAAAATTTAATCTGAACATGGTGTTAATTTTCAAAACTATAATTAAAATTATCAGAAATAGAATTTATAAACCTTGAGTCAAACACATTTTCTGTCAACACGGAGTAGCAAACCAGACAAACCTTTATGTATAAAATATTAAATTTATCGAACGTGATTCATGCAATACTCGATGCGTCATTTTATTGCCAGCTGTCCATAAAGTACTGCTTTCTAATTTGGCATGATCTACATTATAAAAACAAAAAGATTCACGTGGTAACTGCATCTTTAGTTAGTGTATTTTTTTATATTTTTATTTGAATAAAAATATAGAAATTACATTAATTGTAAAATGCATAAAAAATGCAAGAAATCCTGATCTTTAATAGAATAATATTATGTTATTTAATTTCTACCTCGTTCTGTTTTTATAAAACTCACGTGTTTTATTATTTTTTTATTATATCATATTACTAAGCAGACTTAAATTTTTATTATTTTATAGTTAACAAATAATCTGATACTTTTGTAAACAAAAATTATACATTTTAATTTTAATATAATTATATGATCAATGTTAATTTAAATATACATTTAAATAACATTTAAGGATTCAAAACCAGATTTATTAAAATTAGTTTCATTAAACTCTAAATCAGACGGGTATTAAATCTCTATTCTTCAATATTCACTTTTTATTATGCTCTTTCAAAATCACATAATTTTATCGTTATTTAATATTTATTTTATCATACACTTTTTAATTATTATTTAATTTTCTTTTTCTTAACATGTTTTTATATTAAATTTAACATAATAAAATATTAAGTAGTATCAGTCATCAGTGATTTTTTCTTTGAAATACGATTTTGAATCTATGCGTGTCCTACTTGTTATTTGTACTTCACATGCAGGAATGTCTCGATCACAAGTGTCCCACTCGCCTTTTTAAATTTATTTGTTATATTTGATAATTCGGTTCCGTGTTTGAGTGTTTTTGTTTAGTGACGCAACGAAGTCGATGAATAAGACTAGCATAAAATAAAAATAAAAATGATAAATTAAATTAAATTTCGAAAACAAATAACCAAATTAAAACCTAACAAACATAAAGGTATATCGAATATCATTATTAATTTTCATTAAAGTAAAAATAAAAATAAAAATCCTCAACCTTCGTTTTCTTCAATTATGCAGTTTTAAATTTTAAGAGTATCAAATTTTATATTAAATAAATTATTATGTAATCAAATAAAAACTAAAAATTTAAAATTTAAAGAACTTAAGAATAATTTACAACTATTTAAATGTATACAAATTTTAATAACTATTCTTTACATAACTGGATCTAAAACTTGTTCTTTGTCAAACAAACTTAAAACACTTGTTAATTATTTCGACGGAGGATTGGTAGATCTTATTGATCTTTCGGTCTTATAATTTTGATTATTTTTGACTAAATTGTTTTTTTTTTTCATTTAATTTTGTACTTATTCATATAAGCTGGCAATATTACTATAACTGTTTAAATTTATATAATAATTTAAATTGCTTGATGACATTCGTATCCGTGTCAATAATGTTCTCTATGAATTTTAGAGCGATCATTGCCGACGCCAGCTAGTTAAAAACAGGGGTTGTTAAGTAATAAAAAATAACTAGGGGTTGTTAATAAGCATTCTAAGAGTATTCGTTGAAAAAATAAATAAATAAAAAAGTTAAGTTCAAAATATATTATACATTTCAGAAAAAGTATTGTTATATTTTAAAATATTAGCTAATGTTACATTAAAAATATTAAATTTCATTAACATACCACTTATCCTCGAGATTCACATTATGATAATCTACTGACGCATATATTAAAATATAGCTATTATTTAATGATTTGCAACTTGTGGTGAAAGATAACAGAAAAACCAATTGTAACATGTGCGACTAGTTGTACAAACATTTATATTCGAAGACAAGCTTGTTTTAATGATAATTGAGTACCAAGGTTTTAACAGAAAATAGATAAAAATATATATTTATCTCAATCTTTAAGATCAAATTTAAGTAATTAATAATCATAGTTTTTTAAAATTAAATATCTATTGATTTTTATAAATTAATATAATAAATACACTTTTTTTAATAAAATGTATTATTTTAAAATCCAGTCTTAAGAGTTAAATCTGATAATATATAAAATACGAAAAAAAATATAATGAAAGAATTTATTTGACTAGATTAACAAGTAGCTTGATAATATAAATTTATAGACTTTTTAGAAATTCGTTTAATTCCAGTGGATTAACAATACAACAAACTTTATATTGTTAATCAACTATCATATTTTTTAAATTAATTATTACAAAAATTAATAAATTTTAATATCATGATAATTTGTAATAAATTAATATACTTAATGATTATTTAAAAGTTTATCAAATGTTTTATGAGTACTAATACTTAAAAGTTTATGAATTCAACTTATTTGATAAAACTGATTATACAATTAGTTTAAATATATTAGATGACTACAAATATGTAATATTATAATAATATAATGTTAGGGTTAAAGTTAAAATTGAGATCTAAATTTGCATTTAAGAATAAAGATACAACATTGTTTAAATTATTATTATTATTATAAAACATTATAACATTTGTAAATATAAAAGAATATATAAAAGCTTATGAAGAATTAAAAAATATTAATTTTTGCTGAGAAATTAAATCTAAAGTATCTTATAATTTTTAGATAAATAATATTATTTTATTTTTTATTTAATAAATTTTTATTGCACTAGATAAAATATTAATTAATATTATATGTATATATATCATTTTTATAAGTTATTTTATTTTTATATTGTGTAATAAATTAATATATATTTTTTTTTATTAATCAAACCATTAAATTATAATTATATTATTATTTTTTTAAAAATTTAGTGATGCTTTAGCAAATTTTCTTAATATCAATTAATGTTCTAATATTTGAATAAATATTATTTTATTCTAATTAATTATATATTTTTTAGTATTGTGTAAAAAAAAATTTTAACAGATGAAGGAAATAATAATAATTTTGTAAAATTATCTCTTTAAGATGCTAATTACATTTTTTTTTTAATCTTTACAAAAGTATCTTAAACATCATTTTATTTAAAATGGAGGTAGTAATATATACTGGTCTGAATATCAGTCAAATGTAAGGGAGTCTAATTTTCCTAAAATTAATACTATCAAATTTTAAAACAAATATTCATTTTCCGTTTCAACATAAAAACGCAAGACATTTTATCTATGAACATATGATCAGTATGATGTAAGGTAGATTTTATATTAGTCACCACTCCTTAGTGCCATTCAATTCCTATTTATTTAGGTAAGACCAAATATTAAACAGTAACGTTGTCTCTAATTTTAAATGTAAAAAAACAGAAAAATATATAATTACAATTACAAAATAAAAAATTAATTATATGAAAATATTAATTTTATCTTTTAATATTAAAATAATTTAAAAAGGAGATTAAACAAAAGAAATCATATAATATAATATAATATGTTTAAGTTTAATTAAATAATACTTGCTAATGATATTTTGGAGAGAGAAAATTACACTCCACTCCACTGGCCATTGACCATTGACCTCAACAGAGACAGAAAACACATGCTAATGGAATATATTAAATCTAACCACAATTAACTTATAAATGGGATGCTGGATTTAATACAAAATATTGTCTTTAAAAATGGCAGGTGTTAGTTTGATTCCTAAATTTTACATAAATACAATTTTGTCCCTAAATTTGTCAATTTTATGAAAAGTTTAGTCCTCAACTTTAATCTATTTCATGTTGGAAGGACCGATTTCTCATAAAATTATTAAATTCAAGGACTAAACTTTACATACATAAACTTGTAAGTATCAAACTAATACAACTTGTCACTTTTAAAGATGAAATTGCATTTAGGACATGGACAAGTGTCCTGTGCAAACTACCTAAATTTAACCATCTAATGTGTCAGGCCGGGTTTAATATGGCGTGCACATCAATATTTAATTAAGCATCCAAATGCAATCAATTTGATTGCAAACAAATTAGCGTGAAATATGAATGAAAACTTGAACCGTACAAACGCTACATAATATTGATTAGGTCCCAAATTTATTTACAGGACACAATTGAAAATGGGATATGGATTCCTATGCAGGCAGATAGTTGTTTTTTATTTTTCGCTTAAGTAAAAAATCATCCACTTAAACGAACATACCTAAAAAAATTTACTGCAGCCTATAGCTCCTGCAGAATCCTTTTCCCTGAAAATGTGTCCATTTTCGTTATTTTTTAGGCTGATTGTTAAGGTATTGGATGCAGCAACTTCAACAACGACAAAAATTAGTTCTGGTCTTTACCGGAGGGCATTAGGCTCACAATCAGCTGAGCAGTGTCTTCCAAAAGGAACTATGGATGAGGCATAACCGGTTATACAAGCACAAAAAACGAAACAAAAAGAATCCATCATCTCCGCAATATCAACATTGTTCAAGTATCAGTTATACTACACTGAAAACAAAATTTATGATCACGCGCGAGAGAGAGAGCCAGAAATAATAAAACCTTTGGAAAGTTTGCTATGGAAACCCAGACTAGGCAGTCAAAATGTGAAAAATCAACCTGAAAAATAAGACTAATATATATTTTTTTAAATCACAATCTGTTACAAAGGTGTGCTGCTGAATAAGTTAGCTTTAAAAGTAACGGTGTTCCCAGAAAATAACAGTATTTCCTTTGTGACTCAGAAATATTGGTCTAGCGCATGCTTCAACTTATTCAACTTTTTTGGTAGGTTTGGCATCCGCCCCTTGAGATGAATTGATGGCAGTCTTTGATTCATCGAACTCCAACAACTGCGTTGATAGAAAGTTAAAAGTTGTTAGAATCTTCCAAGTCTTAACATGCAAACAGTCTTACACTGATGATAAATCAAACTTACACAGTTATACTCTTCATTATGCATATAATACAAAACACCACAAACGTATGATTGAAAGCAAACTAGACAACACAAAAAGGACGACTAATATTGATACGAGAACAGAATGAACAAAATTCAGCAACGAAACAAACCTGTTTGACATCACCATTCCAAATGCAATGAGCAGCCAAAAATCCAATTACAGAGGGTACAATATACAGAAGAGCAGGCTGGCAACAGGGATAAAATAAGCAGGGGAAAACGTTAATACAAAAAATCCATGACAGTTCAACAGGCTCAGCCAGCAATGAATTAGTAGTGAATTTGACATTAATGGCTTCAACCCCCACACCATCCCCCTTAAACCTATAAAAGAAGAAAAGAAACATAAAATACGATGAAACCAGAGATCAGTCACCTGTGCAGCCTGAAACCAGTTCATCACAATAATTGTAAGGACCAGGCCAACAGTGTATCCTACAAATGCGCTCTTGAAATACTGAGGCTGTTTCCCTCTAGACACATCAAATCGCAAAGCCAATGCCACAAAAATGCCTGTAGTAGAAAAAATGTAGCCAAAGTAAATAGAAGTAACGACCAAATAATTATAGATAAGCCTTTTCTTCCACAAATGCAAACAGATCTCATACATCAATTGACAGCTGCATGCATAAACATTTCAAACTTCGAAAGAAAATTAGCTTTTCAGGAAACAGATTGACGTCCGAATTATGACACATTAAAATCATCAAAGATCCTCATAAAGCTAGGGAGAATAATTATTTGCCACTCTAATTTGAAGCTGTAAACTAATAGCCAGAATAAACTTGTCAGCAAAAGCATGAAGTTGCACATATTTTTGCCTGGCTGACCACATAAAATTAGTATTTAGGCCTACAAATGCAAAATATATTTCCAAAGCCCTTCTTATAATAGTTTCTACTCTCCACTACCATGTTACAATTATTGGTCAAAGAAACTCCACAAAGTTAACTACAAAAACCAGAAATTCATAACAGGAAAAATATGGATCAGAACAATGCCTCTTGACTAAAACTAGAAGACCTGTAAAACTCAGTATCATGAGGAAATGGGAATGTATCACAAGGATTTTAACTTTTTAAATTTAGCTTTAAGAGTCCGTTATCTAGATTAAGTAATGGGGCCACATAAGTAGAAAGGGAATAAGTCACCTTATTTAGGAGTTTTAAAAATTATGAAGAGAAAGAAAATTTGAGGGGGAGGCTTTCCCCATGAAACTATACACTCCTGACCTTTTACCTATTTCTAGCTTCCCTACAGGCTTTTCACACGAGATCTGGCAAATTCATGGTGATTTTACAACACACAAATTTGAACTCATGGCATGACATCAAGGTGAAATACAAACTCTTTCAATGAGTCAAAATTATTCGGTCCCTTTTCCGTTCCATTTTCTCCAAAACTTACCAACATAGGTTTTGTACTTATTACAGGGCTATTTCACAACAGAAATACATCAATACAAAAATGAAGGGCGTTCTTACCAGGGATAACAATATCACCAAGTCCAAGCATTGAAAATGGCCTAGCAGAATCTGATGTGGGGAACAAAAGCTGCAAAATAACAAGAACGACAATGTCAGGAAGAAATTTATTACACTTTTAATCTGATAATTGTTGCAACACACGCTATAAACCATAACTATCAAAATTCATGCAAAGATGGACAGAAAGAAATTTCCATTTCATTGAGCAGGAATTTCAACCTTTATTGGTGCATCAAAAGATTTTGCAACGCTAACCATCACAGGAGTGAAGAAAACCCAGAAAATGTCATATACAAATAGACCAGCCTGCAAAACATCAAGTAAATGAATCAAACACTATATTGAAAAGGAAAAAAGGAACAATATAATGAAAAAGCAAAAGCTTTGTCTCTTGGAATCTAGGACTTGTTTATCTGCAGCCAAAGGATTGTATATCTCGAGAACAGGATGTTTTAAATTCACAATTATATGTTCTCTTAAAAAAGAAGCTTTGAGCACCATTAATTGCAATAAAAGCAAAAATAAAAACCTACCAAGAGAATAGCACCAGTCTTGAAAGATCCAAGGGAAAGCATTTCAATTCCCTGTAAATTTTAAAGACAGATGGTGTCAATTAGTGTTGACTAAGTATAATGATTATACAAACATTCATTGCATAATGACTATATGATTGAATTCATTTTTTGAGCCCATTTTCTAAGGGAAAAAATAAAAGCTGCTGCTTCAAACTATCAAAGTGGATACCAAAATGTTAGTGGAAGTTGTGTAACAAAAATATAATTAAATGGTTCATTATATGATTGATAGACAGGTAAATACATGTTTTCTTATTGGCATAATTAGAATTAGGAAAGTAGATCAGAAGCTATGCTATAAAAATTGGAACCAAGTTATCACTATTAAACATAATACTGTGAATTAGATACTATAGTTACATAAATATAATGGGCTGTTAAGATACAACTCTTTGTTTGCTAATTTTCTATTGTCACTTACAAACAATTTATAACTGGCATAAATATCAGGGATAATTGCTTGTTAACGTACACAATCAATTTTTTCTTGTTAATAGGTAGTTATCTAATTGGTTATGTACCTATCAATTCAATCACACACGTGTATACAGGAAAAGCAATCAAACCTGAATACAGAAAGCAAGACCCAATATATTATTTGCCAGCCAATGCTTCCGCAAAGCATACCAGGCACAAAAAAAAGTTCCAGGGATTGCGGCAACAATCTGTGACCTTGTAAACTCAATCTCCAAAGCTGTGTAAGAAAGGTGTAATAAAAATAAAACATATCATCCTGAATGAAAGAAGCAAGTTATTGTCAACTAGATCAAGTACGAAGAGCAAAGTGTAACCAAACAATACAATCACTTTAACACGAGGATAATCATATCATGATAATGAATAAGATTAAAAAATCAACAACAAAAGAAAGTAAATCATAACAACTACCCAAAGGCACTAGTGATCAAACTTGCCCGTTGAACTTAAAAGTGAATTCAAACCATGAAATTAGTTAGCATAGCTAGAACCACCAATTAGTCAACCATTATTTAAGATAACCAGAGGAATGTCTCCCCTTCCAATTAATATGACAAGCCATGTAGGATCCATGAGGCATCAATGCATTTATCATTATTATTACTTATCACTTCTCCACAAAGTAGTGGTTTGAAATTCATTCAAATGCAAGTAGAACCTACAAGGTATTGATGCTGTGCAAGTATCATTAAAAAGTAGATACAAGAACACCATGACCAACTCTTCGATATTAATATCACCCAATGGAGGATCAAGACTTACATATAGTCAAAACACAGTGTATGCATTGTCAAAAAATAAAGAACTCAAAACATTTAGAAATTTCACTGCATAAATAGCAAAAAAAGAAATATTATTGTCAGAAGCAGTAAGAAAAATAGGGAGGCAGGGTGTCACATACAACGAAAATATGGAAAACGCCAGACTATGAGGTTCTCATTCCAATGCTTAGGCAGAAAACGTTTAATAGATGGTAATAATGTTGCCCTGGAGACAGTAGAAGAAAAATCGTGTGATAAAGAGCAAATATGTCAATAACAAAAAGAAGGATTCTATTGACCACATAATAAGCACATTGGACGCAAAGAAGAAAACATACGAAAGTGCAACAATCCCAAGTACAAAGAAGTAGCCTGTCAATACAGTGTTCACCAAGTCCTTGGATAGAAACTTGAAGAGTAAGAAAAGTGATAATAACATAGCACTCCCGACAAAGGGAAAACGCATGGCGTGTTCATTGGACATCGTCTCCTGCAAAATCAAATGCAATACAATTCAAAGGAATCAGATACCGAGCCATGAAAAATACAATATAAAGAAGAGAATAAGCAGAGTTACCACTTACAGTTGGCGGGGTTGGTTTGACAGAACGGTAACAGCCCACAAACACAGTGATGCAAGCAGTCAAAATTACATTTAAATTCGGATCTACTTTCACAACAAGAGGTGCTAAGGTTAAACCTGCCATGACAAATAAAATGCCCTTAATATTGAGTAATTGAGGAACACAAATGGACCCACTCTCGCTCTTACTCATTCACTGACATTATCAAACAAGGTGCAACCAGCATAATTAGAGACCATGGAAAGTGCATAACATTCAAGATTTCATAACCAATTTTCAAAAACATTGCACTGTACCCATTTTCTGTTTGAGCACACACAATTTGGCAAATTACTACACTTACGAATACCAACTGCATTGTCCTAGAATGCGCGAAGTTTACTCATAATTGGGGGGGGGGGGGGGGACTAAACTAGGGAAGCGAACCTGCTAAAGCCAAATTGGCAATTCGCTCCGTGTTCTTCATTCTCCTTCACCTGTTTTCTATTGTGTGTCAAAAACGATGGATTTACTGAACTAAAGCGGTGCGGGAATGGCCTCCACTGCGATCAAGAAACAGCAAGAACAACATTAATAAAAAACGAGTCATCGATCAATTAAAAAAAAAAAAAAGGTTGAACGTTGATGTTATTGGTGGAAAAAAAAAAAACCTCAAATGGCAAAAGAAAATTGCAGAACCGGTAGGCCACAACGCAACCGTAGCAAGCAGATCGGAGAAAGAAAGAGAAATAGATTTGGGGCAAACAAAAGATTTGAAAGTGATAGGGTTTTAAGATTTACCCGAAGAGAGAGAGAGAAGAGAAAGAAAGATTAATGAGGTGTTTAGAGGTTACTACTGCCAATGGGAGAGCGGTGTTTGGCAACGTGGCAAGATGTGAATAGCCAGTGGCAAGAATCAAATGGTTCGCGGTTACGGTGGGTGATGTAAGATACATTACATATTACGTAAAATAAAACTACATTTATATAACTAAAAGGCAACTTGCCTCCCCTTAGCCTACCCACGTAACTTGAGCTCCCTCACCCAATCACAAGACAACAAATTGCCACATAGGATTTCACAATTTTTATTTTTGTCAAAATCACATCGCTACAGTGGAGTCACTTTGGCTGGAAAATGAAGCTGCAAAATATTTATACACTTTTTTTTATTTACCGAAAGAAGATTTTTTTTTCCCAACTACGTAGATACCTTTATTCTTTCCATCAACATTTATTACAATTATATTCATTAAATTTCAACTCGAATTAATTTTTTATTTTGAAATAAAATGTATTTTTTTAATTTTAAATAAGATACAATTTTAAATTTTAAATAAAATATAAAATTTTAAAATAATAAAAATTATATAATTGTTAAAAAAATTAAATTTGAAATGAAAAAAATTAGACAGGTAATTCATTGTTATAGAAAAATAAACATAAAGTTCAAACATTGTAAGAGTATATTTTAATTTATAGTTTTTCTAACATGTCTCCATTACGCATATTAAAAAGTTGAAAATAAATTTTGTATTAAACATCAAGTATTTATTATTTTAAAATTATAACAAAATTTATGTATTTTTTATAATACCTTAATTTTTATTAAATTTTTTATTTAAAAAAGTTAAAAATATTAAAAATTTATTTTTAAAAAATTATAATATAGTTTTTATTATTTTGGAAATAAAATAATTTAAATTAAATATTAAATTATTCATTAATTTAAAAATTATAAACATATTTTATATTATTTGATGGTTTATTAAAATCACCAATAAATTTTAAAAATAAATTAAATATGTTAAATAATTTTTTCAATATTACTTAAAAATAATATATATTTATATTTACTTGATAAAAATAAATAAATAAATTTTAATATAATTAATAGAAAAATATAAAAAATAACAATTCTAAAAGTATTTATACTTACTTGTTTATATTATTTTGGAGAGTTGACATAATTACAAAACACAAAAACAAAATAAATAATTGAAATAAATCTTAACAATTTTTTAAAAATTATGTAAAAAAATTTTATATTAGAAAAAATAAGACTTATTTAGGGATATATAAAATAAAGAATTAATATAATAAAATTTTATTTATTTATTTATATTATATTCATTTGTTTGAATATTTTTAGTAATGTTTGAATTCTAAATTTGACTCAATTAATTTATGATGTACAAATTTAATTTAATGTTTTTTAAATATTTATTAAATTAATAGAAGATTAGTCACCTATAAATAATAAGGTTGTCATATTTTGTATTTTTTACAGTGACAAATTCTTGTGACTACATATACATTATTGTAATTATCAAATATAATAAAAATAAAGCTACATTCTGTACATGCATTTTATTTATTTTTCAACTAGTAAAAAACAGAAACAAATATGTAAGTCAAACCAATCTCAATGTACAAAACAATTAATAAAATACATATTAAAATATGATTTAATAATATACAGAATAATAATTTTGTAAGTGTGAATGCTAATATTTTTATTTTAAATTTGAATGTGCATTTTTATTAACCAATATATCAAATTAATTAACAAAATTATTTAAATAAAAAAATAAGGTAATTGATATTTTTATAATACTTTTTATAGTCGACATAAAATTTATATATATAATTAATTCTATTAATTTTTTCTTAAATACAAATCAAATGTAATATATATATATATATATATATATATATATATATATTTGTTTATAACATTCCATAGTCATTAAATAAACTGTAGGAATTAAATTCAGTCAATTATATTTAAATTTTTTATTATCTTTTATACATTATAATATTTATGAATTAATTACAATTAAAATTAATATATAATTTAGTTATATAAAACATTAAATAATAGTTTGTTGTAAATTTGACACAAGACACAATCTTTTAACTTAATATAAAAAAGTAAACAATGACAAAGCTTATCTCAATTTTGCATATATTTTTAGTTTTTATAGATGACTTAAAAAATGATTTATTCTTGTAATGTTTCTATTAATTTTAAAATATTTGAAATAATTTCCATTACTAATTAATGATAATGTCAAATTCTATTATTTGTGTGTTTGTGTATGGACTTCTCGTCTGCTCTGGGCCTATAACTTCCCTTTTGGGCATTGGGTGTGGGTACTCTCGAAGTGATCAACAGAAAGGCCTCGATCACCCACAGAAAAAGGCCCCATACTTTTTATGTGCTTTAGTCGTAGGCTGTAGCAACTGAATGCCCCACTATAGAGGTATGGTATAAGGGCCCCAGCCTTTAGGAGTTATCCAACTTAGTATAATCTTTTGGTGCTGCTCTCTTACCGGGGTTAATCAGAAAAATAACTTCAAATTATGTATATTAGTGCCTTGCCAAGCGTGTTTTTGGACCCACGGCTGGAAGTGTTGATCCACAGCATTCTGCCAAGATAAACTCTAATTCACTTTGAAATCTCTAATTCAGCAACATAAGAAAGCTTTTAATATATAGTTGTTTTAAAAAAATTAAAAACTGATTAAGAATTTGAACATTTAGCCTGGACAATAGGAGCTTTACATCTTGAGCAGAGCTAATTAGCATAGTTCTAAATTCTGATTTCTGGGTTACACATCACATTCCGCTATCCTTGAATGTTGAACCTCGCAATTTGAACCTGATGGCTGAAGACCATAAGCACTAGTATTTTCAGTATTCACTATACCCGCAGGAGCTGTAATTCTGAGATGACAGTGCCAAATTGAAATTTCTTATATCCTGCTGGTATAGGCTGGCATCATAATCTGAACTATCTGACCAACTATATAATGTGGTATGCCCTGGTGTAATATTTCGAACAAGATCGGATAGAGAAACCACTCCTTCTAAGGTGCCAACTACCTGTTACAAATTGTGAACTTTGGGGTCAGAGGCTAGGCTCATGTATTTATTCTTTTTGTAAAAATATCATATTTTTCTAGCAACTAATTGATGTCTGAATTGAAATATTTTATATTCATTTAATTTTCAAAGATATTAGCTATTTGATTTTGGACATCAATCAATAAAGTAACTCCCAGGGATTTGACCAGGATACAATTATCTTCGTATTGTATGAAGAAAATTGCCTTGGTAGATTATTCTGTCAGACTTACCCTCGTGATCGAGAAACGGATTTACAGTAGAAAGTTCTAATTAGCTTCATTCTTTTATCTTTCTTCCATTATAAGAAGCCGATGGAAATGAAAAACAATGAATAGATATTATTACTTGGCTCATACGAGGTCGAAGCCTGGCTGAATGGCATACACAAGCAGCTGCACAATTAATCATTCTAGCCATCTCATCAACTTCGTAATTTTTCTGCAACCTTGGATCAACTAGGTTGTCGAAGTCACCATCTTGCAGTGCTTGAGCAAGCAATGGCCTAGCCTGTAATGCCAATACACAAGAATATTGCAAGGTCATTTTAATTATGAGGGTCAGCAGCAAAGGAGACCATATGTGCAACAGGAAAAAATGGTCCCTCAATTTCATTATTGCTCCTTGGATATCAAGTTTTTTTTTTGGTTTTCCATCCGATTTATCGCTCACCTGTACGTGGCTTGCCTCCTACGTTGGTAATATCATGTTATTTTAATCTATATGAACTATATTTCCTATAATCTAAGAACAAAGCATTTGAGGCATTTGTCAGCGCCATTGCCCGACCTTTCGTGAAGAAAACGAATACTTAGCCCGTCCAAGTACCACGAGTTTGAGTTTTTTGAAGTCTATTATTATCCTAATAATCATCCACAAACATGAGCAACGAAGTTGTGAAAAACAAAATTATATTTTCCAACATGAAGACTCAGTCAACTTACCCAGTCAACCAGGCTCTCATTCCTTGATCCTGTTACAGTGATTGGGGGACGACCGGTTATAAGTTCCAAAAGCATGATGCCATAGGAATATACATCTGATTTCTCTGTTAATTTACCACTTGATGCATACTCTGGTGCCAGATACCTGCGATAAAATTATCGGTTTTGCAATTATAAAGCTGGCAAAAGCTGATCCAGACATGCGCAATGGACAAACTTTAGCAACACTTAGGTTAGAACATGCTGTGTGTACTTTTTTAATCGTTTCTATCTGTTACATAGCAGGAGAGTGTAACGCACCCGTACACATGCAACATGCAGTTTTAAGACAACATATACTCTGCAAGCCTGATTTTAAACGGCGAGATGCTATATACATAGACGGATAAAAGCAAATATTAACGAAAAGATATAAAGTGACCAAAGTTTACTTTGTGCTTCGTAATGGTAGGGAAAAAAAAAAAATCCAATGTTCACTCGATGGGATTTTAAGGAATTCCCAGCACTAGGGGTAGGTTACTATATTCAAGAAAACGATGAAAACGAAGTCAAATAGTGCAGTTATTATACGTGCAGTAAGTTGAGAAGTAACCGCTGGCCTTACCCAAAGGTTCCCACCACACGGGTGGTGAGGTGAGTAATGCAACTATCTGTCTTAGGGAAGATTTTTGCCAGGCCAAAGTCAGAAACCTAATAAAAACATAAGCTCATCATCAATCTATATCCAAAGTGGTTGATAAACGTATGTCTCAGCCCATCAGTTATTAACAGAGGACACTTCGTGTGCGCTACGATGCATTGGGAACAAAATCAGAAAGTAATTAAAAAAGGCAAATGCAGAAGACTCAATTTCTTTTTTAGTATTAGCAATATGAATTAGAGGTTACTATTAAATATTTAGGATAATAATAATGTTATTATTATTATTATTTTCTGTAGAGTAATGCTATTCTGGAAGCACTCTCTCACAACGTATCTTATAACAAAAAGAGAGAATAAAAGAGATGGAAGTACAGGATAAGGTGAGTGATGTGATAGAAAAAAAGTTGTAAACAATTAAGCATAAAACTGTATTAAAATGACAATGTTGTATAATATTGAAGTGACAAAGACAAAGACTTGCCTTTGCTTCAAACTTAAAATCAAGAAGAATATTAGATGCTTTAATATCGCGGTGAATGATTGCTGGATTACCTGTAGGCATGATGATCATAATAAGAATCAGATTATCATTCTAAAACACATAAAAATAGTACGTCTATATGAGATGTATGCATGTGAATTGTGGAATCCATGTGAAAAATGGGACTTTTTTTAACTTGTGACATTGCAAAGAAATATGCAGCAACAATATTTTAGTAGATAAAATACAGGCTTAGAAAAATCAAGAAATCAAAGATTTAGGGATGCTATAATTTTAACTGCAAAATTGTGAATCTTTTTCTAATTTGAAAGTGAAAACTCTCACAATCTTCGTGTAGATATGCCAGCCCTTTTGCAGATCCCAAGGCAATTTTAATTCTCGTTGCCCATTCTATGACAGCGTTCCCCTCCCCTGCAACACATTTTATATCATCTTCAGTATCATGAAGTGCAACAGTCAAATGGAACCAAAAAACACTTTCCTTATCATCTAGCAGTGGAAGAAACAATTCTCCATTCTAGGTAAAATTATAAAGCAAGGGTAATTAAGAAACATAAAAGAAAGCACTACTGGCAAGTGTCATCACCTAAGCAGAAAAGCTTTCGGTTAAGGTTACCATAAATTACATAGGCTTACCATGTAAGTGGAATTCCAATGTGTTATTTGGTACATACTCATAAACTAGCAATCTTTCTGCCCTGGTAACGCAGTATCCAATCAATTCAACAAGGTGTTTATGATGCACCCTACTAATGGTTTCAACCTCAGCTTGAAATTCTCGCTCTCCTTGTTGGCTTCCTGTTTTTAACTGCTTAACAGCAATTTCCTTTCCACACGGGAGAACTCCTTTGTACACATACCCAAAGCCACCTTCTCCAAGAAGGTTGGACTCAGAAAAACAATTAGTAGCTACTATTAAGTCGTCATATGTGAAAATACCATTCACAGAACCAAAGGCAACACTTGGAGCACGGTTTGCAATTGCTTTCACGGACCCTGAATTAACAGAGCCAGAAACTCCACCTCCCTCAGTGAGATGTGTTGGATTTGATTGCACTTGAATAACATGAGACCCTGATGATGAGATAATGTAGTGTGCAAGCAGCTCAATAATTATCCAACAAATCTAATGAAACATAAAATGCACAATAGTTCACGAATCATGACAATGTCACCAGAAGAAATTTATAAAGAAATTCAATTTAGTAACCAATTTATTAGAAGAGAAGGGATCATAATCATAAAAATAATGCTATTATTTAAATTATCACAAAACTACTTATATTAAATTTTTTACTTTATCTTTTATCAATTATCATTGAATCACTCGTCTCATTTTTTTTCTTCTTATCTCTTTCTTATAAATGATGACTTTAAACGAGTAATGTAAAGTTTAGTAATAACTCATACAACATTTTTTATAAATTATTTTTTTCTCCATTTTGTACATTTCGTTCATCCCTTTTATCACATTCTTTACTTTTCTCTTTTTTATCACTTCCAAAATTAGAAGAATTGCTGTACGAGAGTAGAGTTATTCCCTTTAAATCTATATCACATAATTTACTCATAAAGGAAGGTAAAGGATAAGATTTCTGACCCTTTGATCCAATAGAGGGGGATGAATCCTTATATTGATAGGTAGAGAGATTCTTCTGCTTATTTTTCTTCTTATTCCTGCACAAAACAGTTACAATGGCGAGAATAAACGAAACAAGGATAGCTCCAATTACAAGTCCAATGACGATTCCACTTGACAAATGGAAGGCTGAAAGTTTCTGAGCTCCCACAGCCACCGGCAAACCTCCACTTGACGATGTTGGCCGCAACATCGCTTCCGGTTCCGATGCCGGCAACATGAAACTCGATGGTGGTGCCAGGGAAGGTTCGGTGAATGCAGGTGGAGGAACAGTCGCCGGCGGTGGCGGAAGCGGTGGTCGAGGCATGTCCTCCGACAATGCAGGTGTTGAAGGTGGTGGAAAAATGGAGGTTGGAGTTGGAACCGATGGTGTAATTGTAAACGGTGGAAACGTTCCTGTTGCAGGTGCTGTGGCAAATGGAAACGGTGGTGGCTGAAATGCCGGCGCCGCTGGGGACGGCAATGGAACCGTCAGAGGAAGTGGAATAACTGGAGACGGAGGAGATGGCGGTGGCGAATCTGGACTCTCATTGGATATAATAAGAGGCGGAGAAGCTGGAACGAGTAAAATTTCCGGTGACGGCGAGGACGACGCCGGTATGGTCGGTGACTTAACGGGAGGTGCAGAATTTGACGGCAGTGGCACCGTTAAAGATAACGTCGGCGGGGATGAAGTTGCTGGCGAGGTGTCGGGAAGTGCCGAAGGTGCCGGACACGCTGATGGAGGTGATGCCGGTTCCGGCACTGGAGGAGGAGTATCACCAACCGGCGGCAGTGGAGGCTTCGTCGCCGGTGAAAACGCCGGCGCATATGGCGCAACTGCTAACATGATATTTGTTATTTATATTTTTTCTTCCTATAAAACTGAGGTTCTCACTTGGAAGATGGAGCAGAGATCCATGCACATGAAGCAGTGGACCAATGTATATATAATTAAAGCTGTTTCGTGTTTAGCAATTTGCAGGGAAAACTGAGAGCTACCACTCCAGAGCCATAGCACGCACTGCTTCACTTATGGCTAGTGAGTAGTGAAGTTCAACTCTAGCTAACAGTACCTTTTTTTTCTAAGGTGAATTTCCGCGTCAGAGACTAGTTAATAGCAAATGCGTACAAAAGAAAATTACTTTCACCAACTATTTGGATAAATTCACGTGTTACTAATTTATTTTTAATTCACAGTAGAGAGTGGCATGCATGTGGTGGTTGACCTTTTTCAGAATATACTAAGAAAGAAGGGACACAGAAGAGTGGTTAAGATTGAAAAGATAGAGGAGAGAATGTAAATTAAGTAGCAACCATGCTTCTCTAGTGATGGAAATTAGCTGCATTGCACTCCCGCCCCCTCATCTAGCCATCTTCAGTGCTAGCTGCTAGTGCGAGGCGCGCCAACACATATTCAGAGAGAGAGAGAGAGAGAGAAAGTAAATTATAAGAAATTAAGAATGATTGTCCTTGTTTCTGTGGCGGAACACGGTGAAGAGTATCACAAGTATAATTGACAATTAAAAAACGAATAAGCTGCATTTGGGTTAAAAATATAACATAAAAGTATAAACAGAAAACATGTACGAACAAAACAAACATGGAGGCTTAACATCACGTGCACTCGTTAACACCAGGTGTCATTTGGATATCCAAACGGAAACAAGGTATAGTCAAAAGTTGATGTCTTGCCTTATGTTTTCGAATGAATTAAAAGAAAATAATAGCCAAAGAAGAATGAAATTTCAATGTGAAGGATATGGTATTTTGTTTTATATAATTTATTTTAACGTTGAATCATTGCTTCACAGCAAAATATTTATGTGAATGGTAATTTGAGAAACATTTTCTGCAAAAGTTTGTTTAAAATAGATGTTTTTGACTTTTATTTTCAAATAAATTTAAAAATTACATGGCCAGAGAAGAATAAGAAAATTATTGAACGGTATTCAATTTTCAATGTGAAGAATATGGTATATATATATTTATTTGAATCATTTTAACCTTGAATCACAGCAAACTATTTATGTGCATAGTAAAATTGAGGAATATTTTTCGACCAAAAATTATTCTTATCGCGGAGGAGACGATGAGTAAAGTTGCTCAAGAAAAATCTGGCACAAAAACTAATCACTAATCAACCAATGCCAATGCCATGAACGCCACGAACGCTTGAATAAGCGTCACAAAATCAACGAAAAGCCTCTACAAACTTACAACCCAGACTCGGGTTTGCTATAACTGAGTATCTCCTGATGGAATCATCACGTGGGTTGGATACAAAAACAGCTACAAAATCTTTTTACCCAATGGAATCCCTATGCACTCTCTGTCATACCCTGATTGATTTTTTTTTTCTTTTTTTCCCCCGTTTCAGTATACATTTAATCTAGGATTCCAAAATTTCGTTGTTGACTACTCCACAGCCTAGAAGCATACAGTACACGATAAAGTTTCAAGGTAAACCAAATTTGGACAAGGCTGATTGGAATAATGTTGAGAAGGCCTTGGATGAGCTTTGGTCATCGGCTTTTATTTTAATCTGTGACTTGGCTGACGATGTGTTGATTATGCATTCCACAAGATAAATTGATGTTTCTTCAGCTTTCTGTGCAAAGAAAAAGAACTTGAAGTTGGGAGACTGACCACCAGATGCAATGCAGTGTATCGAATGACTTTGCATGTGCCGTAGAAGTGCATGGGGAGTTGTCAATGATGCAATCCCGGGAGGACTTAGAGAATATTCCTGCATCAGATTATGAATGTTAAATTTAACGTAAGTCAAAATGCTCTACATTTTTCATTGGTCGGGAGGCAGCCAAAGAAAAGCAGAAAAGATATAGACCATGTTCAAGTATTTAGTTCAACTTCAAATTTTTTATGCAATATCAGTGCAAATTTTCTCTACAATTTACACTATAATCCAGTTATGTATTGTCACATCATTTAATGATCTCAACAACTGATAAATGGCATGGCAACACATCATTGGATGACAGTCTACAATGCTTTTACAATAACCATTCATCCAAATTACATTCATCTACAAAAGTGAAAGCAATCATGTTAATGAAACTGATATTATAATTTCAAAGCAGACCTCTGATAAAGATATTGGAAGTTGGCGCCATTTTTGCTGAAATGTGCTGGGATCCAGTACAGCTTTTGGGTTGAGGTTCAATGGAGGAGGTGGGGGTGTGGCTGCAGTCCCAACTGGAAAATCTAAACCAAGCAGATCATCGATTGCGAAGCTAGATGCTGGAGCTTGACTAGTTACACTGTTAGTTGGAAGTGCTAAATCTGCAAGTGGTTGCGAATTTGTAGAAGGGGCAGATGAACCATTATAGGAAGGAGCATTATAGGCAGAACCATTGCTGCCAGGATCTCTCCCTTCCTCTTTTTCTGTGGTACTTAGAAGCAGATCCTTGTCATTTGCTTCCACCCTCTGAGATGGAACAACAGAATCTCCAGACTCTGCACTGATAGATAGATTTCCAAGTTCATCTGAAAACTCAAATGTTCCTCGGTGTTCTTTATCAGTGAACATGTAAGAGGGCTGCAAGAATTTTCCATTGTTAGTTTGACAGAATTTAGAATACACAGGATCAACGTAATGCAGACAGGTCTCAAGTAATGTTACTAAGAAAGGGTGTTTAATTTAACCTGTCACAGGCTCACAGCACAAGGTGTAACCTTTAAGGCACTGAGGCACAAAGTTTAGCCACGTGGTATTTTATATTTTCAAAATGTTAAAAATAAATTATAATGTAAATAAAAGTACAAATTGCAACATATTAGTGATTCAACAGCTGAGGCAAGAATGGTAAGATGAATTGTCTATTACTCCCCCCACCCCCACCCACCCATTTTTCATATTTAAATATGTTCAAAATAGCAAAATCTATTTAATTAAAAAATAAAGTTTTAGTAATGGCTTCAAGTAATTAAAATTGGTCCAAGCTCAACAAATAATTTCTGTTCCTTGAAAATCACTGAGGGGAAGTTGAATAGATCAGTTACCTTCTGATATACAACAGATAAACTGTTAAATTCATCAAATATGCGATCTTTGATTTCACTGCTCTGAGTATCAGCAAATACTGAAACTGCTTGCTTTGGAGGGTTCACTACACTCTCTGCCACTGATACGTTGTATTGCAGAAGCCTGTAATAGAACAAGGCCCTATCATGAACATCCTGCAATCAACAAAAACCCCGTAACATACCACTGCAATACAAGCAAATATTCAAATATATCATTGTTCTGACAGTTCAAATTCATAAGCAGCAACAACAATTAAAACCTGGTGAAAATCAGCAAGGCCAGCAGCCAATGCAGCTCCTAATGCTTTTTGAGTTTCAGGAGGTCTCTTAAAGAAACACTTCATAACTGCAGTAAGAAGATGTAAGCGGACCTGCATCATGAGACAGCAGTTGTTGAAAATATAACTAAGTAAACATCAAGACAAGCTAATGCTCCACCCATTGCAATAATCACAATACAACAATAACAACCAAGCCTTATCTTCATTAGGTGAAATCGGTTACATGGATCACACGGCGCTATTGAATTCAGTCAAAACTGAAAATTTGGTTAATCAAAAAGTCTCTTTTAATAACTTCATCTAAGGTTCATTTAGATCTCCCTCAACATCTCTTCAGCGGACTAAGAGTTATGCAATCCACTTTCTTTACTGGAGCTTCCAAAGGTCTGATACCACTAAATATCTTTTTTTGTTTTTTCTAATAAAAAATAGGTTTTGGCAATTAATGTGCAAATGCCAGGAGGGAGTGTCACATTCAGATCCAAACCCGACAAAGATTCCATCACTAACATGGGTAATTATGGTATGACTAGGGAGGGATGCAAAAGCTGCTCATTCCCTCCTGCTGTTCTCCATGAACATATTAAGATGGTAAATAATGATTTGTATTATACGTTCTGCCAGGGCAGGGGGAAAAATTGAGGGGGGGGGGGGTTTCAAATGTCAAACGCAATGCTTGTGGCTGAGCCATAGCCACAGAATTGGCAGGATATAAGAAATTTAACCTACAACCGAATTTGCTAATGAATATTTAAAACAAATATAAACTACAAAATGTTATATTACACATGTTAAGGTTCACAGCGTATTTATTAAATCAATCCAGTCTAGCCTGTCTGACCAGTGAACTGGAGCTCAGGTTGGTTCAGCTCAAAGAAAATTGGAACAAAACGAAGCACCTGAGAGTTGAGAATTGGGCTAAAATGTCAGAGCTTGATATGCTGAATGAAAGAGGTTAAATCCTAACATCAAAGAATATAAGTCCAACAAGGGCAGAGCTGAATCTATAACTGAGATTAAACTGCGCCATGTTGGACCGAAATTGGCATCCAATATGGAAATCTATATCTCAACTGTGGAAATTCTAATAATGAGTTACATATGCTACCTCAGCAGAATGCTCCTCATCCCAATTTTCAACTAAACCCTCCAAGACATATGGCGCATCATGCATGTCCTGAGAATATTCCCCCAGCATCCATATAAGAGCTGCCTTAGCCTTGGGTTCTTGGACATTTTTGCTACTGATATTTCCAACAACAGCAATACAATCCTGACTCCACTGTGGATATTTTCTCAGCAGATCTTTTACAAGCACCTACACAAATGAACTTTCAAACTTTGCATTAGTCTATCCCACCATAACTAAGTCAAACCAAAATACCATACTTCAACACATATTTGGATAATAATATGAAGCAATGCAATACTACTCTTAGGAACAAATTCCAGGGTATCTAGCATGTAGTCATGTTTACCAGAGCTTCAGAAGTAACATAGTCCTTTTCCATCTCAAGAAACTGCAGAAGGCGATCAACAATAGCATTGACATCATACTGCTGCAATGCTATCTTCCCAACAGCCCGAATTGATTCCCTTGCAATTGGAATATCAACATTTGCAGCATATTCACATAATTCTGTCACTGAAATGGGACCCAAGAAGTGTATGAATAAGTCATACCACAAAAGGGGAGCAGCTCAGACCAGGGAGCAGAACATCAAATAGAAAAATGCAATCTTCCTATACC